CCCCCCAGGAGAGGGCATGGCGCCTGCCCCCGCTTACCGCCTTGCAGGCTGGCCCTGGCCAGGCAGAGCAGAAGCAGCGTGATGCGGAGAGTCTGGACGCCCATGGTGCCCGCTGCGATGGCTTGGCTGCAGGGCTTATACACCTCGCCCAGGTCCCCACCTCATCCATCACCCTGCTGACAGGCCCCCCAGCTGACCCCTGGTGGGGGCTCAGGTGTCCGTTGGCAGCTGGTGGGGGGCAGGCGGCACCCCAAATCCAGCCCAAATACAGCTGGGGAGACGGGCCCTGGGCCAGAGGCTGGGGGCCTGCAGCCAGGTGGCCCTTGGGAGAGATGCTATCCCAGGGCCAAGCGAGGGGAGCGCTCAGCCTCTCATCCTGGAGGGAGGTGACATGGGGACAGTCACCCCGTTCAAGCCCCAGCAGGCAGCCCTTCTTGCTGGGCACAGAGCACTGACTGGAGCTCGGGACAGCTGAGCCTGAGATGGGAGTTGGTGTGGCCGGGCACTGCCCTCTGTCCCCCAGTGAGCCTGGACCCCACGAGGCTGGCTGGGCGTGCAGACCCGAGCCCCTGCCAGCTCACTGGGTCCCTGGAGGCCTGGAGAGGGGCCGATACTGGAGGCTTCTCAGATGCCCCTCTGCTCTCCCCACTCCACACCCCACATGCCACCCCCAGACTGGAGCAGCCTCAGGCATGGGCCTGCCCCTCGCCTCTTCTGGGTTCTGCCTGGGTCCAACCCTCGGAGTCTATCCTCACTCCTCTAAAGCTTCAGGGGTCCTGCAGCAAGAGTCCAGCGGGACAGGGCCTTGCATGCAGCTGACCTGGGTTCCATTCCTGGCACCCCATATGGACCCCCAAGCCCCACCAGCAATGATCCCTGAGCTTACAGCCAGGAGTAACCCCTGAGCACCGCCGGATGTGGACCCCAAAGGAAAACAAACAGCACCCCCCCACCCCCCCAACGCTGCAGTGGGAGAGAGACAGTGGGCACAGCCTGGTGGCAGCCGTCCGAGCTGGTCCCATCCCCAAATCCCTGAGCCCAAACACCAGCAATAGAAACAGACCAACTGTGTGGGGACTCTGAGGCAGAGCTCCGGGCTCACAGGTGGGGGGCCGAGAAGGTTCTAGACAGTGAGGGGGCTGCCTGTCTGTGTCGTCCTGGGGGAGGGCAGCCACCCACACAGCCTGGGAGGGCCGAGGAAACAGGTGGGCCAGGCACGTGCCAGGAAACCACCAGGGGGCACGCCCTGTCGACCCTCTGGGTGTGGGCATGGGAAGGCCAGTCAGCCATGCAAGCAGAAGTAACGCCAGCCCCAGCGGCCTGGGGCCGGCGCCAGCGGGGGTGTGAGCCGCCAAATCAAATCGCAGCCCAGGAAATGCTGGCCCCTGCCAGGCAGGAATGCGAGGACAGCTGGGGGCATGTGGGCGCCGCAGGCAGACACCTCCTGAGCCCCAGCTGTTCCCTCCTTCCCAGGCACTGCCAGGCACTTGACCTCTGTCATTGTATTGGTGCCTGTACAGGTAAGAACTGTGGCTGGGGACATGCCACAGGGGCACCCCATAGCCCCCAACCCCACGAGACCCACTCCCACACTGGCGGCTCTGTGCATTTTCTGTTACTGCCACGCACAATCCCTGTTCTACTTCCAGAAGATTGGGGTGGGGGGGGAGTGCATCCCAGTGGTCACTGTCAGAACCTGTGTTGACAGGCTAAGGCCTTGGCGGGTGTAGCCCCCGGATCCGGGGAAGATTTGCATTCTCTGATTATTTGGTTTTGGGGCCTGACCCGACGATGCTCAGGGCTTCCTCCTTGGAGTGCAGGGCTGCAGGGGGGACCGCGCAGTGGGGGGGGGGGGAGGTTAAGGCCAGCGCCTTCCCGCTGGGCTCTGGCCATGGGCCAGGCTTTGAAGCTGAAGTAACATTCCTTGGAATCCTGATCTCTCCATAGGTTTGGAGGTGCCCAGGCTGCGCCGGGCCCCTCGGAGGTTTCCCCGGCCTCCCCGCTCTCAGTCCCTGCCCCTCAAAAGGAATTCCCCGGGGGGCCAGTGGGTGGGGCGGGCTGGCCTCCAGGGACAGGGACTTCCTTAGCCCGAGGCTCTCTCCAGACAGCTGGGGTGCAGGCCCTACCCGGTTGGGGTCCCTAGGAGCAGCGCGGCCGAGACGCCGTCCATGGGCAGTCCGGCTCCCAGTCCCGGATCCCCGCGTCCAGCACGCCCCGGCCAGGCCCCGGGTAAGGGGTGGACGCCGAGGGGCAGCTGCCGGTGCACAGGCCAGACGCACGGGGGTGCGTGCGCCCCAGCATGCTCTGAATGTATGGGGCCGAACCCCAGGAATCCAACGCCTGTGGGGGGCTTCCTCCCGGCAGAGGAACGAAGCCCCCTTCATGAAACTGCGATAAGCACTTCACGAAGGCAGGGAGCGGGGCTGTTGCTGAAAGGGGGCGCCCTGTCCTCCCTGTGCCACTGGGCCCACCTGCTGCCCACTAGGCCTGTAGGGCAATTTCCGCTGCTTTCATGCCCTGCTAAGAGTGTGGGGGGGACCCTCGATGACGGAACAGCGTCCGTGCCAAAATGAAAGCCCATGTCCCCGCATCCTGCCTGAGCTCTGCCTGACTCTCTGGACACTGCAGCCAGCACACCGTTCGGCACATCTTCCCGGAGCATGTCTCCTTTGTTGGCAAGGTGTGTGTTTTTTTTTTTTGGTCACACCCGGCAATACTCAGGGGTTACTCCTGGCAGTGCTCGGGGGACCAGAGGGGATGTGGGGATTGAACCCGGGTCGGCTACGTGCAAGGCAAACACCCTACCTGCTGTACTATCACTCCAGCCCAAAGATAGAGGCCCTCCCGTTGATCATCGATTTGCTCGAGCGGGCCCAGTAACGTCTCCATTGGAGACTTTGTTGTTACTGTGTCTGGCATAGCCCAAAGATGTGTGTGTTTTAAGGGGTGAGGTTTGGGTTCTCGGGAAGCCAGGCAAACCGAACAATGCTCAGGGCTGACTACCGGTGACCCAATTCAGGGATCACTCCTGGTGGGGTTCAGGGGACAACAAGGGCTTTCAGAGATGGCACCCAGTTCAGCCGTGTACAAAGCAAGTGCCTTTGTTACTGTTCTATCACGCTGGCCCCTGGAAGCATGTATTTTGAATGAAAAAATGTCTTCTAAGTTATTTGACTCAGACTTTCAAGAATGGGCAGTTGGCATCTTGCTTGTTCGAGGCCCTGAGTTTGATCTCAGGTATCAAAAATTAAAATTAAAAAAAAAAAATGGGCAGTTGGAAGGGGGCCTGGATCCAGGGCCTGGAGACAAGTTGGCAAAAGGAAAGGCAACTCGAGGAGCTGGCCTGTTTCCCCGCCTCCTGGGGACAGGCAGGGGTCCCAGAAAAGGAGCACTGTCTGCCAGAGATGCTAAGCAAAGGAAGGTCGCATGGAGTTGGGAAAGCAGCACTCCCCCAAACTCTGGGTCTAAGCCCAGGGCCAGGCCCTGCAGGGAGTATTCACTGGGTGCAGGCTGAGGCGCTGGGAAACTGCAGGTGGCCTTAGAGTCTGCGGCCCCATTTCCCTGTACCCTCTTAAACAGGAGGAAGCAGCACCCCCAGCAGTCTATGGGGGGGGGTGGTGGTTAACAGCAGCGCCTGTGTGCTCTGCTAAGTCCTCTAAGGGGATCATCAGCTGTTATAGGAGACTAAAGCAGCTCAGAAAGATGAGCACATCTCCAAGGTCACTTTGCCAGGAAGAGCAACGGGGGGGGGGGGGGGGGGGGGGGCGTGGGGGGGGTGTTAAGGCGAATTTAAGCCTCAAACGGCAAGCCTGGAAAGGGACCTGAGGTAGTACAGGCGTTTGCTTCACATGCAGCTGGACCCTATTGCACCCCCAATAACTACACTATCCTGCATAACCCCTGGGTGTGGCCCCAAGAAATCCCTTCCCCTAAAAAGCAGATTGGGAAGGGTAGCCTCACAGGCGGGCGGAGGCTGCCCTCAGGGCCAGGGGGCGCCCGACCAGCAGTCTGGGGGGTCTCCAGGAGGCGGTCGCGTGTTCTGGCTCTCGTAGTCGCTCGTTCCGGGAGCGGGGGGCTGTCCGTCCCCGATGCAAAGCACTGCGGGACTGAGCGGAAGGCGGCGAGCCCGGACTCCTCTGAGACTCTGCTGGGTCCCCAGTGACCGTCTCTTGGGGCACTTCCGGGACAAGCTACTGCGATCCTCACGGCAGAGGCGCGAAAACGAAGCCGGTCCGGCGAGAGTCGGGGGCTGGAGGTCGGTGGGGGCCCGGGGCTCCGCCGGCAGGGCCTCGGGATGCCAGATTACACCCCGGCCGGCCGGCCCCGCCGCCGCCGCCGCCGCCGCCGCCTCCCCGGCAGCGCCCAGGAACCTGCGCCTGCGCCTGCGCTCTGCCGACGGAGCGGGGCCGCGGCGCGCACGCAGCGACGTGGGGCGGGGCCCCGCTGGACGGGCGTCTCTGATAGGCCGGTCCGGGGAGGGGGCGGGGTAAGAGGTGTTTCTGGGCGGGGCTCCGAGGCCGGTTTGGAATTTTTGGCGCGAGTCAGCTCCGCGCGCGTCCACGGGCGGTTCCCCCTCGGGAGAATCCTTCTGCCTAGGCGTCCGGAGCCGTTGACGGCGGACCCCGACTCGTCTGGCTCCTCCGAGGGCTCCCACGGCCTCCACCCACCCGGAATCGGGGACTTCACGGAGCTGCGCCCCGCCCTCCCGGCCCAGCTGAGTCCAGCCCGGGGCGCCAGGGTTCTCGGGCGGGGCCGCTCTCCCCGCTGCCCCCCGACGGCCCAGCAGGTCAGCCGCCCCCCACCCGCCCCTCCGTCTGCTCTGCGTCCCTCGGGGCTGTCCCTTCCGGCAGCGCCGGCAACCCCGCGTCCCAGGCGGTCCCGGCCTTGCCAGGCTTGTTCCTTGGGGTCCCCTTTTCCCCCCGCAAGTGCCCCCCTCGCCTCCCACCGCCGGTCCCGCCCCATGACTCACTCGGTTCGCAGGGTTCCCCGCGCCCGCGGAGGTGGCCGAGCCGTGGCCCTGCCCGGCAGAAGCTCACAGTCTAGCGCGTAGACCGTGGTCAGCACACGTGTCCGGCCGAGAGAGGGTGAGACTCCCGGTACTGCGCCGCGCCGTGCGCCCCGTCCCGCCCCTGTAGGAGCTTCTCTGCCAGGCAGGTCCCTGGTGCTTGAAGCCAGGATTCAGGGACCTGAAAATCCCCTCAAAGGTGCCTGTGTTGACCCCGAGCGGCTGCGACTCGCGCCCAGGACCCCACCGCGGAGCTTGCCCCCTCTCGCTTCCTCCTGACTCTGGCCTTTTGGGGGCTCTTGATACTTTGTGGCTGCCCTAAGAATCTGTATCTTCTCCCTTTTATTTTCTTGGGTTTGTTTCAGTTATTTATAATAGGTGCCGCCCCCCCCCCCACTGAGTCCTGAGGCTGCCGTCAGTGACTGCCCAGGTCCCCCCTCCAAATGCATGTGTGGCTGGAGTTGGGAACTCAGACAGCTGCAGTCCCTGAGGACTGTTCTGGTTATGGGCGGGGCCTGGATTCAGAATGTCTCCCGCTTGGGGGCCAGAGAGGTAGTGTACTTCAGGTTAAGGCTCTTGCGTTGCATACAGTCGACCTGGGTTTCATCCCCCGACACCCCATATGGTCCCCCGAGTCCCTCTGAGAGTGATCCCTGAGCACCACAGGATGTGGCTCAAAAAAAAACAATGTCTCAGACTCAGAACTGCGGAAATTAGGTGGACAAATGTGTCTATTGAGGGTGTGTGGGGGGGGGGTTCAGTGGCGAGCACAGGCTTTCCTGTGACACGCTGGTCCCGGCACCCAGACACAATGGCAATGCCGCCCATGGGCCTGGGACATCATCCTGTAACTGCACTTGGCCAGCTGTGTTGGGGACTCCAGGTGACTACACACTTAGGGGAGCAGCTGGGGACACTTTCTGGGTCTTGAGTGGTTGGAGAAGACTCTACCGTCCCACTGGTCACTCTGGGGCCTAGTCTATTCACTGGGCACCAGGCAGCAGCTCTCAGGGTAGTGCTCAGGCCTTGCACACAGGTCCCGGTCCCAGTACCACATGGTCCCCTGAGCACTGCCAGGAGTGACCTGCAGGGAAGAGCCAGGATAGCCCCTAAGCACCTCCAGACAAGGCCCAAAAGACGAAAGATAAACAAGTCTGAAACTAATTGGCTGGGAATGTCGGTTAGTTTCTGAACTCCGGACTCTCGGCCTTCATCCATTGTTGGAGCCTGTTGGTTCGGGGTGGCTGTGACAGGTAGTTTGGACTCGGTGTGGCACTTTCTGCTTCAGCTGGAAGAGCTTCCCACCTTGCTCCGTCTCGTCTCTGGGTCCTAGGCAGGAAGTGCTGGGGGTTACTCACGGTGGCGTGGGCCAGGTGGCTCGGGGCCTCTCCCGGGCCCATCTTCCGTTCCTTTAACAAGCCGTGAGAGGAAAGGGAGAGGAGTTTGCTGTATGCTCTGACTTCCTGCCTTCTGCGACTCCTGTTCCCAGATCGTTTTCTAGTGGTCTGCCCTCCTGTTGCATGCTCGAGCCCGGCCGTGTCAGGGCACACACTGGCAGGCTCCCCGCCTGGCGCTCTTCCCAGGAGACTGAAATGCATTTTGGGATCATATGTTCCCTCTCAAACGCTTGGCTGTTCTGCGCAGGCAGGTTTGCGGTGGCCATGCTGTCGTGGGGCAGCTCTACTGTGTGCGCCCCTCGCCGTCCGGTCCCACTGACAGGCCTGGGATGTGCCACCACCATCCGGCCTCCACTTGGAGTGAAAGGCAACACTTAATCCCAATGCGATCTGCAAAAAAACCCCTTATGTTGGGGTTTACCAGTGATTCGAGTTTGTCTTCCTCCTCTCAAGATTTTCTCCCTATTTGGGACTTCAGCACTTTGGACATACTGTCTCTCTGGGAGGCACTCTGAACCCATCCTGCATGCATTCGGTCTTCCCATTCCTGGCTCGGGATCAAACCCGGGCCTCACATGTGCCAGCATGTCACCACCACGTAAGCCACATCATCACACCCCTAGCACTAAAATTTGGTTTCCGGAGCAAGGCAGCTTTTTGTGTTTGTGTTTTGGTTTTGTTTTTGACTGTACTAAATGGTGCTCGGGGTTTACTCCTGTCTCTGTACTCCTGGAGGGCTTGGGGGGACCATATGGGGTTGCTGGGGATAGAACCTAGGTCAGCTGAGTGCGAGGCATATGCCCCCCCCCCACTGCTCTCTCTCCGGCCCCAGACCTGCATGATTTGGAGGGTGGACTCCTCCCTTCTTTCAGGACAATATGAATCATAAGCTCGGTGTCCCTGGCCTCTCCCTGGTTAGGATGCTGGTGACCACTACGGCAGGGAGTGACAGGGACCGTGCCCCGGCCTCTGCCTGCCTGCTCGCCTCCCCGCCGTGAGGCTGGAGCTGGGACTGGGTCCAGCTGCTGGGCTGACGAGGAACCTTTAGCCTTTGAGTAGGGGGCTGATGGAAGGGGGGCTGGGGGGCGCCCCAGCCTCCCATTGTGTTCTAATATTATCAATTGTTTTGGGGGCTCCCCATGGTGCTCAGGGGCTACTCCCAGTTTGGTGCTCTGGCCTTGCCTGGGCTTGCCTCTGCAGCTCAGCAGGACAGTGGGAAGCCACGGGCGAGCCTGAGCATCCTCACTGAGAACGCACAGAGGAACCTTCTGGATTCAGACCTTTTCTGCTCAGGTCAGCCATCAGTGTGCAGCCTGGCCGCTGGCCATGTCTGCCCCATGCCCACCCTCCCAGCGCTGAGCCCCTCTGCCTTTCCCAGCAGGTGCTTGGCGGGCTCGCCTCCATGTCTGCGGCTGACTGGGAGTGTGGCGTGGACTCGGATCGCTCCCACGGACCCGGCGCCCCCTGAGTGCCCGCGCTGTCCTGCCCCTCCCCTCGGTTCTGCCGCACTGGCCATGCCTGTGCCCACAGAGGGGACCCCACTCCCTGTCCCCGTCCCAGCCTACTTCCGCCATGCCGAACCCGGCTTCTCCCTTAAGAGGCCTGGGGGGCTCAGTCGGAGCCTCCCGCCCCGTCCCCCCGCCAAGGGCAGCCTCCCCTTCAGCCGGCTCTTCCCAGCCCGAACCCCAGGCTGGCACCAGCCGCAGCCCCGGAGGGTGTCCTTCCGAGGTGACATCCCAGACACGCTGCAGAGCCCCGGCTATGACCCCCGCCGGCCAGAGTCCTTCTTCCAGCAGAGCTTCCAGAGGCTTGGCCGCCTGGGCCAAGGCTCCTACGGGACAGTCTTCAAGGTGAGGGGCAGGCTGCGGCGTGGGGGCCCCTCAAGGCTGCTGCTCTCGCTCCTGGGGAGCAGGAGCTCTCCCTGCCGTGCGGGGAACAGGGTGCCGCCCGAGGGCCGGGAGATGTCTACTCGATGGGGCCTCCGTCCCTCCAGCCCCCTCTGCCCTGTGCCCGTAACCAGCTCTTCTCATGACAAGGGTCCTTGCAATGTGCTCGGGCCCCATCCACGCAGGTGGCATCTTTGTGGCACCTGCCGCACTGTACTCGGGGTGGTGCCACTGGGGCCCTGCCACCACCGTCTCCCTCGCAGGTGCGCTCCAAGGACGATGGGAGACTCTATGCAGTGAAGCGCTCCGTGTCGCCCTTCCGGGGCCCCAAGGACCGGGCACGCAAGCTGGCCGAGGTGTGCGGCCACGAGAAGGTGGGGCAGCACCCGCGCTGCGTGCGGCTGGAGCGAGCCTGGGAGGAGGACGGGCTGCTCTACCTGCAGACGGAGCTGTGCGGCTGCAGCCTGCAGCAGCACTGCGAGGCCTGGGGCGCCGGCCTGCCCGAGGCGCGCATCTGGGGCTACCTGCGCGACACCCTGCTGGCCCTGGCCCACCTGCACAGCCGCGGCCTCGTCCACCTGGACGTCAAGCCCGCCAACATCTTCCTTGGGCCCCGGGGCCGCTGCAAGCTGGGAGACTTCGGGCTGCTGGTGGAGCTGGGGGCGGCGGGCGCGGGTGAGGCCCAGGAGGGCGACCCCCGCTACATGGCCCCCGAGCTGCTGCAGGGAGCCTACGGGACTGCTGCTGACGTGTTCAGGTGAGGGCTACCGCCCAGACTGGGGGTGGCTGGGGCCCGCGTGCCCCGCCCGACCCGTCTGTCCTGTCCCCCCAGCCTGGGGCTCACCATCCTGGAGGTGGCCTGCAACATGGAGCTGCCGCGCGGCGGCGAGGGCTGGCAGCAGCTGCGCCAGGGCCACCTGCCCCCCGACTTCACTGCTGGTGAGTGCGGGTAGGGGTCCACGTGCAGGTGCGGGCCCCGCCGCCCCCCTGACACCCATGCCCCGGCCAGGCTTGTCTCCTGAGCTGCGTTCCGTCCTCGTCATGATGCTGGAGCCTGACCCCAAGCTGCGGCCCACCGCTGAGGCGCTGCTGGCCTTACCGGCGCTGCGACAGCCGCGGCCCTGGAGCGCCCTGTGGTGTGCGGCGGTGGAGGCCTGGCGCCGAGGCCGGGCCCTTTGGCAGGTGAGCGGGGATGAGGGGGGATCGGCAGGGCGGCCGCTGCCCTGCCCACGCCCAGCCTCACCTGTGCCCTTTTCCACAGGCTCTGGTCACCCTGCTGTGCTGGCTCTGGCACGGGCTGGCCCACCCTGCACGCTGGCTCCAGCCCCCTGGACCCCCCGCCACACCGCCCAGCTCCCCGCCCTGCAGCCTCCTGGACGGCGGCCTGTCTGGCACCTGGGACGATGGGAGCATAGGGTGGGTCGGCCAAGCGCAGGGATACTGCTGCCTCTAGAGCCCCCACCCCCTGCCCGAGTGTGGTTAAGATGCAGCTGCCAATGGGCAGCCTGGCCCCGTCAGGGCACTGCATGGCAGCTGGGCAGAGGTGGCTGTGATGCCCAGGAGCACTGCCCTGACACCCTGTGTCTTCCAACTTTGGGGATGCCTCATGGTGACCACAGGGTCCTGGGCCTGTGCAGATGGCCTGGCCTCCCCGTCCGACCCGCACCCCTGTACCTGCAGGCCTTCGCTCTCCCCAGAGATCCTGGCCAGGGCTGCCAGCACCACCTCCACCCCCCGCAATGGCTCTGCCTCCCGGAGCAGGTTGGCGCTGAGGTGAGCAGGGGCGGGCGGCGAGGGGGGCACCGGGGCCTTCAGGTGCTGAGTGTGGCCTCTCCCCTCCCCAGGGACGCCCTGGACCTAAGTGACATTGACCCCGAGCCTGCACAGGGCTCCTTCCCCTCCTTTGAGCCACGAAACCTCCTGAGCCTCTTTGAAGAGACCCTAGGCCCCGCCTGAACCCTGCCTTCACACGACCCTCTGGAAATGCCAGCAGCCCCGACGCCCCCCGATGCCCCCACGGCTAATAAAAGGTGTCTGGATCTTAGGCGTTTGCTTGGCGGCACGGTGCTTCCTGCCTTTTATTTCCCTTGTGGGGCCTGGTTCCGCTGGCAGCCGGGAGCCAGGGTGCGGGAGGTTTCCTGAGCGGGCGGCCTGGCAGGTAGGGTGCGCAGTCAGCGTGGCACTCAAGGTGGAGGCCCTGGGCCCGGGTCTGCGTCCAGGGCCCTCTGCTCTTCGTGTCTGCCTGGAGAAAGCAGCTGCCCCCTTCCCGGCCCTGGCGGGAGGGGCAGGTCCCACTCGAGCCCCTCGCTGAGTCTGGCAGCAGGGAGAGGGCTGGCATGCAGGCGGGTGGTAGGGCCCAGGCGCTGGTGTTTCGTGTGGGGCTGGGAGGACAAGGGCAGGGAGGAGGTGGGGCTGCGGGTCCCCAAGTCCCTCCCTTTGGCTCAGTGCTCCCATCAGAGAAGGTAAACTGAGGCCAGGGAGGGAAAAGCTCTCTTCCAGGCGGGCCGTGGAGGAAGGCAGGGCGGGGAGGCTGGCGCTCGAGACGGGGAGCTTTCTGGGGGCCCGCCCCTGCAGACCAGCCGCAGGAGGGGAGCGGGCTGGCGCGCCGAGGGGGCTGGCCTGGGCGTCTCAGTCGGGAGGGCAGGCGTGGTGGGCGGCCCAGAGCAGGTCGGGCACGACGCCTGCGTGCAGCTGCAGGATGGAGCCCACGCTGAGCAGGTGCATGATCTGGTGCGAGTTGCCCCAATAGTCGAAGCGGCCTGGCCCCCAGCGTTCAGGCAGGCGGGCGACGTTCACCAGCCCCCCGAGGAGGGCCAGGGCGTCCATGCGCAGGTAGCAGGGCAGAGAGCCAGGGGCTCCTGAGCCCAGCCCCACTCCCCGGGCCCCGAACACCAGCAGGCGGGCACCAGCCTGCCAGCCGAAGGCCCGCAGCCGGGCGCTGGTGGACGGGGCGGTGAGGGCCTGCCAGCCAGCCACGCCGGACAGGATGCTGTAGCCCAGCAGGGCGGCGGGGCGCAGCCAGGGCCTGCAGGCCAGCGTGCAGTGGATGATGGGCAGCGCCCCTGCAGAGAGAGAGGCAGAACAGGATGAGTCGGAGCCCCCAGGCGCCTGGCCTGAGCCCCCCAGGCACCACCCCCCCCTCCGGCTCACCGAGGGTGTTGACGAGGCAGACCCCACACATGTCCAGGGCCAGGAGCCGTGCGTACACTGGGCTGCCCCCTTGGTGGCACATGAAGAGGTGATAGAGCACGGAACCCGCAGGGGGTGCCAGGCAGGCCACGCAGTGTGTGCCACCCAGCCAGCCGTCCTTGCCCAGCTGACCCCAGGGCATGGTCATGGGCAGCAGCACCAGGAAGCCCAGCAGAGCCAGCCCTGGGGGAGGGAGAGACAGCTGCAGCACGAGACACGGCCTCTCCCAGAGGGCCCCGCCACAGACCCCAGGGCAACCAGAGCAAGGCGGGGCTTTGCTCACAGGTGGGCGAGGGTCAGGCACTGTCCCCCCTGGTGTGGCTCAGTGACCTCTCGGGTGACCCAGCCCTTGAGCATGGCCCTGGGCCAACTCCGAACTCAGCTGCATCCCCTCAGCCCAGACCAGGGCTCGGGCCCCACCATCTGCTGGGGGTGTGATCTCTGGGGGACTCAGCTGGACACGGGGCAGTGCTTGGGGGCCCCAGCCCCTGTGCTTCCAGGAGGGGCAGGAGCCGCGTGTCCAGGCTCTGGACCTCCCAGGACTCCCGGCCAGTGCCTCCTGCGGCTCCAGAGTGGGCAGAGCCCTGAGGGCTGTTGGCTGTCCACTCTCAGGCCCGGTGGCAGTCCCCAGTTAGGTCAAGTGTCACGCAGGGCACGGCAGCTCAGGGCCCCTCTCAGGCCTGCGTGGGGCGGCTCAAGGACGGGCAGGGCTGTGTCAGCAGAGCTCAGCGGGGCGGCTGCGGAGGAGGGGCCGGCAGGGGAGGGGGATGAAGGCTTCGCCACCAGGTGGAGCCCCGCCGCTGCGAGGGACTGGGATCTCGGGTCGGGGCGCGGGGGCGTCCCCTTCTGGGGCCCCTCCCGGCCTGAGCCAACACTCATCTCCAGGACGGTGTCCAGGGCGGAGATGAAGGTAGCAGCCACCAGGCTCCCTTTCCGAGGCTCGGAGGGGCGAAGCGGGCAGCCCCGTGTCCCTCCTGGTCCCCGGGGCCCCTCGCTGGGAAAGCGGAAGCGGGCAGCATCGTGCGGGACAACAGCAGCTTTGTCACCGCGGCTCCTGGCCGTGCCAGGGTCCGGGTAGCCGAGGACCCGGGCGCTCGGGCGCTCCCGGGCCTGCTGGTCGTGGGCCCCGCGCGGGCGGCGCGGCGGGTGCGGGGTGCGGGGTGCAGCTCACCGTGAGTGTAGATGTTGCCCAGTTCATTGTGCAGGTAGAAGAGGCTGCGCAGACAGCCCGAGCCGCTGCTGGCCGGCCGGTAGCCGGTCAGCACGAACTTGTTGAACTGCAGGTGCGGCGGCGAGCTGGCCCAATCCAGAAGGCGCGGCCCGGCCAGGAACGCCATGGCCCGGCCCGGCGCGGGTGCTCCGCGCTTCTCTGGCCCCGGGCCGCCGCCTCAGTGGGGCCGCCGCACCCCGAGGGTCATCGCGGCCAGCAGCCGGGCGCTCGCCCGCTGCCCAGCGCTCGTCCGCGCACGCGCCAACCCGGGGGTCCCGGCCCGCGCCCCTCGCGCGCTGCGCACGCGCGGCCTCCGCGCCCCCACGCCGCCGGGCGGAGGCGGCGGCCGCGTCCCGGGCCGAGCGCACTGCGGCCGAGTCCCCGCGCCCGGCGCGCCGCAAGGACAGTTGGCCGCGGCCGCAGCGACCAGGAGTCTCCCCGCAGCCGGGACTACGGGCGCGGCCGGACGCGGGAGGGGACGCCAGGCTCCGCCCCGGCTCCTCGCCCCCGCCAGCCCGCCACCGTTTCGCGCGCCGGGCCGCGGACGTCACGCCGCGGGGACCAATGGGCGCGACCGCCGGGAGGCCCCGCCCCGGGCCCGCCCGGCCATTCACGCTCTCTGCAGAACGTCTGCGGTCCGGCCAGATTTGCGCGGCTAGGCTGTCGGCGAGACCCGACGTTCTGCGTCCCGGCGGCTCGGGCAGGTGGGCCCGGCGCCTGGCGCGCCCCGCGGGGCGAGCCTGGGTTTTCCGCGTGACCCCCTAGGTCCACGCATCCCTGGTCACTCCTCCTTCGGGTCAGCACAGTCACGCCACCCAGCCCCACCCCGAGTAGGGCTCTGTCCAAGGTGCTGCCGGCCCGGGCCGGTGAGACGGGTCAGGTCTCGCGCCGGGACCCCTCGCCCCCACACTCCGGGCCTGACCTCCCCCAGGCCGCTGCCCCCCTCCAGCGCAGCAGGGCGCCTCGAGATGCCCGCTCCCCCGAGCGGGCCTGACGCGCCCGGCGCCCGCCGGCGAGGCCCTGCCCTTTGGGCCAAGTTGGAGCTGGGCTTGGCCAGACCCGCTCTGTTATCGCCCACGAGGCGCACCTTGGGCCCCACCCGGGACAGGACGGAAACGGAGGGGAAGATAGGGCAGGAGGCCAGGGGAGAAAGGGCGGTCCTTGCCGGGTTCCTGCAAGGCCCTCGGAGGGCAGCCCTGGGTCTCCCCCGGGGACCCCGCCCACCCCGCTCCTGGGGCCCAGCGAGGCGGCGCGCGGAACGCCCAGCCCGCGCTCCAGCACTCAAAGCCTAGCTCCTCCTACCACGAAGAACGCGCCTCGCCCTGTACCAAAATAGGTCATTTATTCAGTCCCGGGCGGCCTTGCCACCACTTTTGCTGCTGCCTCTCACAGCACATCGGGCAGCAGTCCAGGACCACCCCAAGGGAGCTCAAAGACCCCCAAGTCAGAGCATCCGTATCCAAGTCTGTGTACGGAGAAGCGGCTTCCTCAGCCAGTGGTTTCTGCTGGCCGCCGAGGCTGGGGCCAAAGGCCCGTCTCCAGCCCCAGGGCTACCTTCCCGTCCGAGCCACGCTGTCTCCCGCAGAGGCGACCGAACTGTCCTGGGGTGGAAGTACGAGGCAGACGACGGCATCGTGTCGCAGGTGTCACCCCGCTAGCGCTGGAGGAGGGTCCTGAGTCACAGCGCAGAGATGAGCGAGCGCAGGGAGCTCTGGCTGGAGGCGCTCAGAGGCCGGTAACTTGCGGCTAGACCCTCCGCCTGGGGGTCCCCGGGGGGGCAGGGCAGGGTCACCCCTCGAGGCCGGCGGTACCACACGGCCCAACTTCTCCCCGGGCCCGAAGTCCCCTTGGCTTGGGGCCCTTTTCCCGGAGCCAGCAGGCCGCTCCTAGGGAGGGAGCAGAGGTCAGCTGAACCCGGCGCTCTCGCCCGCGCGTGCCTGGCTGCGCCCGGGGCCTCCTCCCAGCCCGGGCCCCTCACGGACCCCAGCGCCCCACCAGCCCCCGCCCCCGCACGCGCACCGTCGGCGCAGCAGCGACAGCAGCGACAGCAGCAGCAGCAGCAGCACCGAGACGGCCGTCACCACGGAGAAGACCCGAGCTGCGGGACAGGGCGCGGTGAGCGCGGCGCTCGGGGAGAAGCCCCCGGCTCCCCCCGCCGGCGCGCCCGCCTCACCCCCCATCGCCGCCCCTGCCGTCCCGGGGCGCGGGCTGCAGCTCGCGTTGGCCCCGTCGGGGGGCGCTTCCGGGGTCCGGGCCGAGCCCCCGGGGGGCGCGTCCTCGGCGGCGTCCTGCAGGCCTGCGGAGAGGGGTGTGAGGCGGGGCGCGCGGGGCCGGGGCCGGGGGCGGGCGCGGGCCTCACCGCGGTAGGTGAGCGCGAAGCCCTGCGCGTGGCCGCGCGCGTCGCTGTGGAAGGCGAGCAGCAGGGCGGGGGCGCGCAGGCGCAGCGGCCCGGGGGGCGGCGGGTGCGCGCCGTCGAAGGCGCGGAGCAGGCGGCCCGAGGCGGCGTCTCGCAGCTCCAGCCGGTCGCGGGGGTCGGCCAGGTCGAAGAGGCGGAAGGTGAGCTCCAGCGCGGCGCCCGGCGGGCCCAGCTCCCAGCTGCAGTTCCGGTCCGGCCCGTACTCGTCCGGGAAGTCCGGGGAGTAGATGACGCCCTGAGGTGCAGTCCAGTTGCCCTGGCAGGAGCCCACGGACACTGGGCAGGACGGGGGATCAGGAGTGGGAGAAGGGTCACTTGGGGACCCTTCCCCGCTGGACCCCGTTCTCAGCCCCTCCCCCTCTCCAGCCCCGCCCTCCATCCTGGGCCAGTTCCCGTTCCCCAGGCCCAGCAGACGCACCTCATCTGCCCATCCCAGCCAGGGCTTCCCGGGAGCTCCCACAGCCACGCAGATCCCGGTCTCACCTTCATAGATGCCCAAGCGCCCGTCGCCTCCACACAGCTGGCCTGGGTGGCCGAAGCAGATCTGGTCACAGTCGGTGGCCGGGGCCGGGCGTCCACGGGCCAGGTCGCTTTCAGTGCCACAGAAGCAGGCATAGCCGGCCTCCACACCTGCCAGCTGGGGACACAGACTGGGTGGCCACAGGGGCAGAGGCCCAGTGGGCTAGGGAGAGCCAGGGCCGGGTCCGAAATGGGAGTGGAACTAGACACTAAAAACCAGCGGCGAGGTTTGACACCGGAGTTGGGAGCTGATGTGGGTCGAGGGGTCCAGGTGAGGGTCACTAGGCTGGGTGGGTGGTCAGTACCTGGTAGCCCTTCATGCGGCAGAAGCGAAGGCACACCTGGACGGTCAGCTTGGTTGAGGTGCCACTGGGGCCGCTGAGGGCGGGGGGTGCCCCCGAGTCCATGAAGCAGCCCAGGTAGCCTGGCACTGGGAAAGGGCCGCCCAGTCACGCTCTCTGGCTTCCAGAGCCAGCCCAGCACTGCCACCCGCCCAACTCACTGTGGCATGTGGGGATGTCGCAGTAGCGCCAGTAGATGCCCTCCTCCGTCTCGGCCACGTAGCACCACGGCTGCACGTCACCGTCTGGGTTCCTGCAGCGGCGGGGCAGAGTGGCCAGGGGTCTAGGAGTGGCCATGCCCTCCAACCTCCACCCCTGCCTCCCCAGGGCCTGTGCAGTGATGCTCCTTTGCTCCTCTCCCGTCCCTTCAAACGCGACCCTTCAAACGGGGGTCGATTGTGGGGGTGACCGTGTGCGGGGTTGGAAGTCCTCAGCAGCCGAAGGCTGGTTTTAGGCCTTCAGCTGTTGCTAGAATGTGACCTCATGTCCGAGGACTGTGAAGCCACTGTCTGGTCTGCAGCTTCCCTCCCCCAAGCCCACCAAGAGTCTGGGCCATGTTAATCGCCCTAAGTACAGACTTGGGGACTCCGCAGAGCAGTGCCCTTCTGCTGCCCCACCAGCCCCTACAGGGGCTATCCCGGGTTCGCCCTGAGATGAGGGCCAGGGGCGGCCCGGTCCCCTTCCCCACAGGCGCAGGAAGAAGGTGGCTCTTTCTGAGGCCCCCTCGGCGGCGGGCAGGATTCGGGGACCCCGCCCGCAGCGCCCAGAGGCATCGCCCGGCGCTCACCGGCAGAAGTTGTGCGCGCCCAGCCCCCAGCGGCCCTGGGGGTCGCTGGCGCTACTGTAGCTGTGCTGCTGTGTCTGGTCCCAGAAGAGGCAGGGTCGGCCGGCGCCGCGCGGGCCCGTGCGGTTCTGGTGCCCGCGGTAGTCGGCGCCGTTCACCTGGAAGCACTCGGACGGGCCTGCGCGCCCAGGCGTTGGGGAGGTCCCGCCTTTGCCCGGCCCCACGCCCCAAACCCACCCGCCGCGTCAGGCCGGCCCGGGCGCGGACTCACCTGGGTTCTGCAGGCTCCCGGCCGAGGCTCCCCGCGGCCGCAGCAGCGGGAGGAGCAGGAGGAGGCGCGGCAGGGCCCGGGTCCCCATCGCCCCTGGCCCACGCGAGGTTGCCCTGGCTTGCGCTCGGACTGTGCCACCCTCGGGGTCACTCCCGGGGGTCCCTGGCGGCCAGGGCGGGGTAGTCCTCGGACCGCCAGGCCAGGCTCTACTCGGGGCGGCGCTCTCCGACGGGGGCCGGGGAAATGCCCCCCGGAGCGTCGGTCTCCCGCGTGTCGGCCCCGGAGGCGGCTCCCGGCCCCTGCCCTCAGGTGGCGGCGTGTCCCCCAGGGGGGCTCCGGCTCTGCCTCGCGGTGCCTCCACACTCGCCCTCTCCCACGGCTGCTCTCCGGGTCTAAGGCGCGGGCTCCTGCCCACCGCCGCCTCTCCGCGGGGCCCTCCCCGGGCCCTCTCCCCGCCCCCCGCAGCCGGCAGGCCCCTCCCGAGACGCGAGCGGAGGCAGCAGGTCCAGACGCCTCCCACGCCCGCCCCCTCTCCCCCACCCCGACCCTCGGGGTCCCGGGCGCCTCCCCTTCACCTCCTCCCGGGCTGGGTGCAAGTTCGAGCTGGAGCGTGCGGAGGAGGCGCGGCCAGGCGGGTGGACCGAGGCGCCCGTGCTCGGCGCGCAGGAGTCCCGGCCGCACGCGCGCACGCGGCTCGCCTGGTCACCGGGTCATTGCCCGCCTGGTCCCGTCGGAGGAAGCGTTACGCCCAGCCCCCCGCGCCGCACCCGCGAGACGGCGGCAACCGGCACCACCGCGGACAGGCAGGGCCAGCTGGTGGCCGGGAGGAGGCAGCTGCGCCCCAGTCCGCGTCCCCTCCTCTCCGCCCCCTTCTTTCCCTCGGACCCCCAGTCCAGGCTCGCTGGAGCCGTCCCGGCGCGGTGGAATTCCCCCAGCGGTGCCCACCCCCCAAGCCGGCGGGGGAAGGGGGGAGCAGGCCCGGGCAGGCGTGGGGGGAAATTCCCCGCCCCCTCCCCCTGGGCCCGGCTCCTCCGCGTCCTCTGATCTTGCAGAGCAGCCCGCCCGCGGCCCCGGGCCTTGGGGGGAGGCCAGCGCAGGTGCGTGGGAGGGCGGGGGCCGGCGGGGGGCTGGGTGGTGGCCCGACCCGCGCCCCGCCCACCGCTTCGCTGGCTCCCCAGTGCCGCCTTCGCACCCCGCACGGGGATCCCGCAGAGGCCGAGGGGCCCGTGGCCACGGGTTCCGGAGGGCTTGTCTAGGGAGGTGGCTTTGCCAAGTGGCCCCTGCAGACTCCTGGGGAGCCATGTCCCAAGGGGCTGAGGCTGTTGCTGCCAGGCACCTGGGCACAGAGGCGGAGTGTGGGCACCGCCGTATGGTCTCGGAGGAAGGGACCAGATGCGCGGGGCCGTTTTGGCCCGGGCAGAGGGTGAACTTGCGTCTGTCTCTCCGGCGCGGGGTGGAAACCCAGTCTAGGATTTCCAAGTCTCTACACACATCTCTCCCAAGCTGAGTCACTAACAGCCCCCCAGCACTGCCAGCTGTAATCCCCCCCCAAGCAAACCACAGCAAAAGAGCAAAGACAGAGAGCGGGAGATGGAGGGGCTGGGGGAGGGCACGTAGGGGGAGGCAGCCAGGTGCTCCGGGCTGCTGTGGGTGGTCTGCGGCCCCCACTCAGGCTGGAAGGTCACCCATGAGGAGCCCTTAACCCGCAGAGGGGAGCAGCTCCAACAGTTGGAGCAGAGGAATCTGGGGGGTGAAGGCTGAGGTGAGGCTGGCGCAGAGCCCCCAACCCAGGCATGAGCCTTCCTCACTGCAGCCTAGCCCTGGGGGTTTTCAGGGGACTCACATGACTTGGGGCTGAGGCTGTTGGTGAGGAAGGGTCGTCCTTGTCATATGACACCATCACAGGCTGACAAGGGGCAGCACCCCTGCGATGCAGCCAGGTCCTGAGAGAGAGCCTCCCAAAACCAGCCCCGTCCAGCCCTGGTCCAGAGTCCCTGGAATGAGTTTCTTGTCTGGGCCACTGCAATGCCTCCACACCCTCTGGGCACAGAGAAGGAGCCCTTGGCACACAGGGAAGGGATGGGAGTCACTGCCCAAGGATGATGGCATGCTCTTGAATGTTCTGGAATCCCAAGAGCAGGGATGAAAGCACAGATCTGTGACTACACTAATGACTGTTGTGGAACACACAGGCTGCGGAGCTGTAGGATGCACGTGGCTTATACCTCAATAAGTCGAGAGAGAAGGGGGTAGCAGAGCAACTGGGTACAGCGACCGCTCCAGCATAGCCCTGGGGTCCTGGCAGATGCGCCCCTTGGCTGCCAGCTCAGCCTGCACGAGCAGGGTGCTCAGGCTAGGGTGGGCCCCTCCGCACCCCCAAGGTCCCTACTGCTCTTAGGCCAGCTGCCGTGGCACTGCCCAACGAAGCTGTCACCGAGCCCACTTGCACCTGCCCCGAGGAGGCTCAGCACTGCCCGCCACCAGAGACGCTTACGAAAGAGGGTTTATTGGGGGGACGCACAAGCAGAGGGGCAGGGTGGGGTCCATCCTAGCCATTGTTCCTAGCTGACATGACAGGCTCTGGCAGTGTGTCCCTCTGGGTTCCAGGGAAGGGCGTGTGGTGTCACCGGTGTCAGCCACTCCCCCACTGGCTTTTGCTTCAGATGGATGTGGGGGGCCTGGGCTCTGCTGGCCTCAGCCAGTTTCTGCTGACACCGGGGTGGTGCTGCCCACGCCAGGGTGACGTAGGGTGGAAATCGGCGGGAGAGTCCGGCCAGGGCGTGGCGTCAGGTTTGGCCTGTCACCGGGAGAGATGGCAGAGCCCGGCGGGGAGGGCCAGGTCTGTGGACCCTGGCAGAATGTCCAGCACCCACTCAGCTGGCAGCGCGAGGGGATCCTCCCCAAGGAGAGCCACATCTGCAAAGTCCCCACTAAGCGGGGCAGGAGAGGGTCTGCCCTGACGATTTCCTCCCGTGTCTGGAGCCCTGCAGGGCTGGTTCTCTGCGGCCCAGGGCGGCCCGCTCTTGGCGGCCCAGGGAGATGGGTGGGCACGAGGCGGGAAGGGTGAAGCGGAGTCTCCAGCGCATCTAACTGGTAGGAGGGGCCAGCAGGCGGGGGAGGGGCCTCTCCCTGGAGATGCCCTCACGGAGCCGTGCCATCAAGCTCCTCGTCTGGGACCTCCCTGAGGACAGAGAAACACACACTCATCCTTGAAGCCAGGCCCGGGGAAACAGATGGTGAGGTGAGGGGGGGAGACCGTGAGCGCTTTGGGAAACACCAGTGCATGCAGTCTGCTGGCCTGCCCAGGGTCCAATCGCCCGCACTGCCCAGTGAGGCCACTCCCGGCCCAGTCTCTGGTTTCGGCTCCTACGCTGCTGTAGGGCTCAAACACTTCCCACCCCCCCTCCAGCCCCCGACCCACTTCTGGGTTTTCACACTGCGGCTCTCCTATCTGATCCGAGACACTTAGGAAATGTTTTTTTTTTTTTTACAAGGGGGCCACAACTGTGCTCAGGGCTTACTCCTGGCAGGGCCCAGGGGACCCTGAGGTACTGGGGATCAAATCCAGCTGAGCTGCACACAATGCAGGTGCCCTCGCTGCAGTCCTGCCATTCTGGCCCCTGAAAGTGTTCTAGCCCTCCGGCTCGTTTTTCTTTCTTTCTTTTTTTTCTCCCTTTTGCTTGTGGGGGTTAAGGGGGAAGTCACTTGGCTGTGGAGATCCTGTGGGTGACTGCTGGACAATGTGGGATAGTGCTGGGGACCGAACTCGAGCCTCAAGTACACAGGCCACATGGCCTGAATCCACAGCTATGACTACTGGGCTCAGGGAGGCCCCAGGGGAGGACGGTCTCCCAGTCCGTGCTCAGGAGGTCCAGGAAGAGCCAGGGCCCCTTCCTGCAGCCGCTGTCCAAGACGAGGTCCAGAGGGCGCAGTGCCTGGGGGCCAGGCACCCTGACCCTGCACCCTTACCCCTCCCCTCCAGCTCCTGCACAAGATACTTATATAATTACCCTTGGATCTGCTGGTCCTCTGGAGGACAAGCCTTGAAGCACAGCTCAACTTCAGGCAGAAGCTCTATCTCCTCTGAGAACAAAATAAAAGGAACATGGGTTAGTATCCATTTTCCTGCAGAAGAGACTATGGCACCCAAGCGGAGGAATGGCGGGATACAGACCAGGGAGAAAGAGTGTGTTGGGGGGGGGGTCTCTGCAGCCGTCAGCATTCCTTACCCTCAACTGCATCCTACCCCCAGAAAGACCCGGGACCAAGTATCCCTCCCTCTGCCAAGGCACCCCACACTGCAGCTTCTTGGCTAAGGCCAACGGGACCTTTTCATGAAAATCTTCGTTTTCACTGTAAGCAGAACCCACACTTCCCTGGTTGTTTTCGTTTGGCGGCTACACTCGCAGTGCTCAAGGCTTATTTCTGGCTCTGCTCTTGGGGATCGCTCCTGAGGGGACCAGGAAAGCATAGGGGTGCCAGGGATCAAGCCCACACTGGCCTGTGCCTGGCCGGCGCCTGACCTCCCGGCCTGTCTCTCCAGCCCCGTCTCTAGTTGTTTTGTATGACCTGGGTTCGAATCTGCATTTTAGAAGATGTAGACAGTGAGACCCATCAGCACCTTGGAGACTGGCTCATACTCTGCCCGCGGGGAGGGAACCTAATTTCGGACCCTCCAAAGCCACCATGGCAGAGTGCCATGAGTGAGAGCCCTGAGCACACACGGCCACCTGGATAGCTGCGTGTCCTCCGTCACTCGCCCATGAGACCGGGCTGTGTGAAAGCTGACAGGAGCGGCCGGGGAGATAGTCCAGGGGCTAAGGTGCTTGTCTTGCACGCAGCCAACCCTGGTTTGATCCCTAGCACTCCGAAGTCCCACCAGGAGTAATCCTGACGCACCGAACCAAGAATGAGCCCTGAGCACTGACGGGTGCCCAACCCCCACCCCCACCCCGTGAAAGCAAGGAGGGAAAGCGAGAAGGGGGTTGAGTCTAAGAATGGAGCTGTTTCTTTTCTTTAATTTTTAAAATGGAAAATCTGGGAATGGCAGATTCCATGCAATGGCAGAGGCAGCCTGAGGGTCAGTCCTTGACCCTCAAGGAGGGTCCCTCCTTGACCAGCTGGCCAGATGTTTCATGCAGTGCTGCTTGGGGCCGGCAGTGTCAGGGACCGAACTCAGGCCTCATGCATGCAAGGCCAGTGCCCCAGCCCTTCCCACAAAGTCCTGTAAGAGTGGGGCAGCTCAGGGACTCTTCAGAGTTGGAAAAGGAGCCAGGAAGAAGGAAGGTTCTGAAAGGCAGAATGTCTGGGGCGCGGGGGCCAGAAGCACAGCCCTCGGCGTACCTGCCTCCTCCTGCAGTGCCTTGCCAGGGAGCCGCTCCCGCTGCCGCAGTGCCTCCAGCCCCGCCAGGTCGGGCTGGTGGCAGTGGCCCCGCATCACAGTCACCTGCTGGCCCTGGGTGATGGCGCGGCTGCGGCAGCCCCTGCGCGCTTGGTCCCGGCACATCCAGTACACCTTGTCCCCCACGGCCTTCTCCTTCCGGTACAGGAAGGACTCGAACACCAAGAAGCTGCCACCCAGGGACGTGCGCAGGAACTCCAGGGGCTGGAAGGTCTCTGAGGGGGACGCAGGTGTGAGGGTCCATCGGTCACTGCCGCCCAGAGCCAGTGCTCTTCTGCAGGCCTTCCCATTTGATGGAGGCCACCCCGGAGGAGTGGGGGACAAGAACGTTCTGGGGGTCCCAGGTCAGCCGACCTGCACCAGGGCCTGCCAGCTCCACCCCGGCACGGAGCAGAACCGGAGTCGACCTCGAGGGAGCACAGGGCACGGGGTGGGCCGGGAGTGGGGGGAAACACCATGGGGGGGCAGTGCAGCTGGTGGGGTCACCAGGCCCCGCCACCCGTCCCCGGGCCCACCTGAGTCCTCCCGCTGCGCCAGACGGGGGAAGTTCTCGCGCTCCCGCAGCTCCTCCAGGCCCCCCAGGTCAGGCGGGTGGCAGTGCCGGCGCATGACCATGACGCGCAGGCCCTGTGTGATGGCGCGGCTGCGGCAGCCCATGCGTGCCTGGTCCCGGCATGTCCAGTACACCTTGTCCCCCGCCGCCTTCTCCCGCCGGTACAGGAAGGACTCGAACACCAGGAAGCTGCCCCCCAGCGGCGTCTTCAGGAACTCGGGGCCTCCTGGGAGAGCAGAGTGCGGCCCCTGAGCAGAGCAGAGGGCGTACACCCGCCAGCCCCCCACCCCTCCCGCCCCCCGCCTGGGTACCTGGGCCTCCCCGCTGGGCTGGGCCTGGGCGTTTCTCCCGCTGCCTCAGCGCCTCCAGGCCCCCCAGGTCCGGAGGGTGGCAGTGGCCCCGCATCACGGTCACCCTCCGGCCCTGGGTGATGGCGCGGCTGCGACAACCCATGCGCGCCTGGTCCCGGCACGTCCAGTACACCTTGTCCCCTGCCGCCTTCTCCCGCCGGTACAGGAAGGACTCGAACACCAGGAAGCTGCCCCCCAAGGGCGTCTTCAGGAACTCGGGGCCTCCTGGGGTGGGAGACGGGCTGGGGGTCTCCTGGGCCGGGAGACAGGGGCTGGGGGGGGTCTCTGGGGAGCGAGACGGGCTGGGGGTCTTCTGGGGCAGGAGACAGGGGCTGGGGCTCTCTGGGGTGGGAGACAGGGGCCCAGACCCACCGGGCTGGACTGAGGAGACAAGGCTGGGGCCAGTGGCGGAGCACTCACCTGGGTCGTCGTCGGGCTCGTCTGTAGGGGATCCCAGGGAATCTGGTGTCTGCTCTTTGACCTTGGCCTGCTTCCGGGGCCGGGGCCTGTCTAGGGCACCTGTCAGGTCCGCGGCCGTCCTGGCAGTGGCCCTTTCCTGCTGCCGCCGCGCCTCCAGACCCTCCATGTCCGGCGGGTGGCAGTGGCTCCGCATGACGGTCACCCGCGGGCCCTGGGTGATGGCGCGGCTGCGGCAGCTGTGCAGCACATGGTCCCGGCACGTCCAGTATACCTTGTCCCCCACGGCCTTCTCGCGCTTGTACAGGAACGACTGGTGTACCAGGAAGCTGCCCCCGTAGCTGGTGCGCAGGAACTCCAGGCCCCAGGGCTCTCCTGGGCAAGGGACGGGCGTTGGGCGGCAGGACAGCCAACCCGCCCCTCTGCATCCACATGGGGACCTGGTCCAGACACTGCCCCCCAAACTCTCCCAAACCCAGGGCAGTTAAAGGTCCTAGGTCCGCTGAGGTCATGGCCAGGTCACACACTAAAAGGGCTGAGCTGACTCCGCCTCTGACCCTGTCCCCACCTGGTCCCTGGCCCTTCACCGCGACCCTCTCCCCTAGCCGACAGTGACCCCTCTCCCCTAACTGGACAGTGACCCCCGTCTCTTGGTCTCCCAGTTCCTGCTAAATGGACACTAGGAGGCGTCTCCATCCTTTAGTCCCCACCAAACGCACAACTTGTGGGCTGTCACCCAGGGTGACCTGATATTCCTCTGTTCCATCAGGGCAACTCGGAACCCGGGCCTCGGGCCACACAGTGGCCTCCAGGTGCCCAGGTCCAGAGCCACCCAGCCTCCATGGACACTTGAGTTTCTACAACCAGGCAGACCCCTGCAGCCTCAGAACATTCTGGAAGGAACAGGGAGGGCCCTGGGGCCCTGGCACACAGCCAGGTCAGGGGCTCTGGGTCCTCCCAGCTCCCGGGGGCCAGTAACTGCTTGGGGGGTGGGGGTGCCAAGGAACCCCGTGAGCTTTAACCCAGTTGAGGCCGCCCTGACCCTGAGTGGGGACCGCAAGAAAGGCAGGGGGACAGGGCCCTGCAGAGGGAAACCCCCAAACCACGCAGGACTCACCAAACCCCACCCTCAGGCGGCGCTTCTTGGGGGGCAGGCTCAGCAGGGACAGAGTGCGGGAGCCCTGGGCATCCCCTGGGGCGCGTCTGCCAGAGGCAGGCTCTGGCTCCGGCGGGCCCGGCCCGGGCAGCTTCTGTCTCCGGCGCCGCGCTTCCAGGCCCTCCTCGTCGGGTGGGTGGCAGTGCCCGTGCATGAGGGTGGCGCGGGCCCCGCGGGTAATGGCCCGGCCACGGCAGCGCAGCCCCACGCTCTGGCGGCATTTCCAGTACACGCGGTCGCCCACGGCCTTCTCCTGCTTGTACAGGAAGGACTCAAGCACCAGAAGGCGGCCCCCGAACGGTGTCCTCAGGAACTCCAGCGGTGCCCGGGCTGCAGGAACAGGGGTGCTGGGGAGGACCCGGAGGACCCAGGGGCACGCACGTGGGGGAGGGGCGTGGCCAGGGGGACCCACCTGCCTCCTGCTTGCTACGCTGCTGCTCAGGGGTGCGTGGGCCTGGCTGGAGGGTCGCCCCCAGGCCCTCTGTTGGCAGCATTGAGGTGGTGCTGGCAAGAGGGCCAGGGCCGGACTGGTCCAGGGAGGCGCTGTGGTGTCCACTGTGAGGCCGGGGGCCTCCCTCATGGCTGCTCTCGGGGGAGACAGTCAGCACAACCACTGTGGAGAAGTCCTTGGAGTTGGAGGTGGCCCCGGGGACCTCAGGGCGTGACTCCTGGCCGGCCTGCCCACTTGTGGCCTGCTCACTGGACTCCGGCAGGGGCATTGTGGGACCAGCGGCCTGGCCCCCACACTGGCCCCGGCACTTGGGTCCCGCCAACGGCTTCCTGGCAGGAAGGAGGGGAGAGGGTCAGTGCAGGGGCGGGAAGGGGGAGGCAACACTCCTGTCCTTACGCCAACAGCAAGGCTCTCGGGTGGGGGGTGACCATGCAGGCTAGGTGGTCCCAGACTGTGCCCTGAGCCCGCATCCCCCTCCTGAGGCACATCACTCCCGCTCGCCCGCTGCCAGGAGAGGCACCCTGAGGGTCCTTCCAGGATGGGGCATCTGAGCACCAAGTGGAGGCACCGGCGCCCTGGCAGGGGTGCTCAGCAGAGCCTGCTGGAGGCTGGGTTCCCCTTCTCATGTGTAGTGGGGGCTCGGTCAGGACAGAGGAGAAGCTGCTCGGGACAGGATGTCGGAGGCCCTGCCCCACCCCACCACCTGCTGACTGGCACTGGGGGAAACTGGTCACCTTCCACAGGCAGCCCACCCCTGAAGGGCACCTTTCCTTCTCCTGGGCCCTTTCACTCACTCGGGCCACCAAGGCGGGTGACCACTGTCCAGCAACTGGACAGGAGTTGGTGACCAGGGACCCAGGAACAACATGGACCTCCAGCTAGGGTAAGACACCCAGGCCCTGCCACCCCCAAGCCTGCTCCTGGGGCCCACATGTGCCCTGCACACCCCGAGCCAGGAGCCAGCCGTAGCCCCCATCACTTGGACACCTCTGGGAGTGACCCCAGGAGCCCGTGTGCAGATGGGGAGACTCAGAGGCCAGAAGATAACAAAGGGCCAGGTGCCTCCTGGTCCTGAGGTCCCCGACAAGGTGGGCAGAGCCCTGTGGGTGCCAAAGTACTGCCCCCAAAGACTCCTGAGCACTGCTGGTGAGCATTATCTGCCGTGGGTGCCCCACCCCCCAAAATAAAAAAGAGTCCTCTGCTGCTGTCAGAGCCAAATGCCCCAGCACCCATTTCCTGCCCCTCAGTGGGGCAGAGAGGGGCTCCGGCCCCTGCAGTTCCCAGGGACTGCTCTGGCCTGGAGTGTGGGCAGTGGCTCTGGCCCACGTTATTCCAGAACCGGCCCAGCTCCCGCACGCCACCTCCCCAGCGCTTCTCTCTGCCACTGGATTTTCTCATCAGAAGCTGGCATGGATCATACATGCAGGTGTGTTAGTAGGTCACTAATAGGATGCTGTAAAAACTATATAAGACCGTCTAAGGGGGGGCTGGAGTGATAGCACAGCAGATAGGGAGTTTGCCTTGCACGCGGCCGAACCGAGTTTGATTCCCAGCATCCCATATGGTCCCCTGAGCACCACCAGGAGTAATTCCTAAGTGCATGAGCCAGGAGTAATCCCTGTGCATCACCGGGTGTGACCCAAAAAGCACTGTAGCGCTGTCCTCCCGTTGTTCATCTATTTGCTCGAGCAGGCCCAATAATGTCTCCATTGTGAGACTTGTTGTTACTGTGTTTGGCATTTTGAATACGTCACGGGTAGCTTGCCAGGCTTTGCCATGTGGGCGAGATACTCTCGGTAGCTTGCCGGGCTCTCTGAGAGGGGCAGAGGAATCGAACCTAGCTCGGCCACACCAGTTGCGCGCAAGGCAAATGCTCGACCCAAAAAGAAAAAAAAATCGTCTAAGAGGTGGGGAGATGGCTCAAGGGCGCCCGTGATGTGTGGAGAGGAGGCCTGGGTTCGGTCCCAGGCACCACATACGGCTTCCTAAACACTCTCAGGAGTGACCCCTAAACAATGGTGGATTAGCCCCATCCCAAAAAAAGTTTTTTTCCCGCTTTTTGGGTCACACCCAGCGATGCACAGGAGTTACTCCTGACTCTGCACTCAGGAATCACCCCTGGCGGCACTCAGGGGACCATATGGGATGCTGGGACTCAAACCCGGGTCGGCTGCGTGCAAGGCAAACGCCCTCCCTGCTGTGCTATTGCTCCAGCCCCCCAAAAAAGTTTTAAGACATGTCAAGGCCAGAACGCTGAGAACAGCTGCTCTGGGGCGCAGCTATTTTCATCCCTCAGGGCGCCTGGACCCTGCTTTGTCTTTGCAGTGCACACAGTGTTCCCCACGTGTCTACTATTTTTTTCCCCTTCCGGTGAAGCAGATGGCACTGCGGTCCAGCAAGTCACAGGTACCCAATCTCCGCCTCAGCAGCAATCCCCCAGAGAGCCACAAGGTGGCGGTGCGGCACCTCCAGATGGAGAAAACGCAGCCCAGTGTTCCAGAGCAAGACTTGGGGGTTCCCTAAAGATGGCTCAAAGCCCCGGGTTTCACCTTCAGCACCACATGATCCCCCCAGATGCCCCCGGAAGCAATCCAGCACTGTCAGGAGTGCCCTTCAAACCAAAACATTTGAGGGTTTTTTTTTCCCCTTTTTGGGTCACACCGGATGATGCTCAGGGCTTACTCCTGGCTCTGCACTCAGGAATCACTCCTGGCGGTGCTCAGGGGACCCTATGGGATGCCGAGGATTGAACCTGAGTTGGTCACGTGCAAGGCAAATGCCCTCCCCGCTGGATTATCACTCCAGCTCAAAACATTTGAATTTTTCTGCGTGGGAGAAGCAGTCCAGCTGGGACCCCTCCAGCACCTGAACATACATTTGGGCAGGGAGAGCCAGGTAGGTGGCCTTGCATGTCTGCTCTGGATTCGATCCCAGCACTGCCAGGAGAGATCCCTGAGCATTGTGCCAGGAGTCAATCCTGACAACTGCCGGCTGTGACCAAAACATAAAAATATAAATGTGGGGGCAGAGCTCTCAAGCCATGCTCAGGGGCTATTCCTGGCTCTGTGCTCAGGAGTCACTCCTGGAGGTGCTCTGGGGAATCATACGTAGTGCCAGGGATCAAACAGGACCACTCGCCTGAGAAGCCTGGGTCTAACACCATGCTGCTGGCTCTCCAGCCTGTGGAGTAGTTTTGAGCCAGGCAGACAACAGAGGAAAGCTGGAGAGCCTGGAAGCTTCTGCCCCCCGCCCCCAGTGAGTGCAGAGCTCGGGGTCTCTGGGCCGTCCTGCTGGTTGGCACCGCTGGCTCAGGGCAGACCCACAGGAGAGGCCCAGTGAGCCCCCAGGCACAGCTCTCACAGCCTCAGTCTCACCTTCACGCGAGGCAGTCGCAGCCAACGAAGCCGTGGACCGCTGCCAGGATCCTGGATGGGGGGCTGCCCAGGGCCAATCCCATCACCCTGAAGGGCACCTGCAGGAGAAGCAAAGTGGCAAGTGAGATCTTGAGCATGAAACTCTGGGCCACAGCACTAGTACTGAGGGGAGGGCACTTGCCTTGCATGCGGCTGAACCTGGTTTGACCCCCGGCACCTCGTATGGCCCCTAAGCCCCTCCAGGAGTGGTCCCTGGGCACAGAGCCAGGGTGAGCCCTGAGCGCGGCCAGGTGTGGCCCAAATCCCCTCATTTAGACACGCTTGGCCCTGCGTGCCACACGCCAGCAGCATTCCAGGTGCTGAAAGCCTGCTGTAAATGCTAACCAACAGCATCCCCTAAGGGGTAAAATGCCCAAATGTTTCAGCCCTGGAGCCCCAGAGCACTATGGAGAGCCCAGTTCCACTCCCTGGCCCCGCCCCCACCCCAGCTCAGACCCTTCCCGGTGCTCCCTGCCCTGGTCAGTGGTGCCCGGCTCTTCCACCCATCACGCCTGCTCAACCGCAGGGGTCTGCTGCTGTGCCAGTAGCTTCCACCTCCTGAAGCGCCACGTCAATCATCTCTCAGCAATAAAAGCCATCTCAGCTGCGCCATAAACAGACGCTCCTCAACTCACACATGCTCCTGGCCCTAGTCTGCGCGGGAGGAGAGGAACCCGCTAAACCTTTGATGGAATCAAAGCAAATCCTGGAAATGATTTTTGCCCTCAAAGGCAGGAATGTCAAAATAACAATTAAAAAAACAAAACCACAAAACACCCTCTCTTTGGAGTTGGAAGGCCACCTGTGACTAACTATCCCCGTGAAGGAAACGCAAGACCCGGTTAGCGCGGTTCCGAGCAGGGCAGACCAGCGCACTGTCCGGTCCTGCAGACAGAACGCGCAGGAGACAGGTGGAGGCAGCCGCGCTGCGTCACAGGGGTCGGGTTCCACACGATCTGCCTCTAGTGCTCGCGAGTCCTCTCCTTGCCCGCACCGGGATGCAAGTAGGAATCTTTCCGCGCGTGGGCTGAGTGGGAAAAGTTTGAGAGGCACGAGAGCAGCCGGCATCGTGGCCGGAGGAGCAGGGCTCGCCCCCGGCAGGAAAGTGCAAGGTCACCGGGACCTCCGAGCACGGCGCCGGTGGGCAGTGCCGGCCCGGGCGGTCTTGGGAGGGGCCAACAGGGGGTCCTGACACGGGGTGGCTCGGTCCAGTGGGTCGGTGGGTGCGGGCGGGGGGCGCGCGCGCAGTAAGGCAAATTGCGGGTGCGGGGCAGAGGGGCACCCTCCCCCACCCACCCCGCACAGGGGCGCGAGGCCGCGGGACCACCCCAACCCCTCCTCCAGTATCCGCAGCTCCGGGATGCCCACGAGAGTACGGCCGGGGGCCAGGAATCCAGGACCCTCCCCGACCCGCTGGGACCCGTCCTCACCGGGCACCGGCCGGGCGGCGGCGGCAGTGGGGGCCCTGCCTCTCCGGCGACCCGGCCCCGGTGGGTCCTTTGGCCTCGGACGCTGCAGCCACAGGAGTCGACCCCGCGCGGCCCAGGCCCCTCCGGCCGCCACCACCCAGAGCCCGCTCCCCGCCCCCACCTGCCCTCTCGGGAGCGAGCCCCGTGCCCGCGCGCGCAGCCCCGCTGGCCGTCGGGGGCGCGCGCCACCCCGCGGGGGAGCCCGCTTCCTGGACCGCCCCAGCGGTCAGCTAGCGAGCATGCGCGGCGGGGCGGGCTCCGGTCCGCCCGGGAAATCCACTCCCCGGGCCCTCCCCTGCGTCCCGCCCGGCGGGCGGACTGGCCAATCGGCGCCGGGGGCGGGGCCACGACTCGCTGAGGAGACGGGGCCGGCGCCGGATTGGGCGGTGCCGCGGGGCGGGCCCTGCCCCGGGTCTGGGCATCTCGGCTCGGAGGCTGCGGCTCGGAGCGGGACGTTCGGGGCTTCGTTGAGACGCCGCCGGATCGCTCCCAGGATTCTATCCCGACTCCTTTCCCGGACCCGCCTTCCGTAGCCAGCGCAAGGACATTGCTGACTCACCCCACTGAGATCGTCTGTTGGTGCCACTCTAAGCCTGCGCCGGTCTGAGTCAAAATTAATCGTGACTTTCGGAAGATGACTCAAGAGTTTGGAACTCGGCCTTTGCGTGAAGGACCCCAGGCTGATCGCTGAGCTCCAACAGGAGTAACTTCAAAGAACCATGCTGGAACCATCCTCGGCCTTACTGGGTATACCCGCCCCCGCATCACGTCAATGAACTTGAATAAAATTTTATTCAATAGCCTCGAATAAAATTAGTTGATAATAATAGAAACAAATCAAGGAGGAGCTGGCTTGCCCAGCATGGTGCTCTGCGGTGGCTCCTGGTGCGGTGCTGGGGGTTGAAACGGAGCCTCTGGCATGCAAAGTATGTGTTCCAGAACTTGAGTGACTTTAAGGGCCCAAGAGGGGAAAGCTCTTAAGGTAAAGAGACTGCAAAAAAACCAAAAAATATCTCATTAAGGCAGCAACTAAGACACTTGCCTTGCACACTGGAGCTCCATCCCCAGCACCTGGTGAGCGTGGTCAGGAGTGAGCACTGAGCACTGAGTACTGCCTGAGCACTGCCAGGTGTGGCCCCATCCCTGTCCCTCCCTTGGATTTGACCTTGACAATACACACTACCACTAAAGAAATAGTGCAGCAGTTAAGGTGCTTACCATGCCCACGGCTGACCCTAGTTTGATCCCTAGTGCTAATGGGTCCCCCAAGCACCTCCAGCAGTAATGCCTAAGACAGAGCCAGAAGCTCTGAGAACTATGGACTGCGGCCTACCCAAACTATAAAAAATCTTAGTTATTTGGAAGCTATCAAGAGAAAGCTTTTCAATATTTTACCTTGCAAAGTAGATAGTTATTTTGCTATTGTTTGGGGACCACAGTGGTCAGGGGTGGCTTGCTGGGAGAAGGGCTGCAGGATGCGGAAGTACCCGCTGGCAGAGGATGCCCTGCACTCTGGACCCCAGGGAGCTGGTGCCGGCTGACCCCGACACAACGGCCCCACGCTGCAGGGTGTATGGAGTGTCCAGCTGTCGGGCTGGCCAGTCTCTGCATTCCGGTTCTAACCAGGGGCACCTGAGTGCCCAGGAGGAAGGAAGGAGGAAGGCTGTACACAGGCTTAGGTGACTGGCACAGTTGCTATTGTACTATCACTCTCAGGATTTTTTTTTTTTTTTTTTTTTTGCCTTTTTGGGCCACACCCTGCAGTGCTCAGGGCTTACTCCTGGTTCTGCACTCAGGAATCAGTCTTGGAGGAGCTCAGGGCATTGTATGGGATGCCGGAAATCAAACCCAAGTTGGCTGAGTGCTCAGAGGGTTGTAGCTTGTGCCTGTCACCCCATGATGCCTGAACACTTTCCTGGCAGGTCACACTGCTATGTTAAGCTTGGCTAGGAACAGCCCCAGGTTCCCAAGCACTGTTGGGGAGCCCAAAGTCAGTGAGGCGCTTGATGCAGGCCCCGCAGTGCAGGGAGACTCATGGGGCATCAAGTCTTGCCGCCTCCAGCACAGACCTCAGGCTCCTGAATGCAGGGCCCTGTGTGGGGGCTGTTGGCCACAGCACAGGCCTCTGGGGGCCATCCTGGAGAGTTGGGGTCTTGTTTCCCAGTGCTCAGAGTTGGAACCCCCAGACCCAGGTTCCCAGGGAAAAGGACCCCTGGAAGCTGCAGACCTGGGGTCCCAGGGAGTTTGGACTGGAGAAGACCCCAGGCTAGAGGGCCTCGGGACCCTAATCAGTACCATGAAAACTGTGAGACTCAGGCGGGGCACCCACAGGGGCCAGGGTATGAGCCCACCCACAGCAAGGGCACTAGCCAAGTAAGTCTTAGGTTTTACTTTCTCTTTTATTCTCTTCCTGGATTTTTTTTCCCTGCTTACAAGAGAAACTTGTCTCAGGAAAGACTTAACTCTAGGCAGAGGGGAAGGAGCTTCGAGGGGCCCAGGGGTAGCTGAAGTCACAGGCTGCCGGGACCTCGTGGGCATCAGGGCTGAGGGGTCCCCGTGGGTGCCATGGGATGTTCAGTAGACACCTCCTCATCTGCTAAGGAGTTGGGAGCACTGGGCCCCACCAAGCTTCCATCTTCTTTCCCATCTGGAAGAGAAAGGGGCATGTCAGGCTGGAGCGATGGAAGGAGGGTGCAGCAGGGACTGGCTCAAAGCTGCATCACGGGCCCACAGACAGGGCCCCAGAGCTTCTTTAGCAGCAAACTTTGGCCACAGAGGTGGGGGTGTCGCTGGATCCTGCACAGGAATGGTGCTCACCTGGGTCTAGCTTGCGGCGTTTCCTCTCAGGGTCAGGCTGCGGGGCCTCAATGGCACACTGCGGGTTGATCTGGAGCAGGGCCTTGGTCAGCGTGGCCGTGCCGGGCACGCCCAGGGACATGATGCAGTGCACACCCCGGCGCTTCACACTGGCCATCTGGTCACTGTCTTTGGATGCCGTCAGCAGGACCAGTTTGGAGAACTTCCTGGGTTTCCTGGGGGTCACTGGGACCACCTCCGTGCCAGGGGCCTCAGGCTCCTGGCCGGCCAGCCCGCTTGAGGCATCCTGCTGGCTGGACTCGGGCAGGGGCATTCTGGGACCGGTGGCCTGGCCCCCCGCCCCACTTCAGCCCTAGAACTTGGTTCCCACCTCTGGCTTCCTGGCAGGGAGGAGTGAAGCGGGTCAGTGTGGGAGCAGGGGACATGGGGAGGCTGTCCCCCACCGTCTCCCCATCCCTGTCCATCCCATACGCCAAATGCATGGCTTTCAGGGTTGGAAGGTGACTATGCGGCAGGAAGGTAGTCCCCAGATTGTGTCCGAGCTCCCAAACCCCCTCCTATGGCACATTGCTACCACTGGCCTACTGCTGGGGCACAGCACTGAGGTGTCTGGGCTCCAGCGGGACTGGGCATCTGAGCACTGAGCAGGGGCACAGGCACCCTGGCATAGGGGCTCACACAGAGCCTCCCGGAAGGTGGTGCTTGGGTTTGGGGCCACCCCTGGTAGTACTCGGGACTCAACCCTGGCTCTGTGCTCAGGGAATGACGTGGATGCTGTGGAATTGAACCTGAGCTGGGCAAGTGTCTTCCCCGCTGCTGTGCTATTTATTTCTCTGGCCCCATGGCGGGTACACTTATTTATTTGCTTATTTAGGAAGTAGGAAGGTTTATGGGAAAGTAGAAGGAAAAGGGAAGGAAACTCCCCAGCCAGGAAGGAACTTAGTTTAGGACTAAGTTCACTTTTTATTACTTTTATTGCCACACTCAGTGATGCCCAGGGGTTACTCCTGCCTCTGCACTGAGGGATCACTCCTGGCGGGGCCCAGGGAACCATATGGGGTGCCAGGGATGGAAGCTGCTATGCCTGGTGCAAGGCAAGTGCCCTTACCTGCTCCAGCCCTACACCACCTGCTTTGAGGTCGTTTCTTTGCACCTTTTTTTTTTTTGGGGGGGGGGGTGATGGCTCCCGTAGTGTTGGGAAGCGGGGGTGACCATAGGGTGCCAATATCCTGCAAGACAGATGAAAGTACATGCTCCCTGGGAGTTGTCTCAGAGCCTGGCGGTGGGCATCCGTGCCCAGCACCCTCAGGTGGCCCTCGACCCTGTCACCCATGAGAGGCACTAGGATGACTGACCATGGAGGGGGCTGGTTCTTCTCCCCAACAACTCCCTTCTCCACTCCCTGGTTTCTAGCCAAGAAAGTAGAGACTTGTGACAGCGGTGAGGCCCCCAACTCCAGGGCAGTCCTCAAAGAGCTGCTTGGTAACGTGCGTTTCCTACCCACAACGAACCCCGTGACCAGTGTCCAGTCAAGTCCCCTTAGCCCAACCCAGCTCCTCCAGAGGTTCTTCCAGGTCGGCCACCCCGGTTCCGCATGCTGATTGGCCCTAGTCACACGTCAGTCCGCCCCCGGGAAGAATCAATGAATGAAGGCGACAGCCCCAGCCCGCCCCCGGCCTCGCCGCCAGCCCCTCGCGTTGCCAGGCCCCGCCCCCGCCCCCGCCCCGCCCCCGGCCTAGCCGCCAGGCCCCGCCCCGCCGCGGCCCCGCGCAGGTGACATCCCAGCGAGCCTGGCTAGCAGGGGGCCGGCCGACCAAAACGACCTTTTTCCTGGCCACAGTCATCGCCGGCCCTGCGAGCGGCGCCCCCGTGTCCGACTCCGCAGCCTCGGCAACCAGGCCAACTCCAGCGGCAGGAACGGCTCACGGGGGTTCGATCCCGGGGCCCTATGTGTGCCCAGTCCCCGCTAGGACTGACCCCAGAGCACCTCCGGGAGTGGCCCCCAAGCAAACAAAAAACAAACTCCAAAACCCACTTGCAATTACTCCGTTGGGTGTTACAAGCGCAGAGCCCTGGTTAAGGGAGACGCCAGAGGGGAGAAAGAATTTCCGGAGCTGAGGCCCAGACCGAGAGCACAGCGGGTAGGGGCGTTTGCCTTGCACGCGCCCCAGATTTGGTGGAGGATAGCACAGTGGTAGGGCGTTTGCCTTGCACGCAGCCAACATGGCCGACCCAGGTTCGATTCCTCCACCCCTCTCGGAGAGCCCGGCAAGCTACCGAGAGTATCTTGCCCGCACGGCAGAGCCTGGCAAGCTACCCATGACGTATTGCCAAACACAGTAACAACAAAGTCTCCAATGGAGACGTCACTGGGCCTGCTCGAGCAAATTGATGAACAACAGGAGGTCCTTTACCTTTACCTTTGGCTGGAGCGATAGCACAGCGGTAGGGCGTTCGCCTTACAAGCGGCCGACATGGTCGACCCGAGTTCGATTCCTCCGCCCCTCTCGGAGAGCCCGGCAAGCTACCGAGAGTATTCGATATGCCAGACACAGTAACAACAAAGTCTCCAATGGAGACGTTACTGGGCCCGCTCGAGCAAATCCACGATCAACGGGAGGGCCTTTACTTACTTTACTTACTAAAGAATATATCAACTATGCAAACTTTATTAATTTTTCAAGATACCGGTGTCTTTCTGCACGTGGTGACGGGAGATCAAATCAGGCAGCGTTTGCATGGTCAGGGTTTCTACCGCTGACCCAGACCCACGGCGCTAGATTTAATTTTCTGATCAAAGGAAAGGGTTGATTTAGTTTGGAATGAGGTTATTTAAAATTTCTTTGGGTCTGGAATGATAACACAGCGGGTAGGGCGTTTGCCTTGCACGCGGCCGACTCGGGTTCGATTCCCAGCATCCCATATGGTCCCCTGAGCACCGCCAGGGGTAATTCCTGAGTGCAGAGCCAGGAGTAATCCCTGAGTATCGCCAGGTGTGACCCAAAAACTTAAAAAAAAAAATTTATAAAATCTGTTTGTGTTTGGAGGTCACACCTGGTGATGCTCAGGGGTTACTCCTGGCTCTGTCAGAAATTACTCCTGGCGGTGCTCCGGGACCAAATGGGATGCCCAGGATATAGCCCAGGTAGGACACAATCAAGGCAAGTGCCCTACCCGCTGTACTATCGCTCTAGCCCTATTTTTAATTATTCAACTAAAAGGAGTTATAGAGAATAATTAACTCCACAATCCTGTAAGAACGAGGGTGGCGGCCACTCTAGCCTTCATTTATGCATTATGGCTTTCTACATTACTCCTCCAAGAAAAGCGTTCACATAATTGTATTTTCCTCTTCCTTGTCACTTAGTAGGCTAGAAACCAGCAGTCCAGAGACCAGACATGTTTCAAAATGGGGGGGGGGGGGGGGGGGCGGGGTGCGGAAAAGCAAACTTAAAAGCTTGAGCAGCAATACTCTGGAAGGGCCACCAGGTGGCAATATAGCTCCTTTAAAATGAGCCACTGTTCGAACCGTTTAAGGCATGACATTTTCCCCAAATAAGCAAATAGGATACAAAAGGGGAAGACATAAGAAGACTTTTAAAGTGTATTTGATATACCAATAGTGGGGAAGGAAGGGAAGGGAAGAGATGGAAAGGGAAAATAATAAAGTGCAATGAATACATTTAGCAATATGGGTTTTTCTACGTTAAATGAGCATGTATTTCCCCAGCTCATGATTAAACAGCTTTGGACCCGAGAGGCTCCACGCCCCTCTCTTAGCCGATGGATGTGTGTGGCCCAAACTGGAAAAAAAAAATCATAGTCGGAGGGGCTGGAGATAGTATAGCGGGTTTGCCTTGCACGTAGCTGACCAGGGTTTGATCCCCAGCACTACATTGGTTCCCCAGAGCGCTGTCAGGAGTGATCCCTGAGCACAAAGCCAGGAGTATGCCCCGAGAAACACTGGGTGTTCCCCTCTCCCACAAAAAAAAAATAAGATCATGAAAATCTTCAAATTATTCTACAAATTCAACAGGATTTCTGTCCAAATTCCAGTTGGTTTCTCTGAAGAACCTGACAAGCTTATCCCTAAAATGCACATGGCAATTGAAGGGATTCAGAAGAGCCAAAACAATCTGGAAAAACAGCCAAGCAAGAGGATTAGACTTGCCTGTTTTAAAAGCTACAGTGATCAAGACAGCAGAACTCAGTAAGGACAGACGGACAGCGTGGGATTTCGAGTAGGGACAGACGAGCAAGTGCCCCAAGACCACTGGTGGGAGAAAGAACCCTCTGGGGGTCCAATGGCAGGAGTGGGCGGGGTGATGGCCTTGCATGACCCTGACCCGGCTTCAATCCCCAGCGCCCCATACGTCCCTGAGTTCCAAGTCAGGAGTAAACTAAGTGTGGTCCAAAAACCAAAAGGGGAAAATTCTGTGTGGAAGGTGTTGCATACAGGAACAGAGAGAGGAGGGCGGTTGCTGTGAGCACAGTCGAGGCTGGTCCCCAAACCCACCGACCAACAAAGGCTTCACGGGTTGCCCGCAGCCTGGGGCTCCCCACTCCAGCCCCCACCCCCAGATCCTACCCCAGTGAAACTTGGTCAGATTTGGAGCCCGGGGGCAGTGCTCAGGTCTGCTAAGGGTTTCCAAACCTCGCACAAGTAACACTCAGCTACTTCTCTGGGCCCCAAACTGGGGGAGGCTCATACCGGCCATGCGCAGGGGTTGCTCCTGGCTCTGAACCCAGTCACCCCATAAGGGTGGGGTGCCACAAGCACCCATGTGGCACGGCAATTGGTTACAGTGCAGCAGGCCACAAGTACAGGGATGAGTCCTCGTTGGTGAGGTTCGAAAGTTGAGGGGATTGGGAGGCCACAGCAGGAGGGGCCCCTGGCCCAGCGCACGAAGTCTTAGGACAGTCTGTCTCAGGTAGGTCTCATCCGCATGATGGGGACTTGGTGACTTTCGCAGGCTTCCTTTTGGGGACGTGCTTAGGGTGCCCAGGGATCCTGGCTGTTGGGCCGAAGGGTCAGCGCTGCTTGGCCGCCGCCCAGCGGGATCTTGCTCCAAAAGTCCTTCTACAGGACGCCCACCCCTCCACCAGCAGCCCCGTGCGGCCCCCCTCCGAGCGGAAAGCCTGCAGGTCCACGTCCTTTCTGGAAGATTCTCCAAGTGGAGCGACCCTCGAAAGGAAAGAGATGCCCAAAGTCGGGGCTCCCTGTAACAGCACCCGGTACCTACATCACCCCTTACCCTCGGAATGTGCCGGCCCTGCCCTCCTGCTCCCCCCCCCCACACCTGCCCCCAGCCTCCCGCCCCGCCCGCGCCCTCCCGCGGGATGACCAAGGACCAGTCAGCCTCAGACCCCTCCCCGCGGGACCGACCTCACCGGGCACCGGGGGTCCTGCCTCGCTGGCTCCCTCGGCCGCCACCCGGGCTGGGGTCAGGGCGGGCGCCTGCGCATGAGGCCGCGGGTCGTTCCCGGGGCGACGCTCGCTCCGGGTCCCCCCCGCGCGCTGCCCAGGTGCCGGCCGGCCAATCGGCGCCCCGAGACGTGGGCGGACCCGGCTCGGGATTGGGGGCAAGGGACGGGCAGGGCCGTGGGCGACCCGGCGCGGAGTCCAGCCCTGGGGGGCTCTGTCAGCTCCAGGACCGGGCGGGTTCACCGAGACCTCCGGGCTCTGCCCCGGCTCCCAGCGAGCACTCGCCGGTGTCTGCGCCTAGGTCCAGGCGAGCGGAGGGACGCGCCGTGCCCGGCCTGGTGGCGCAGCATCCTTCGCACGGCCCCGCCCCGGGCCCTCCCGCGCGCGTGTCCAGCCTCCGCCTGCAGCGCCCACTCCTGGGTCACCCCGGCCGTCCCTCCCGCCCAGCCTTCGATCCTTGCTGAGCCCTCGCCAGCGGGCCCGCCGCGGTCGCCGGGCTTCAGCCTCCTTCACGGATCGCAGCCGATGGACGCTGTTATTCCTGCAGCCACCGTGCAGGTGTGGACGGGATCGCCGGGTGCAGGGCTCGGCCTTCCTGCGACAGCGAGTGGGTGGTCGGTGGGAATGGCCCCGCACAACCGCAGCTGGCCCCCGTCTCGCCGTGCGGCAGGGACGTCCCACTCGCGCTGTTTGGGGTAGACCAGCTCTAGGCAGACCCTCCCGGGCCCTCTCGCAGCCCAGCTAGTTCCCCTGCAGCTCCTCGGCCTACTGCCCGCTCGAACGCGCGCTCTAGCCTCTTGTGTCTGACTGGGTGTGCAGTCCCAGCATTTGCCCATCGCACGTCCTCGGTCCAGAATCCTGCCTTGGGGCCTCAGTTCCAGAGCAATTGCCCCGTCAGCACCCCCCCAACCCCCCCATTGGCATATCTATCAATGACCCTGGACTGCGAAATGCTTTTCATTTTAATACTTTATAAAAATCTTTATAACTTTCTGACATCCCTGTTTATTGAAATTCCTAAAAGGAGTCAAAGGAATAAACTTTAAAAAACAAAGATTGGGGGGCTGGAGCAATAGCACAGCGGGTAGGGTATTTGCCTTGCACGAGGCCGACCCGGGTTCAATTCCCAGCATCCCATATGGTCCCCTGAGCACCGCCAGGGGTAATTCCCGAGCGCAGAGCCAGGCAGGTGTGACCCAAAAAGCAAAAAAAAAAATTTAAAAAAATTAAAAAAAAACAAAAAACTTCAGGGACTAGAGAGATAACACAGTGGGGAGGGTGCGGCCGACCTGGGTTCGATTCCCAGCATCCCATATAGTCCCCGGAGCACCGCCAGGAGTAATTCCTGAGCGCAGAGCCAGGAGTAACCACTGATCATTGCTGGGTGTGACCCAAAAAGAAAACTAAATAAAGAAATAAATTAAAAAAAAACAAGCACTAAAACCAAAACTTTTTTTTTTTCTCTCAGGGAGTTTATTCATGACGCTACTTAATTTCCCTCCTAAAACATGGATTGCTCCATCAGTCTAACACAGCCCAGGATTTCTGTCTTCATATTAAAAGATGAAGCTTAGAACTGGATCACTTGCCCCTTTCTATTTGTATCGCCTCCCAGTTCAAAATGCTTGCATCTCTTAATGGCTGGCATTCTCTGAGATCTGCAGTTGGGCTCGACGCATTCAAGTCGCAACACAATCTTCTTTGTAGTTTTAGGCCTTTTCCGGAAAATAGGGTTGGTTTGACCTCTGTAACCACTCTGCTTCCTGTCATAACAGCGACGCTTTCCCTGGGCATACAGAGAATCCTTGCCCTTCTCGTACTGTGTGACTTTGTGGGGCTGATGTTTGCCACATTTCTTACAAAAAGTCCGGCGGGTTTCTGGTACGTTCACCATGCTTGTGGCAGCGGTGTCCGCGAGGAAAGGAAAAACCAAAACCTTTTATAGGGCTGAAGAGAGTGCAGTGTAGAGGGTGCTTGTTTTGCACATGGCCTAATGGGGTTTGATCCCGGCATCCCATGAGGAGTGACGACTGCATGCAGGGTCAGGACTAAGCCCCGAACACTGCAGGCTGTGACCCAAAACCAAATCATTTTTGAAAAAGCAAACCTATGGGGTGTTGGAGAGAGAGTGTGCCTTACTTTGGTTCACCTTACTTTGGGTGCAGCCCTGGGGGGTCTTCCCAGGAGGACACAGCAGTGCCCCATTCCTGGAGCTGTTGGGCCCAGGAGACTGGAAATGCAGGGTGTGCTCCCCCGGGCACTGGAGCACTGCTCAGAGGCCCAAAATATAAAAATAAAGAAAATTAAAATAAAGAAGTGTTTCAGAAGCTGGAGTGATAGTAAAGTGATAAGTACTTGCTGAGCATGTGGCCAGTCCGGATCCGACCCCCTAGGGTCCCCGGAGCACCGCAGGGTGGGCCTGGGCCTCAGTGCCCGGAAAGTGTCCGTGCAGCGAGCCATGAGGCACGGGCAGCTCCCGCCAGCCACAGGCCCTTGCCTCAGGAAACCATAGTTGAGAGTTTGTGAGCTCCTGAGATCGCCTTTGCACAGAGGAAACAGTGCCGAGCTGTGGGCTAAGGATGGGGCAGAATGAAGTCATTTTTGACTGTTCATCCAGAATCATCTGCAATGGACGCATTTCCCAGGCAGTGAGTGGGAGTGACTGTGACAATGGTATGACTTGGCATCACCTCTGGTGCCTCTGCCCCATCGGCGGAAGAGAGAAAGTGCGTCCCAGGGGTGCGGCGGTGGCCAGCCCGCCCAGACCGCACAGGAATCGCTCTCGGCTCCACTCAGTTTGCTCCTTGCTGCTGCTCTTGCCGAACAGGGCCCAGAGGGGTCCTCTGTGGGCCAGAGCGACAGCACAGCGGGGAGGGTGCTTGCCTGGCCCACAGTCAACCTGGGTTCGATCCCCAGCTTCCCATATGGTCCGGGAGCATCACCAGGAGCAATTCCTGAGTGCAGAGCCAGGAGGGACCCTGAGTCTCACTGGGTGTGACCCTCTCCCAACAAAGATCCTCTTCATTCTTCTCTTCTCCCGGGAACTCGCAGCGTCCCTGCAGAATGCACCTGCTTCCTGGGGGGGTCAGTGGTGTGGGGGGTCCCAGCACACACCAATCTGTGCATGAACCGCGCTTGTCCCCTCCAGGTCTCCCAGAGATTCCGCCGCGAAGTCTCCACGGTTGGCACTTGAGGGAATCTGGACCGCTCTCACCTGGGCATGGGGCTGGAAGGGGCCTCAGCGCCAGCGCCTGCCTAGCCTGGGTGGAGCCTGAGTTCCACTGTGAGAACAGAGAAGGAGCCAGCATGAGCGGGGACTGTTTGCACCCGGCCCTCCCCATACACACCCACAGACACCCACTCACGGTGGTGAGGATGCAGGCAAGCGACTGTGCGGAAGGCAAGAGCCTTGACCTCGGTGCTGTCTCTCCAGCCGGTGCTGTCTCTCCAGTTGGTGCTATCTCTCCAGCCTGGACTATCTCTCTAGCCTGTCCTATCTCTCTAGCCTGTCCTATCTCTCCAGCCTGGACTATCTCTCCAGCCTGGACTATCTCTCCAGCCTGGACTATCTCTCCAGCCTGGACTATCTCTCTAGCCTGGACTATCTCTCCAGCCAGTGGTGTCTCTCCAGCCTGGACTATCTCTCTAGCCTGGACTATCTCTCCAGCCTGGATTATCTCTCTAGCCTGGACTATCTCTCTAGCCTGTACTATCTCTCCAGTCAGTGGTGTCTCTCCAGCCTGGACTATCTCTCTAACCGACTCCTAGATTATTGACAGTTTGGCCTCAGCCAGGCTATAGTTTCTGAGTTATTGCTTGCTTTGGTCCTGGGGTCATATTCAAAACTGCCTTGCATGTAGGAGCTTCAGCTTCTAACCTTGTTTTATTTTGTTTTTTTCGGGCCACACCTGGTGATTCTGATGCCTAGGAGTTAGTCCTGGCTCTGTGCTCAGGGAACACTCCTGGTGCTCAAGGGTCCACCGAGGATGCTGGGAATCGAATCTGGGTTGGCCAGATGCGAGGCAAATGCCCTCCCCTCTGTACTATTTCTCTAGTCTTTCAGCTTCCAACCTTGGGCCCTGCATGTTCCTTGAGGACCACTGGAAGCAACTCCAGAGCACTGAACCAGGAGAAGCCTCTCCCCCCACCCTGCCAGGTGTGGCCTGTAAACCAAATAGTACCACGAGGAGGGCCTTTGGCTTGCATGTGGCCAACTGGGGTTTGACCTCCGGCATCTCATATGGTCCCCTGACCACCACCAGGTGTGCAGAGCTAGGAGTAACCAAGCCCTGAGCACCATTGGGTGTGACCCCTGCCCCCCCAAAAGCAAAATGAAAATAAATAAAGGCTTGGAATGATAATACAAAAACATTGCCTTGCACGCAGTCGATCTGGGTTCAATCCCCAGAATTCCATATGGTCCCCGGAGCCCACCAAGAGTGATCCCTGAGCGCAGAGACAGGAGTTAATCCTAGTACTGTTGGGTATTACCCCAACACTATTTTTTTTTCTTTTTGGGTCACACCCAGTGATGCTCAGGGGTTATTCCTGGCTCTGCACTCAGGAATTACTCCTGGCAGTGCTTGGGGGACCATATGGGATGCTGGGGATCGAACCCAGGTTGGCCGCGTGCAAGGCAAACGCCCTACCCACTGTGCTATCACTCCGGCCCCCCAACGCTAATTTTTTTAATAAAACAATTTACATTTTTTTTGAGGGGGGTCACACCTGGTGATGCACAGAGGTTACTCCTGGCTCTGCACTCAGGAATTACCCCTGGCGGTGCTCAGGGGATCATATGGGATGCTGGGAATCGAACCCGGGTTGGCCGCGTGCAAGGCAAACGCCCTACCCGCTGTGCTATCACTCCAGCCCCAATAATTTACATTTTGAATGGGTTGGAGCGATAGCACAGTGGGTAGGATGTTTGCCTTGCACACGGCCAACCCGGGTTTCATTCCTCCATCCCTCTCAGAGAGCCCGGCAAGCTACGGAGAGTATCCCACCCACACGGCAGAGCCTGGCAAGCTCTCATATGGTGTATTTGATATGCCAGAAACAGTAACAAGTCTCACAATGGAGATGTTACTGGTGCCCTCTGGAGCAAATCGATAAACAATGGGACTGGAGGACAGTGCTACAGCGCTACATTTTGTATAAACAGATCTAGAACTAGAACGTGTGGCTCATGGCCCCCATCCGTCATAGTCCCCCAGAGTTGTACCCAGCAGGCCGGGCAGTGGGCAGGCGCTGTCCTTGCTGGGGTGGGGGCGGGGAACCCGGGCTGGGTCAGTCCTGGGTCCTCAGTGAGACTGAGCCAAGTCCTGACCAGGGAGCAATGCAACAACCACAGGACGCTTGAACAAACAGCTACAGTTACCATGGTGACCTGGTCATGGCCACATGTGACCAGGATTTCAGTCAGAAATTGGGGAAGAGAATGAGCAGGAAGAGGAAATGCAGGAAACCATGAAAGCAGCGAGAGAAGAGCCTCCTCCCTGGGGCCCCTCCCGCCCCCCCTCCCGCCCCCCCTCCCGCCCCCTCTGTTTGCCTGGCGCTTGCTTTTTCTCTTAAACGCCTGCTCTGACCTCTGCAGGGGCGCGTCCACTCCCCCTGCTTCCTTTCCAAGTAAATAAGGGCTTGTTTTATTTGGTTCATGTTGTCCACAGCCATCTGTGCCAAGACCCAAGGGGCCAACGGGGATGGTATGTATTTGTGTTCCTCGAACATTTTCTTCATTTATTTCCTGGTTTGAGGCTGCACCTGGAGGCGAACAGAGCTTATTCCTGGCTCTGTGCTCAGGGATCCGAGTAGCCTACTCGGATTTGGGCCGAGCATCCTCCACCCAGATCCTCCAAATTCCAGTAGGCGGGGGTCACACCCACCAACTGCCCCCCTGGCGACATCCTATTATGACATCTTATTATCTCATTCCTACTTTGGACAAACTGGCAGGTTACCGAATGTAGCCTGCCCACACGGCAGAGTCTGGCAAACTCCCCGTGGCGTACCCAATATGCCAAATACCAGTAACGATGATGGGTCTCATTCTCCTAAAGAGCCTTGAATATAATCTCAGGGCTAGGATGAAGGAGACGTTACTGGGGCCTGCTCGAGGCAATCGACGATTAACAGGATGATCTGTGATCTGTGATTGTGATTGTGCTCAGGGATCACTCCTGCATGGCTCAGGGCACCATGCAGTGCCACGGTTGGCCATATGCCAGCCAATCACCTGAACCCTGAACCATCTCTCTGGCCTGAACTTCTTATGTTGGAGAGAGCAAAACCCTGGGACCCAGGACCCCAGATCTGTGATAGTGCCCTAATGTGGAAATAGGCCTTTGTACACGCCATTAGTTACGGATATAATGATGGAATTCTGCTCTTCTCCTTGGCCCAAATTCCAAGAACTGAGATCCTTATAAAAGGGAGCAATAGTGCCCGCGGGCACTATTATAAGCGTCCCCCAGCTGCAGCTTGGGAGCATCCTGTGTTCTGTGTGGTGTGTGTCTAGGTTACTCCAGGAACCAGGTGCTGGGCCTTGGTACTCCCCTTGAGCTGTCCCCCCCGCCCCTCACAATTCCTTTTTTTTTTTGCTTTTTTTTTTGCGTTTTGGGTCACACCTGGCGATGCACAGGGGTTTCTCCTGGCTCTGCACTCAGGAGTTACTCCTGGCAGTGCTCAGGGGACCATATGAATGCTGGGAAACAAATCCAGTTCGGCCGTGTGCAAGGCAAACGCCCTATTCGCTGTGCTATCTCTCCAGCCCCCCACAATTCCCTTTCTTTCTTTCTTCCTTTCTTCCTTTCTTTCTTTCTTTCTTTCTTTTTTTGCTTTCTGGGTCACATCTAACGATACTCAGGGTATTCCTAGCTCAGTGCTCAGGTCTTACTCCTGGCAGTGCTTGGGGGACCATATGGGATGCTGGGGATCAAACCCGGGTCGGCTGGGCTGCGTGCAAGGCAAATGCCCTGCCCGCTTCAGCCCCGCCCCTCCGAATTTTTCCCCAAGTCTGTGGGCAGGGAGTTGCCTCTGGCCCCAGCAGCCTGGGGGGGCGGGGAATTCCAGTAACTCTTCACTCTGCTCCCACACTCATCAGACACGAGGTAGAGGCTTTTCAGTTTGTCAGCAAACAATGATTCAAGGCTGGATGTGCACCCAAAGTCAGGCCCAGCCGACCCGAGAGATTGGAAACTGTTTTTGTAAACACCTGCTTCCTGTTCCCCAATGCCGTTCCCAGAGAACAGGAGCAAGCACAGAGCTGGAAAAGCAGCTGAGGCCCAGTCCCCCGCTCTGGCCTCTGTAGGAAGGGGGCACTGGGAGACCACCAGCAGCAGGGGTGGCCCCTAGGGCCAGGAGGGACTCTGGTTCTTCGTCACCCCTATACCTCCCACAAGGCACACATGAAGACACCAGGTCCTCCTGACAGGGGCCCCCAGCAGACTGAAGGCCCACCTCTCCCCAGAACCCTGGAACTGCTGATCTCAGCATGAGAGCAGGGAGCTTGGTACTGGGAGGTGTCTATCCTGGAAGGTTTCCTGGAGGAGGTGAGAGGGTATGGGAGGGCAGGGTGCCAAGGAGATAGGGAGGGCCTCAGAGTGCTGGAGGCCTCAGGGACAGAACCCTGCAGAAAGACTGAAGGGAGGAGCTGAGGGGTTGAACACAGGCCCCCCGTCTAGAAGGGGTGGAAGGTCTGGAAACTGGGGCTTTGTCCTGCCCTCCAGGAGTGCCCGAGTGGCGATCTCCCGACACCCCAAATTCCTTGTTTGTGGTCCTGAGACCCCTTCTTGCCTCTCCCCGCGACCCTGCCTGGCACAGGCCCTCCAGGAGAGCTGGACGCGGGGGCCCCCAGGGTATGGGCGGTCCCTGTGCAGAAGAGCCAGCTCCTGGCATTCCTTTGGGGGTGTTCCGTGGGGAGCAGAGCCATTTCTTCCCTCCTGCCCTGGACACTGGGTTGGGCCCAGAAGAGTGGCAGGAAAGGTGGGCTGGGGCAGGGGCCAGACGAACCAGGCACACAACAGTCTCAATGCCAGGCTTTATTTAATGAGTTTGGCCACTGGGGTCCAACCACACCCAGAGGCAGGATGGGCGGACCTGTCCCCTCCTGGAGCCGGTGTCCAGGGCCAGCCTGCCGCTGGTCATCTCTGCAGCTTCTGTATTATTATCTGTTCTTGTGAACCTGCAAAGGAAGGGCCGGGTCACCTCAGAGGTAATGGGGAAGAGCAACCCCCCCCCCCCCCCCGCACTGCCCCCGGCCCAGGCTTGCGTCTGACCTTGAGCTTCTTCACGAAGTAGTAGGTGAACCCACCTATGATGCAGGCCGCAATCGCTACGGCACCCAGCCAGAAGACAGCAGACCCTGAGGCCACTATTGTCAGGGACTTCTGTAGGGGAGAAGCAGGGCCGGGAACCTCAGAGGCTGCGGGACAGATGGCCACGAGGCAGGGGAACTCAGTCCCCCAAGAGCAGCTCCCAGGGCCCGGACCCCCAGATGACATGGGTGTCCCGAGATCCCCGGACTGCGGTCTCCCCACCTCAGGCATCCTGGGGTCTCGGCCACAAGGAAGCGGGACCCCTCCACAGCCTTGGGGTCTCGGTCAGGCAGTGCGTGAAGCCTGGTTGGTGGCTGGGGGTGGGTGGCACCCTGGGCGGTGCTCGGGCCCTCAGTGCCCACCCCAGACTGCGGGAGCCCTTCTCACCATGGATAAGAAGAAAAATCCTGCCGCCATCTCCTCGCTGCTGACTCTCGCTCCTGTGGACAGACACCCGGTCATCAGTCATCATCCCGGCCACCATCACAGCATGGAGGGGACCCCCGAGGTGACCTGAGGCCGAGGAGCACCCCCTGGAGATGGAGACCGGCCTGGGGCGCTGGTTCTGTGTCCCCTGGTGACCAGCAGACCATCATGGTCCCCCCCAGCCACAGGACCCCAGACCTCTTTCTCCAGCTGCTCAGACTCCCGACGCCCCCTCCCTCCATCTCAGTGTCCTGGCAGCATCCAGAGATCAAGGGCTCAGGGGACAGGCCCCCCACGGACTGAAGGCGCCAGAGCAGGGCAGAACTCTCCACCCACAGACTGCGCCCCAGGCCAGTTGGAAAGCTTGAAGCAGGACGGGAAGTCCCCAGCCCCCACTAAAGACCCTCCGAGCTTTGCTAGGAAGCCAACCCTAGACCCTCCCTAGCTCTGCTGATCTGCCCCCCCGGGGGTGCCCAAGGCAGGTGGGCAGAGTCCCAGCCCTCACCTCACGCTCACAGCGACTTGCAGGCGGCCAGAAGACAGGACTGCCTAGCAAGACTGAAAGTGCAAGAGGAGCCTGGCTGCAGGCTCGCCCCACCCTCATGGGGGAAGCAACAGTTTCTAGAAATCACAGGAACCTTTGCAGAGGGCGGGCTCACTTTCTCTTTCCGTTTTGTGGCCAGTGCAGGGAGGCAGAGTCTGTGCTGAGGAACCACAGCCCCCCCACATGGTCAGACCCCAGGGGCACTTGCAGAGGACCCTGAGCTTTGATGCCTGCCCTCAGTCATCCTGAGGAAAGGAGTCACATGAGAAGCGATGGCAATGCCATGACAGGGGGAAGAGAGGAGAAAAATCAGAGGCCTCAGGTTCAGTTTCTGGTACAGAAACAATTTCATTTATTTATTTATTTATTGTGTTTTTGGGTCACACCAGGCGATGCACAGGGGTTACTCCTGGCTTTGCACTCAGGAATTACTCCTGGCGGTGCTCAGGGGACCATATGGGATGGTGGGAATCAAACCCAGGTTGGCCGCATGCAAGGCAAACACCCTACCTGCTGTGCTATCACTCCAGCCCCAAGATCTGAAACAGTTTTGGTTACCCAGATATCAAGCAATGAGGAAGTAGCCACACTGACCCCACCTGGAAAGTTCCTGGGTGTGGGCTCAATCAATAACAATGTGCCTGAACTCTGTTTTGTAAACCATAAAGAGTGAGCAGCTTGTGTAACCATTCTATATAAGGCGCCTCTGAAATGAGAGTCCGGTCCTTATCAAGACTCCTCTGTGTTAGATGAGACTTGGACCCTTGCTCGAGCTAGCAATAAAATTCCTTGCTTAGGGCTGGAGCGATAGCACAGCGGTAGGGCGTTTGCCTTGCACGCAGCCAACATGGCCGACCCAAGTTCGATTCCTCCGCCCCTCTCGGAGAGCCCGGCAAGCTCCCGAGAGTATCTCGCCCACACAGCAGAGCCTGGCAAGCCACCCTTGATGTATTCGACATGCCAAACACAGTAACTATAAAATCTCCAAAGGAGACGTTACTGGGCCCGCTCGAGCCAAGCGATGCCAACGAGAAGCGATGGCAATGCCATGACGGGGGAAGAGAGGAGAAAAATCAGAGGCTTCAGGTTCAGTTTCTGGTACGGAAACAATTACATTTATATATTTATTTATTTATTGTATTTTTGGGTCACACCAGGCGATGCACAGGGTTTACTGTGAGCAAATCGATGAACAACGGGAGGGCCTTGCATCACAGAGTGGCCTCTTCTATCTCGAGCCCAGTTTTACAATCCCAACTCCTACTGGCACTCCTTAGAATTTCTGGAGACTCCATTTAGGGCACAAAGATCCTTCCCCTGTGACTACAGAGCCCAGGTTTCAGTCCTGGAAGACTTCCTGCAGGCAGTGAGAATTCGGCCCAAAAAGGCGGTTCCTGAGGAACATCGTGGGAAGGGGCTGGGTTTGAGAAAAATGGCCTTCCTGATGCTCAGGGTGACACAGTTCCTGGCTCCCAGGCACAAACAGGGAGGCTGGAGGCCAGCATGGGACCTGCCAGATTGAACTGCCCATGTCTTAGGCTGCCGAGTCACTGGACAGCCCTGTGCTTGGCCCCAGGAAGAGGCTCCTGTTTCTATGGCGGGGTCTCGTGCATAGGCCCATCTGAGGGGCTTGGGGAGTACCCAAAAAGGTGCGTGAGCCCGTGCCAGCCGCTGCCTGCCGTTGTGCCCCCTTCTTTGACTGCGTCCTATTCCCTAATGCAGCTTTCCTGTGCCGGATGGCCTCTGAAAATTTTTGCTCTTCCTGGTGGGAGGCAGAACCATGTGTCACCTGAGTCCCTGCAGGCAGTGCTGGGGCCCCTGCGGTGCTGGTGCAAAGGGGCCTCTGCTCGCTGCTGAACCTCCTCTTGCCCCTGATGAATTCCTCACAAACCACAGCCATCAGCAGCTCCCACGTGGGGGTCCTTGCGGCCCCGCAGGAGAGGCAGGATCCCTAGAAGGGGCTGGGTCCCATTTCCAGGGGCTCAGGGAGGGGGTCCTGCCACCCTGCACCAAAGGCAGCAGGACAGGGAGACTCAGAGTCCCCCTGGGGTCTGGGTCAGTGACGGTTGCGGGGGGGGGCTGTCCAGGACTGAGGGCCCTGGAACTGGTCCCAAGGACTCTAACCCAGCCGAGAGGTGCAGCGGGCACTCAATAAATGCATGCCCAGCCACGTTCATGGGGTTCGGGTCACATGTGGCAGTGCTCAGGGGGCACTCCTGGCGGTGCTCAGGGACTCTTTGTGACGCTGGGGGCTGAACCAGGGTTAGCGTCACAGGCATACCCTGACCTCCCATACCAACTCTCTGCCCTCACAAGCAATTTTTATTTTTTTTCTGACAACTGTGTTGGTTATCAGACCCAATAAATATTTTATTTTATGTGTGTGTCCCACCCAGTCGTGCTCAGGGCTTACTTCTGAACCTGATCGCAAGATCAGTCATGGCAGTGCTCAGGAACCATTGAGGGAGGCCCAGTGCTCCCCTTCCGGCCTCTGATGGAGGGGGCCCTGGTAGACCACCAGCAGGGGTGGCCCCTGGGGCTAGGAAGGACTCTGGTTTTCTGTCACCCCACACCTCCCACAAGATACACATGGAGATACCAGGTCCTCCTGATAGGAACCCCCATCAGACTGAAGGTCCACCCCTCCCCAAAACCCTGGAACTACTGCTCTCAGCATGAGAGCAGGGAGCTTGGTGCTAGAAGGTGTCTATCCTGGAAGGTTTCCTGGAGGAGGTTAGAGGGTGTGGGAGGGCAGGGTGCCAAGCAGATAGAGAGGGTCTCAGAGGGCTGGAGGCCCCTGCAGAGAGACTGGGGAGAGGACTGAGGGGCTGAGTACTGCCTGGCACACAGGCCCCCTTCCAGAAGGGCTGGAAGATGTAGAAACTGGGGCTTTGTCCTGCTGCCATGAGTGCCTGAGTGGCGAGCCCCCGACACCTCAAATCCTTGTTTGTGGTCCTGAGACCCCTTTCTGCCTCTCCCTGTGATCCTTGCTGGCACAGGCCCGCCAGGAGGGCTGAGGCGGGGTCCCCAAGGTATGGGCAGTCCCCACGCAGAGGAGCCAGACCCTGGCATTCCTTTGGGGGTGTTCCGTGGGGAGTAGAGCCGTTTCTCCTCTTGCGCCCTGGACGCAGCCCAGAAGGGCTGGGCCCAGCAGAGCTGCAGGACAAGGTGGGCTGGGGCTGGGGCTGGATGGACCAGTCACACAACAGGCTCAATGCCAGGCTTTAATGAGTTTGGCCACTGGGGTCCAACCACACCCAGAGGCCGGCTGGGCGGACCTGTCCCCTCCTGGAGCCAGAGTCCAGGGCCGGCCTGCCGCTGGTCATCTCTGCAGCTTCTGTACTATTATTTGTTCTTGTGAAGCTGCTAAAGAAGGGCCGGGTCACCTCAGAGCTAACGGGGAACGACCCCCCCGGCCCTGCCCCCGGCCCAGGCTTGTGTCTGACCTCATTACTGCGGTAGACGACCCCAGCGACGCTGCAGCTCACAATCGCTGTGTCACCCAGCCAGGGAATGGCAGACCCTGTGGCCAGTGAATTTTAGGGAATTCTGCAGGAAGAAGCAGGGTGGGAACCTCAGATTCTGTGGAACACAGCAGGGACAGATGGCCATGGGGCGGGGGGCTCAGTCCCCCAAGAGCAGCATCCAGGGCCCGGTTCCCCAGATGTCACGGGGGCCTGGAGAACCCTGGTTTGGGGTCTCCCCACCTCAGGAATCCTGGGATCTTGGCCACAGGGAAGTGGGGACCCCCTCTACAACCTTGGGGTCTTGGTGCCCAGCCAGCAGGCAGTGTGTGAAGCCTGGTTGGGAGCTGGGGGTGGGGGGCACCCTGGGCGGTGCTAGTCCCTCAGCGCCCACCCCAGCCCACGGGTAACCCTTCTCACCAGGGATAAGGAAATAATGAAGACCCCCTCCTGCCGCCATCTCCTTGGTACTTGTACTGGTACTGCTACTGATACTCTCCAGGTACTCGGTTCCATTCCTGTGGATAGACACCCGGTCATTGGTCATCATGCTGGCCACCATCATAGCATGGAGGGAACCCCCGAGGAGACCCGAGGCAGAGCGGCCCACCCTGGAACCGGGGACCGACCTGGGGACTGCTTTTTCCTCCCTCCCACCCAGCAGCCTCAGCCCTCAGGCCCCTGCTTGGCGCTGGGTTTGTGTCCCCTGGTGACCGGCAGACCATTAATGATCCCCCCCAGCTCCAGGACCCCAGACCTCTCCACTGCCCAGACTCTGGACACTCCTCCCTCCATTTCACAGCTCCGGGCAGCGTCCTGAGATGAGATCTAGGGCTCAGGGGGATAGGCCCTCCGGACCCCAAGATAGGGCAGAGCGCCGCCACCCCCAGCCAGTTGGAAAGCTTAATGCAGGCTGGGAGGTCAGAGATGGCCAAGGCCCACAGCCCCCACTCAAAGGCCGTCTGAGCTCTGCTATGAAGCCGACCCTAGACCCTCACTAGCCATGCTGATCTGCCACTGTCCCCTGGGGGCCCCATGGCAGGTGGGCAGAGCCCCAGCCCTCACCTTCAGCTGAAAGTGATCTTCAGGCCCCCGGAAGCCAGTCCTGCCCTGCCAGACCTAAAGTGGAAGCCAAAAAGCCTGGCTGCATGCGACCAGCCCCTCACACATGGGGAAGCTACAGTTTCTGGAAAGTACAGGAACCATAGGAGAGGGATGCTCATTTTTTCCTTTTCATTTGGAATGGCGGATGTGGGAAGACACGCTGGCACCCAGCGCAGGGAGGCAGAGTCTGTGCTGAAGAACCACAGCCCCCCACATGGCCAGACCCCAGGGGCGCTTGCAGAGGACGCTGAGCTATGACGCCTGCCCTCAGCCATCCTGAAGAAATAAGTCACATGAGAAGCAATGGCAGCGCCATAACAGGCAGCAGAGAGGAGAAAAAGCAGGTAGGCCTCACGTTCAGTTTCTGGAACTGAAAGTTTCTTTCTTCTTTTTTTTTTTTTTTAGGTCACACCCGGCGATGCACAGGGATTACTCTTGGCTTTGCACTCAGGAATTACTCCTAGTGGTGTTCAGGGGACCATATGGAAGGCTGGGAATCGAATCTGGGTTGGCCGCATGCGAGGCAAACACCCAACCCACTGTGCTATTGCTTGAGCCCCAAGAACTGAAATAGTTTCATTTTCCCATTAATCAAGCAATGAGGAAGGAGCCACCCTGACCCCACCTGGAAGGCTCCTGGGTCCAGCAACTGGGCTTAATCAATCACTGTGTGCTGAAACTGTCTTTTGTTAACTGTAAAGAATGAGCAGCTTCTGTGACCATACTCTGTATAATGCCCTCTGAAACGAAGAGTCAGGGTCCTGGTCAAGACTCCACTGCGTTGGATGAGACTTGGACCCGAGCTCGAGCTAGCAATAAAATTCCTGGCTTCTGCATCACAGAGTGGCCTCTTCTATCTCGAGCCCAGTTTTACAATCCCAACTCCTACTGGCACTCCTTAGAATTTCTGGAGACTCCACTTAGGGCACAAAGATCCTTCCCCTGTGACTTCAGAGCCCAGGCTTCAGTACTGGAAGACTTCCTGCAGGTAGTAAGAATTTGGCCCAGAAAGGCAGAGTCTGAGGAACATCGTGGGAAGGAGCTGAGTTAGAGAAAAACTGCGTTCGTGAGGCTCAGGGGTGGGTCCCAGGCACAAATAGGGAGGCTGGAGGCCAGCATGGGACCTGCCAGATCCAATTGCCAGATTGAACTGCCCATGTCTTAGGCCACCGAGTCACTGGACAGCCCTGTGCTTGGCCCCAGGAACAGGCTCCTGTTTCTATGGGCGGGGTCTCGTGCATAGGCCCATCTGAGGGGCTTGGGGAGTACCCAAAAAGGTGCGTGAGCCCGTGCCAGCCGTTGCCTGCCGTTGTGTCCCTTTTTTGGCCATGCCCTATTCTCTGATACAGCTTTCCTGTGCCGGATGCTCTCTGGAAATTTTTGTTCTTCCTGGTGTGAGGCAGAACCATGTGTCACCTGAGTCCCTGCAGGCAGTGCTGGGGCCCCTGAGGTGCTGGTGCAAAGGGGCCTCTGCTCGCTGAGCCACCTCTTGGCCCCTGATGAATTCCTCACAAACCACAGCCATCAGCAGCTCCGACGTGTGGGTCCTTGTGGCCACACAGGAGAGGCGGGATCCTAGGAGGGGCTGGGTCCCGGTTCCAGTGCGCAGGAAGTGGGTCCTGCCACCTTGCACCAAAGCAGGACGGGGAGACTCAGAGTCCCCCTGGAGTCTGGGTCAGTGACAGTTGTGGGGTGTGGGGGCGTCCAGGACTGAAGGCCCTGGAGCTGGTCCCAAGAACTCTAACCCAGGGCCTGACTCCAGCCGAGAGGCGCAGCATGCACTCAATAAACGCATGCCCAGCCACATTCGTGGGGTTCGGGTCACATGTGGCAGTGCTCAGGGGGCACTCCTGGCGGTGCTCTGGAACCCTATGTGATGCTGGGGGCTGAACCAGGGTTAGCGCAACTGGTATACCATGAGCCCCTGTACCAAATCTCTGCCTCCCCCACTGTTTTGGAGACAATCATGTTGCTTATCAGACTCAATAAATACATTTTTATTGTTTTGTGCGTGTATGTGTGTCCCCCGACTTGTGCTTAGGGCTTACTCCTGTATCTGCACTCAGGGATCAGTCACAGCAGGACTCAGGGCTCATACAGGATGCCAGGGCTTGAACCTGGGTCATTCATGTACATAGCAAGCTCCCTATCTGCTGTACTATCACTCTAGCCCCTCAAATTTTTTTTTTTTTGGTTTTTGGGTCACACCCAGGGATGCACAGGGGCTACTCCTGGCTCATTCACTCAGGAATTACTCCTAGCGGTGCTCAGGGGACCATATGGGATGCTGGGAATTGAACCCTGGTCAGCCGCATGCAAGGCAAAAGCCCTACCCACTGTGCTATTGCTCCAGCCCCGCCCCTCAATTTTTTTGTTTCTGACTTTTGGGTCTCACTTGGCTATGTTCAGAGGTTACTCCTGGCTCGGCACCCAGGAACTACTCCTGTTGGGTGTTTGGGGACCATATCGGATGCTGGGGATCGAACCTAGGTTGGTTGTGTGCAAAGCAAGCCCACTCTCTTCTGGACTATCACTTGGCCCCTCAAAAACACTTTTTTAAAATACTTTTTTTTTTTTTTTTGCTTTTTTGGTCACACCCATTAATGCTCAGGGGTTATTCCTGGCTCCGCACTCAGGAATTACTCCTTGTGGTGCTTGGGGGGGTGCTCTGGAAACCATGTGGGATGCAGGAGATTGAACCCAGGTCGGCCCTGTGCAAGGCAAACGCGCTCCCTGCTGTGCTATCGCAGGGGCCCTCAAATGCATTCTTAAGACCACCCTGAGATGGATTGTACTTCATTAAAGTCAAAATTCTTATAAAGCACCTGAAAGCGAGTGCAGCGGTAAGACGCTTGCCCCGTTTTATTTTGGGGCCACACCCATGGGTGCTCAAGCTTTCTGGCTCTGTAGGGAGGAGTTCCTTCCGCAGTGCTCGGAGCCCATTGGGAACGCTGCGGCTTGAGCTGGGGAGGCGAGTTCCAGGCAAGCGCCCTCCCGTTGCCCATCTCTGCCGCCCCTCTGATGCCCGCCTACTCCGCGGCCCCGGGGGTTCCCGGAACCTCAAGAGTGAGGCCCTCGGCATGTCCCCGCACGGAGAGCCCGCGCCGAGAGCCGCTTCCCTGCGGCCGCCCCCCCACCCCAGGAGGGAAGCGCCCGGCGGCCACTGCCCCGCGCCTCGGCAGCGCTCTCCCGAAACGCATCGCTGCGGCCCAAGTGTTATTTTTGGTTCTGGGGCCACACCCGGAGGCGCTCAGGGATCCCCGGCGGGGCTGCGGGGACGGGGGGCCGAAGCTGGCCCGGCTGGGCCCCCGCGAGACACAGGGCGGGGGCTCCTTTGTTGGCCCCGGGCCGGGCCGTCCAGCACGTGCGCGGGGGCCCGGGGTCGCAGGGAGCTCGCGGGTCGGCCGGCAACACCCTGGCCCTCGAGGCCCGCGGCGGGCGAGGCTGGCGGGAGCGCGGCGAGAGGCCAGGCCCGAAGCGGGGTCGGAGGCGGCCCGGCGGCCCGGCGGCCCGACGCGGGTCGCCTCACGCCGCCGAGACCCGCATTCCCGGCGGCCCATCCCCCGCGAGCGGGGAAGACAAAATGGCGGCGCGCGCGGGGGCAGGGGCGGCCGCTGGGCTTCGGGGCGCCCGCCCCGCGCCCAAACTACAACTCCCAGAGCGCACCGCGCGGCGGCGGGCGGGAGGCCGACTCGGAGCGCGACTCCGCCTCCGTCGCACTGGCCGCCGGGACTCGTAGTCCGCGTGCTGGCTGCGGCCGCGGGGCCGGGCGGGGCGGCGACTACACTACCCGGCGCGGCGCGGCGCCTGCGCACAGGCCGCGGGCGCACTACGTTTCCCGGCGGGCGCCACGGCGCGCGCGCGCCGACGTGCTGACGCGCGCGGCGAGTCGTGCTGACGCGCGGCGCGGCCCAGGCGGGGTGCGAGTGGCGCAGTCGGAGCCCGCTGCGGCCCTTGAGGAGGCGAGGAGGCGCCGTGGTCGGTCGAGGCGGGCGGCGCGGCGCGGCCGGGCGGCCACTCCAGGCCTTCGGGAGTCCGGAGCTCGGACGGCGGCGGCGGCTGGACCTCTCCCCTCGGAGGCGGCGGGCGGAGGCGGCGGGTGAGAGGGCGCGGGAGCGCGGCAGCCGGGTGGGGGAGGGGCGGCGGCCCGGCGCGGAGCCGCCGCGCGCGGAGCACGGCCCGGCCGCCGCGCGCACGCGCACTCGTCCGCCCGGGGCTCGCGCGGCGCCTGGCTCGCCGCGCCCTCCCATCCCCCTCCTAGCGGTTCGGAGGGCGCGCGGGCTCCGGCGCCCCTCCCCCACGCTCCGGCGCGCGCGGCTGGCGGCGCTCGGGCTCGCGCACGCGCTCGCCTCCCCCACGCTAGCGACGAGGCCCTGGCGGCTGCTCGGCCGACATTTTGGCGGCGGCGGCGGCGGGGCTCCTCCCGGCTCCGGCCTCGGCGCGGCGGGCGGCGGCGTCCGGGCTCCCCGGCGCCCGCGCCGCCGCGAGGGTGGGCCTAGGTACGTACGGACGGCGGCGCGGGTGGCTCTTTGCCCCCGTTCCTGGGGCTTTTCGTCGGCGCCCTGGGAGCGTGCGGGAGCGGCGAGGCCGTTCGCCCCCGCCCGAGAGCCTCGCCGCGGGGCCGGGGTCGGCCCCCCCGGCCGTGCGCGCCCGCCCTTGGCCGCAGGGGTCTTCGGAGCGCGGGGGGGGGCGGGCCGCCCCATCACGGTTTTTTCTGCGCCCCTGCCCGTTTTCGGTGGGCTTTGCTTCTCGAATCTTCGTCCTCCGGAGCTCCACAGCCCTTCCGTCTTCCGTGACACGGTGATAGGAAAGATGGTCGCCTTTGTCTTCGCAGCTTTTTATTTTCTGCTTTGCGCTTGGGTCGGTTCCTGCATATCCACAGTTGGAACGACTGTTTTCGAACCCCTCGCTCGTCAAGTTCCGTGGTTTTGGTCACTTGTATGCGTGTCGATGTGCCCTTCGGTCCCGTTTCCTTTTTCAGTGGTTTGAGCGCTGCTTTGAACGCTGTGGTTACTGGTCCCGCAGCCCCCTCTGAAAACCTCGGTTTCTATTTCCTAACAGTCCTCCCGGTCCGTTGTGACTTAATACCCATATTGGGATGGCAGCTACTGGTTTTCCCTCCCGTGGGAGTGGGAGGATTGTTGTGTGAGGTGGTATGGAAGTGTGGGTGAATGGTTAGCCAGGGACCTTCTGAAGCAGAAATTAGGGCACAGAGAGGCAAAGGAGGGTCTAGGTTCAGATTGGGGAGACTGGTATGGAGACCAGGGAACGGGGTTGAAAGAGAAAAATTAACTTCTTTGGCTACAAAGTTTCATTTTCTCAGGCTTTTGCACTTTTCTTAGACTTTTGCCTTTTTTGTTACTCCTTAACTGCAATACGGTTATCTTTTTGTTCTCCATTTTCTCTGCAGTTTTCCTCTGGGGGGTGGGCATATACCTGGGGTGGGGTGTACTAAAACTGATCTAGAGGTAGGCTTTCTTTCTCCACGCATTGTATCTATACAGGTGTGTGCACAGACGTGTATATATGGGATGCGTTCTAGGTATTCATGTCACTCGCACTTCAACAGCCCCCTTCCCCCCTCCCCCGCTCCCCTTCTGTCTTTTCCCTCAATGTTCCGTGATCTCTCCCCTTTACAATACTCCACACATTCGTACTCTGACAGGATGAACTGGAGAAGGAAGTAGGTGTAGACGAGCAATCTACATAAGCAAAACAGGGTTTTGAGGGCCCTGCGGAATCATGCTGGGGTTCCGACAAGTCGAAAGGATAGACTCCTGGGGGAGGCGTGGAGGTAACGAAGTAGGAGGCAGAGCTGGATGAGAGCAGCTGGGAAGCGATCCGAGGTCTTTAAGGGACGGCCAATAATTTCTTAGTGAAAGTGAGGTACAAAGAGTGGGGGTTTTCTGCGGTAGTTTAGGGCAAGGAACGAAGACAAGAAACGTCGTTGGGACAGATGGGTTTGTTTGTGCTGAGAACATTGAGTTGAGAACAGGTAATACTTAACAAGCAAGGAGCTAGCGAGATTGGGTGAGCTGCAAGTTGTGAAATGCTGTCGTAAGGAAATTAGCGGAATTTGGAGCCAGGATCGTGGTATAAATATTGTTATCAAGGAAATGGCTACTTAGCGTGGCAGGTCGAATCTGAGGGCGATCTACCCAAAGCTGACTTGTTTCTGATGTGCATGCTGGCCTTCAGTCTGTGTGAGGCTGCCTAAGACATTTGGCTTATTTTAGCCAGCCGGTCCTGTTGGGTGGTTAGAGACTCTCCGGTCTGTTTGGCATTTGTAACAGTAGTCTGAAATCTTGAGGTCAGCTTTTGGAGGACCCTTTGGGCGTGCACTGCAGGCCATTGAATGTCACTGATGTGTTGGTTTTTGGGGGTGCCATTTTGAATAGTTGATGAATACGCCACTATGTGTATTGGGTCCAAGGAAAATAAGCCAGGGGAAATAGGATGATTTTGTGTAGAGTGGAAGAATATCCAGGTGGAGGCAGGAATGGGTGACTCTTGCACGTTGAGGGAAACGGCTGCAAGAGCTGGGCACTCATCTGGTGAAAAGTTGTGTGGGAAGTACAAGGAAGGGGTTTCTGAGGAGACCAGGAGGATCACAGAAGCACTGTGAGGTTTTGTGTGGAGACACGTGTTGAACTAGGGATGAAGAAGAGCAGGGATTTGGGTGGTGGCAGGTGCTTAGTTTGGGGCCAGGGGCCTGACCCGTGTCTCCCCGCTCCCCCTCAGGAGCGGTGGTGCCCCCACCCCGGGCACGGGGCCATGTACAACGGGATCGGGCTGCCGACGCCCCGGGGCAGCGGCACCAACGGCTACGTCCAGCGCAACTTGTCCCTGGTGCGGGGCCGCCGGGGTGAGCGGCCTGACTACAAGGGAGAGGAGGAACTGCGGCGCCTGGAGGCTGCCTTGGTGAAGCGGCCTAACCCTGACATCCTGGACCACGAGCGCAAGCGGCGCGTGGAGCTGAGATGCCTCGAGCTGGAGGAGATGATGGAAGAGCAGGGGTGAGGGGAGGGCTGGGGGAGAGCCAAGCACTGAGTGCAGGGCTTGGGGCTTTGTGGTGGGATGTAGGGAGCTTAGGGCGCTTGAAAGAGGCCTGGAGAGGAGTTGGAGGAGGGGAGGAGGCAAAGGAGCCAGGAAACTGAAAGTGGAATTAAGGGACACTTCAGATTGGGCGATGAGGGACGGCGTAGGACAGAAAGGGGAGCCTGAGGGGGTCCGATTTATTTAGATGGAGTTACATGGAGAGGAAGATGCACTGAGGGACAGGTGGGACATCAGACCTGACAGCAGAGATAGGTAAGGCGAGAGATGATTGTCATTGGAAGAGGAGAACAGATGGATTTAAGGATTGAGACCTTGGAGAGAAGCAAAAGCAGGAAAAAAGGAATTGGAAGAAAAACTGGATAAGGAGATTGTGGGGTGGGTAGTGAGGTGGAATTTTGGATGAGAAACACTTAGGCAGAAACCCTTTTAGAGCAGTGGTTTTCAAACTTCAGCAGTAGCACCCATTTTATACAGTGCGCCTTACTTTGGAATCCCAAGGAATGAAAGACCTGTTCTTGTCGGGAGGAGCATCTGGGACTGAGCTGAACTTTCCTCTCTTAGCCCTTGGAGTGTAGGATGTTTAAAATCCACTGTTCTAGAGGATATAGTAAGTGAAGGAAAGAAAGATGAGGATTTAAGAGAGGAGAAGGGCTTGTGGGTGACAGTGAGTGAAAAGTTCAATGTGTGCATGGAGAGGAGAGGGAGACCCCTTGGGAATGAGAACTGGGACGGGGGATCTATTTAGTCAACCTCTAACCCTGAAGGGATTTGTTCTTCAGGTACGAGGAACAGCAAATTCAGGAAAAAGTGGCTACCTTTCGACTCATGTTGCTGGAGAAGGATGTGAACCCTGGGGGCAAGGAGGAGACCCCTGGGCAGAGGCCAGCGTGAGTGTTTCACTCTCCTTTGATTCCATCTGGACTCTGTTGGCTGCATTTGCTATTCTTTCATACCTTGGACTTCCTGCTCATGTTTCTTTTCCATGATTATTGGCTTCTATTAAAATTGTGTGATTGGACCAGCGATGTATAACTCAGTGGGAGAGCACAGGCTGTCCATGTCTAAGTTCCTGGATTTGACCCCTGCACCACACAGAACTGGTTGACTGTGACTGTTGTGTGCTTTCTCCTATAGATCTTTGTCCTCTTTCTCTCTAGGGTAACTGAGACTCACCAGATGGCAGAATTGAATGAGAAGAAGAACGAGAGACTCCGGGCTGCCTTTGGCATCAGTGATTCCTATGTGGATGGCAGCTCTTTTGACCCTCAGCGTCGTGCTCGAGAAGCTAAACAGGCAGCTCCTGAGCCCCCCAAACCTTACAGGTATGTAAGACTGAAAAAAGTGTCAGTTTCTTGGTGATTCTAAGCACTCCTTTCTTAAAAATTTTATTTTTTGTGCCACACCCAGCAATGCTCGGCGGTAATTCCTGGTTTTGTACGCAGGAATTACTACTCCTAACAGAAAGTACTGTGTTTTTGTCGTTGTTTTGTGGATTATTTCTTCTCTTGCTGTTTGATTTGTTCCTCTGAAGTTGCAAGTCCAGGGAAATTTGTCCTCCTATCGATCTGTTCTGCATTCTGTTTTTTTCTAGCCTTGTTCGGGAATCTAGTAGTTCACGCTCACCAACTCCAAAGCAAAAGAAGAAGAAAAAGAAGAAAGATAGAGGACGGTAAGTTAGCTAGGTAGTTATTAAAGTATTCAGAGAACCAACTCTGTTACTCTTTCCTACTCTAAGTAGATAATCGTGATTTCTGTGAGTCAGGAGGGGTTGGTTTTTGCAGCAACTAATTACCATCGTAGATTTTTGGGATTTTCTTTTTCTCATTTTGAGATTTGTTGATGTAAGGAGCTGTGGTATCTCTGCTTTGTGGAGGCTTGTTTAATGAAAGTCCTGGGTTTAGGTCTAAGACATTAACACCATTGGATTTTGTTTTCCTTAGTAGCCTTTTTTGGGGGTGAATTAGAGAAGTGAGGGAAAGGGAAGGAATCTAGCATAATGACCTTGTTTTGTTTGTTTTGGGGGGCCAGTTTGAGGTGGGGCTAGTACCTGGTGGTGCTCAGGGCTTATTTCCTGAGGGAACTGGGGAACTCTGAGCAAGGCCAGCTCCCTATCCGCCGTACTGTTCTCCAGCCCCAGAGTTACCTTGTTTCTTAACCCATCTTTAGCAGGTCAGAAAGCAGCTCTCCTAGACGAGAGAGGAAGAAGAGCTCGAAGAAGAAAAAGCACAGGTATGATGTGGGAATGCATAGAACAGTTATAGAGAAGCTGGAAGGCTTTGGATGCAGGTGGTGGTTTACATGTTTCTTCTTTCCCCAATAGGTCAGAATCTGAATCCAAGAAGCGGAAGCACAGGTAAGCGCTCTCTGGGGCACATATGGACAGAGCAGCACATGGAGCAGTGGCCTTGCTTGCTCTGAAGGGTTTCTTGGAGCAAAGGTCAATTCCTTCGTCTAGTGTAATGACTTTTTTTTTTTGCTTTTAGTTTTAGTCCCTTTTCAAGGAAGGATTATTTTTAATGATTTTGTTCTCTTCTCCCAGGTCTCCCACTCCAAAGAGCAAACGTAAATCTAAGGACAAGAAGCGGAAGCGGTGAGTAAATTTGTGGGAAATTTGCCTTCGCAAGTGCCCTTAGCGAATGAATGCCGCTTGAGAGAGGTAGAGTGGAGTGAGTCCCTGACAGATACAGGAGAGGGATGGCTAAGCTGAATCTGGCTTGGGTGTGCCAGCCCCATGAGTTTATGGTGGTGGTCTTCCTGCAGCTCTCGAAGTACAACACCAGCCCCCAAGAGCCGCCGAGCTCACCGTTCAACCTCTGCTGATTCGGCGTCCTCTTCTGATACTTCCCGCAGTCGGTAAGGGGTGGTCCAGGAGGAAGGGAGGGAAAGGGATTTGTGGGTTAATCAATTTAATATTTATTGAGCGCCCACGGTGTGCTAGGCGCTGCACAGACCATTCGGAAGACACGGTCCCTGCCCTCTAGGAGCTGACAGGCTAAAGCAACAGGATGGACAGACATATACATTTCCCCTTCTCTTTTTTTTCTGTTGTTTTTTGTTTTTGTTTTGTTATTTTTTTTTGTTTTGTTCTGATGTATATGGACTGCCAGAATAGGGGGGGAGGGTGGTTTGTTCGTGGTGTCTGGGGGAGGAAGGAATCCTTACCCTGGCTTCCTTAATCGGGGAAGGCTTCCTGAAGGAGGTGGGCTAAGAGGTGAGTTGTGAATGAAGCGGGTAGGGAATGGGATGGTTGGAGGGTTTGGGGGGAGTGGGGGTGGTGTGAAAAGGGGTTAAAAGAGAACATTTTTGGGGATTGTGTTGGGAAGAGGACAGATGTGAGCTGGACCTGCGTTTCAGTGTGAGTGGCTTGAGTCTAAAGAGTTAGGTTTTTTGGAAGAGGGTTATTATTAGACTGTGACGAAAGGAGGTTGGGAGCTTGGGCGGGGGTTTCCTATTGTCCCCTGAACTGATTTCCCTTTTCTTCCTCATCCTCAATTGCTTCCTTCAGGTCTCGGAGTGCTGCAGCTAAAACACATCCTACTGCCTTGACTGGGCGGAGCCCTTCCCCTGCCTCTCAGTGCCGAGGGGAGGGAGATGCACCCTCCAGGGAACCAGGTACCACCATCACAGGGCAGCCTGGCAGCCCTGAGCCCTCTGCAAAGCAGCCTGGCAGCCCTGACGAAGACAGAGACAAAAAAGAGGTATGCTCCGGAGTTTGTAGGTTGCAGTGCTGTGGATTTTGGACAGGTGTTTGAAGGGAGAGAAGTGTTAAGAACCGAAGAGAAAGGAATTGATTTTTCATTCCTCTCCTAGTTACCAAGTTTTCTTGTGCATCCTCAAATCATTGATTTATGGCTTTCAAACTTAGTTTTTATGTCAGTATTCTGTTTTTTTTTACATGTACTGAGAATTGGAACAAAGCTTCACGTTTACTACTTTTTTTTTTTTTTTGTTTGTTTTTTGGGTCACACCCGGCGATGCACAGGAGTTACTCCTGGTTCATGCACTCAGGAATTACTCCTGGCGGTGCTTGGGGGACCATATGGGATGCTGGGAATCGAACCTAGGTCGGCTGCGTGCAAGGCAAACGCCCTACCCACTGTGCTATTGCTCCAGCCCCACGTTTACTACTTTTAACACCTGTAGTTTGATTAAATATTATGGCTCACCAACTACTTTTCAACTCCCTTGGTTGCTGCCTATACTCTTGAAGGCACCGCTCTCTGTTGGCCTGGTTAGCATTATATGTTGCCCTATATTTACTATCTTCGTTTTAGTCTGTAACTTAACTGTGCTTTTTATTCAACAGTTAATAGTATACATTATGTATTTCTTAGCTCCCCTATTTTCCATGTCATTCATATTTTGCAAATTAGAAGTTAAAGCACTTCAGGAACTTAACTTCACTTTCTATTGTTCATCTGTATTTTAATTCATATAACACTATACACGTGTATATATGTATAAAACTTGGTCTCCTTCATCTTCCTATTCTTCATTCTAGTCTGTTTCACAAACTGTTGTCAAACCTTTCTTTGTTCTTGTACTTTTCTAGGTTTTTGTTGTTGGTGATGTTTTGGTTTTTGGGCCTCACCCAGGGGCGCTAAGGGCTTACTCATTTACTCTGGCTCTGTACTCAGGAATCACTCGGGGCGGGGGGGGGGGGGGCATACGGGATGTGGGGATTCAACCCGGGTTGGCTGAGAGTAAGGCAAGCACCTTGCATTCTGTATTGTCACGCTGCTTGTGGCCCTCCTTCCTCCTCGCCAGTTTTTTTTGAAGGATTATCATAGCATTTTCAGGCCGCGGTTTTATTTTTTTAATTGTCAAACACTTTTCCTTTTGTTCTTGCGTCTTTTGCTTTTGTTCTTACAGAATTTTGTAATTGTTATACAATCTAGTGCTTTTGTTTGCATTTTGTATTTTCTCTAGTTTCTGAGATCTTTGAGTTCATGTTTTTCTCATTTTAATCTGCATGATTCTTTGTAACTGGATGTGACTGTTTATGATAAAGAAAAAGATTAGTTGGTGTAATGGGGTATATTAGTGGAAACCTTTTGTGGAAAGTATGTTGGGGTCTCTCGATAAATTTTTATTACATGACCCTTCCCTACTCTCTCTTCCACTCTTAGAAATCTGCAACTCGACCTAGTCCCTCTCCGGAAAGGAGCAGCACAGGCCCAGAACCACCTGCTCCTACTCCGCTCCTTGCTGAGCAACGTGGAGGCTCCCCACAACCCCTTGCGACAGCCCCCTTGAGTCAGGAGCCAGTGAATCCCCCAACAGAGGCTTCCCCACCCCGGGGCCGTTCGCCACTTAAGTCTCCTGAGAAACCTCCCCAGTCTTCTTCAGAGAGCTGCCCACCGTCCCCTCAACCTACCAAAGTTTCTCGGCATGCCAGCTCTTCCCCTGAAAGTCCTAAACCTGCACCAGCTCCTGGGTCTCGCAGAGAGATTTCTTCCTCTCCCGTGTCTAAGAGTCGCTCCCATGGCCGGGCAAAGCGGGATAAGTCGCATTCTCATACTCCTCCTCGTAGGGTGGGCCGATCTCGGAGCCCTGCCACTACCAAGAGGGGGCGATCACGATCAAGAACCCCTCCCAAGAGAGGCCACTCTCGCTCCCGGTCACCTCAGTGGCGCAGGTCCCGGTCTGCACAGAGATGGGGAAGATCCAGAAGTCCCCAGCGACGTGGCCGCTCTAGGTCACCGCAGCGACTAGGCTGGTCCAGGAGCAGAAATAACCAGAGAAGAGGCAGATCTAGGTCAGCAAGGCGAGGCAGGTCACACTCTAGATCCTCAGCCACTAGAGGCAGGTCTCACTCTAGGACACCCGCCCGCCGGGGCAGATCTCGCTCGAGAACACCCGCCAGGCGGAGGTCTCGCTCCCGAACACCGGCCAGGCGGAGGTCTAGGTCTAGGACCCCAGCCCGGAGGGGCAGGTCCCGTTCTCGAACACCTGCTAGGCGCAGGTCTAGAACCCGCTCACCACTACGACGGCGCTCTCGGAGTAGGTCTCCAGCCAGGAGAAGCGGCCGCTCCCGCTCGCGAACCCCAGCTAGACGAGGTCGCTCACGCTCTAGAACTCCAGCTAGGAGGAGTGGCCGCTCACGCTCTCGAACCCCAGCTAGACGGGGCGGCCGCTCACGCTCTCGAACCCCAGCTAGGAGAGGGAGATCTCGATCAAGGACACCCGCAAGACGAAGATCTCGTAGTAGAAGTCTAGTCAGGCGAGGGAGATCTCATTCTAGAACACCCCAAAGAAGAGGCAGGTCTGGCTCATCGTCAGAGAGGAAGAACAAATCCAGAACATCACAGAGGAGGAGCAGATCCAACTCGAGTCCAGACATGAAAAAATCTCGGGTTTCTTCAAGACGGAGCCGCTCCCTCTCTTCACCACGGTCCAAAGCAAAATCTCACTTGCCTTTGAGAAGGAGCCTTTCAGGGTCCTCTCCGGGCCCCAAACAAAAGTCTCAAACACCACCCAGGCGGAGTCGCTCTGGCTCATCTCAGCTTCAAGCCAAGTCTAGAACACCATCAAGACGCAGTCACTCTGGTTCTCCGCCTCTTAATCAAAAATCTAAAACACCGTCGAGACAGAGTTGTTCCAGTTCATCTCCTCAGCCTAAAGTAAAACCTGGAACGCCACCTAGGCAAGGGTCTGTAACAAGTCCCCAAGCAAATGAACAATCTGTAGTAGCAGAAAGACGAAGTCATTCTCAATCTCCTGAGCCCGAAATGAAATCGAGGACTCCTCCTCCTCAACAGAGTTGCTCTGGGCCCTCTCCTCCTGGAGTGAAGTCTGGAACGCCTAGACAGAGCCCATCCGGGTCGTCATCTCCACAGCCCAAAATAAAAGCAGTGACATCGCCGACTCATAGTGGTTCCGGCTCCTCTTCTCCAAGCCCTGGTAGGGTGACATCTAAAACACCTCCGAGGCCAAGTCGATCAGAGTCTCCCTGCCCTACAGTGGACTCCAAATTGTTACAAAGACAAAGCCGTTCTCGGTCCTCCTCGCCAGATACCAAAGTGAAGCCTGGGGTACCATCAAGACAGGGCCACTCAGGATCTGCTTCACCGAGCCCCAAAGTAAAGCCCCAGACACCACCTAGACAGAGTCTGTCTGGATCAAGATCACCGTGTTCCAGCGAGAAGTCTAAGGACTCAATAGCACAGAGTTGCTCTGGACTTCCCCCGGTCTGTGCAGGAGTAAAAGCCAGTACACCACCCGGAGAAAGCCATCTCGGCTCTTCATCTTTGCTACAGAAAGGACAGTCTCAGACTTCACCAGATGACAGGTCTGATCCTTCGACTCCAGAGATGAGACAGAGTCACTCTGCATCTCCGTCTCTGCAGAGTAAGTCTCAGACATCGAAGGGTGGCCAGTCCAGTTCCTCATCTCCAGTTGCTGATCTGGCACTCAGATCTCCAAAGAGGCTAGATAGAAATGAACTGTCAGTAAGTCCTGGGCTGAAATCTGGAATGTCTCCTGAGCAGAGCATGGCACAGTCTGACTCTTCCCTTTATCCTGCAGTGGACACTAAATCTTTTCTGGGGCAGAGTAGATTGGAGCCCTCTCCTGAACTGAGAGAAAAAACAAGCCTCCTCTTGCAGGAAGATATCACTGCCTCTTCTCCTAAAGGCAGAGATAAATTGAGCCCTCTGCCACAGGATAGCTTGGAGTTCTCACCGGTACTCAAAGACACATCTAGAACTCCATCGAGAGAGAGAGCTGGTGTTGGGTCATCTCCTCATGTAAGAGACCAAAGTATAAGTAAGCCAAGCCAGGATGAGTCGATGGAGGTGATAGAGAAGTTTGAAGATTCCTCCAGCCAGATGCCACCTCATTTGTCTCCAGAACACAAGGAAATGACTGGAAGTAACTTGGAGTCTTCTCCTGAGCCTGATGAAAGGCCTGCTGTGTCTTTGACTTTTAACCAAAGTCAGTCGCAGACTGCTTTGGAAGCAGCAGTTCCTGCAGTGGCTTCCACTTGGAGTGGGCCACATTTTTCTCCAGAACATAAAGAACTGTCTAACTCCCCTGCCAGGGAGAATAGCTTTGGATCACCGTTAGGATTTAGGAATTCGGGTTCTTTTGCAGAAGTGAGTAGTGCTTTTTCTCCGGAGGTTAAAGAAGATTTGAATGGACCTTATCCTAATCAGCCAGAGACAGACCCAGCTCTAGATGTGAAAGAACAATCAGCAAGGTCTTCCAGACGCAGCAGTTCTGAGTTATCCCCAGAGGCAGGTGAAAAGGCTGGAATATCGTCCAATCAAAGCGCCTCTTCACCTGTACATGATGCTGTGCCCAGAACCCCCTCAAGGGAAAGAAGTAGTTCTGCATCTTCTCCTGAACTGAAAGACGGTTTACCTAGAACTCCTTCGAGGAGAAGCAGGTCAGGGTCTTCCCCAGGACTCAGAGATGGGTCTCGGACGCCCTCAAGGCAGAGTTTGTCAGGGTCCTCCCCTGGAATGAAAGACATACCCAGAACACCTTCCAGGGGCAGGAGTGAATGTGACTCTTCTCCAGAGCCAAAAGCTTTGCCTCAGACTCCTAGACCAAGGAGTCGCTCTCCGTCATCTCCAGAACTGAACAAGGGTCTTAGCCCTCGGAGAGAAAGAAGTGGGTCAGAGTCATCAAGTGAGCAGAAGACTGTGGCTCGGACTCCTCTTGGGCAGAGAAGTCGGTCTGGGTCTTCTCAAGAACTTGACGGGAAACCCAGTGCTTCCCCGCAGGAAGGAAGCGAGTCCGATTCCTCTCCAGATTCTAAGGCCAAGGCCCGAACGCCGCTGCGCCAGAGGAGTCGCTCTGGGTCCTCATCACCAGAGGTGGACAGCAAATCTCGACCCTCTCCGCAGCGTAGTCAGTCGGGTTCATCCCCTGAAGTTAAAGAGAAGCCACGGGTAGTACCCAGGGCACAGAGCGGTTCTGATTCCTCTCCTGAGCCCAAGGTTCTGACCCCGAGGGCCCTCCCCAGACGAAGCAGGTCCGGTTCATCGAGCAAAGGCAGAGGTCTTTCTCCTGAAGGAAGCAGTAGTTCTGAGTCATCTCCAGAACACCCACCCAAATCCAGAACTGCCAGGAGAAGTGCTCGGTTGTCCCCAGAGCCAAAGACCAAGGGTCGGACTCCACCTCGCCGGCGCAGCTCTCGCTCATCTCCTGAGCTGACTAGGAAGGCGCGACTCTCCCGTAGAAGCCGCTCTGCTTCATCCTCGCCAGAGACACGCTCTAGAACGCCCCCGCGCCGCCGGAGGAGCCCTTCAGTGTCTTCCCCAGAGCCAGCCGAAAAGTCTCGGTCTTCACGCAGGCGGCGATCGGCATCATCTCCACGCGCTAAAACGACTTCAAGGAGAGGCCGTTCTCCTTCACCCAAGCCTCGTGGGCTCCAGAGGTCCCGGTCCCGCTCAAGGAGAGAGAGAACCAGAGCAGCCCGGCGGCGAGATAGATCTGGATCCTCTCAGTCTACCTCTCGGAGAAGACAGCGGAGCCGCTCAAGGTCTCGGGTTACTCGGAGGCGGAGAGGGGGTTCTGGTTACCATTCCCGGTCTCCTGCTCGGCAGGAGAGTTCCCGAACTTCTTCCCGACGCCGGAGAGGCCGCTCTCGAACACCCCCAGCCAGGAAGCGTTCCCGCTCACGCACATCACCAGCCCCATGGAAACGCTCCAGGTCTCCAGCCACTCACCGCCGTTCCAGGTCCAGAACCCCCCTGGTCAGCAGGCGGCGGTCCAGGTCTCGGACCTCACCAGTCAGTCGCAGACGATCAAGATCGAGAACATCGGTGACTCGGAGGAGGTCTCGGTCCAGAGCGTCCCCAGTGAGCCGAAGACGATCTCGATCCAGAACACCACCAGTAACGCGCCGTCGTTCAAGGTCCAGAACACCTGCTCGCCGCCGCTCCCGTTCCCGAACTCCGGTGGTGACTCGCAGGAGATCCCGATCAAGGACGCCAGCAGTAACCAGGCGGCGATCTCGAAGCAGAACCTCGCCTATAGCTCGAAGACGATCAAGATCCAGAACATCCCCGGTCACGAGGAGGAGATCTCGGTCGCGCACCTCTCCGGTGACGCGGCGGAGGTCTCGCTCTCGAACTTCTCCAGTGACACGCCGTCGATCTAGGTCCCGAACACCTCCAGCTATTCGACGCCGTTCGAGGTCTCGCACCCCGCTGTTGCCACGCAAACGGTCTCGAAGTCGTTCACCACTTGCCATTCGTCGCCGTTCCAGATCCCGAACTCCACGAACAACACGAGGCAAGCGGTCCTTAACAAGGTCTCCTCCCGCCATCCGCAGGCGTTCTGCATCTGGAAGTAGTTCTGATCGATCACGTTCAGTTACGCCCCCAGCGACGAGGAATCATTCTGGTTCTCGGACCCCTCCAGTTGCACTCAGTTCTAGAATGAGCTGTTTCAGTCGTCCTAGTATGTCACCAACTCCGCTGGACCGCTGTAGATCACCTGGAATGCTTGAACCCCTCGGCAGTTCCAGAACACCCATGTCTGTCCTGCAGCAAACTGGTGGCTCCATGATGGATGGTCCCGGGCCCCGAATTCCCGATCACCCGAGGTCCTCTGTGCCGGAAAATCATGCTCAGTCTAGAATTGCACTGGCCCTCACAGCGATCAGTCTTGGCACTGCTCGGCCTCCTCCGTCCATGTCTGCTGCGGGCCTTGCTGCGAGAATGTCCCAGGTTCCAGCTCCAGTACCTCTCATGAGTCTCCGAACGGCCCCAGCGGCCAGCCTTGCCAGCAGGATTCCTGCAGCCTCTGCCGCAGCTATGAACCTGGCCAGCGCCAGAACACCGGCCATCCCAGCAGCAGTCAACCTGGCTGACTCGAGAACGCCCGCGGCGGCGGGAGCCATGAACTTGACCAGTCCCAGAACAGCGGTGGCACCTTCAGCTGTGAACCTTGCTGATCCGCGCACTCCCACGAGCCCAGCTGTGAATCTGGCCGGAGCCAGAACCCCAGCTGCTTTGGCAGCTTTGAGTCTCACGGGTTCTGGCACCCCGCCGACTACTGCAAACTACCCTTCTAGCTCCAGAACACCCCAGGCACCAGCCCCTGCAAACTTGGTGGGTCCTAGGTCTGCCCACGCCGCCGCTCCTGTGAACATCGCCAGCTCAAGAACCCCGTCAGCGTTGGCTCCTGCTCGAATGGCGCCAGCCCTGTCTGGTGCCAACCTCACTAGCCCCAGGGTGTCCCTATCTGCCTACGAGCGTGTTAGTGGCAGAACCTCCCCGCCACTCCTTGACCGAGCTAGGTCCAGAACCCCGCCACCTATCGCCAGTCAGTCTAGAATGCCCTCTGAGCGAGCTCCTTCTCCTGCCTCTCGAATGCTTCAGGCTTCCTCACAGGCTGTCCTCCCTGCGGCTCAGGACCGCTCTAGGTCCCCTGTGCCAGCTTTTTCTGACCAGTCCCGGTCTTTGCTTACCCAGAGCGCCCCTGGAGCAGGGTCTCAGGTCCTTTCCTCTGGGACTGTGGCCAAGACCACGTCCTCTGCTGGCGACCACAATGGCATGCTCTCTGGCCCTGGGGTGGCCCACTCTGAGGGCGGGGAACTACTCGCCTCTCCGGGGGCCCAGCAGCCTGCTGCATTGGCTGCCCTGCAGTCGGCAAAGGAGCGGCGGAGTTCCTCCTCCTCCTCCTCCTCCAGCTCCTCCTCCTCGTCTTCGTCCTCCTCGTCTTCGTCCTCGTCCTCGTCCGGTTCCAGTTCTAGCGATTCAGAGGGCTCTAGTCTTCCTGCCCAGCCCGAGGTGGCGCTGAAGAGGTGAGGCGGAATGATTCTGGGGAGTCATTCTTGGGGATGGGGCAGCCACGGGTGTGGGCGGAGGGGGAATTTCTCCCCAGGGGTTCTTGGCGCCGAGGCTGGGGTAGAAGAGAATGCTGGGGTGGGGGTCTGGGGGAGGAATGGGACAGATGAAAGTCTCCAAAGGTCTATTCTCCAGAGGATAATGATAAGTTTTCCGTCTCTACAGAGGACAGAACTAGAGGAAATGGACTTAATTTTACAGCAGGAGGGATGGCAGTTAGACCTCAAGAGGAACTCCCTGGGCTGGAAGGATCTTCAGAGGTCATCCCATCCCTCTCCCTGCCTCCAGGCAGGACGGCCCCTGCCCCAGCCACCCCGCACAACTCAGGGGCCTCCCCAACTTGGCTCCCAGGAAGGAGACTTCCCAGCTTCAGCTTCCACTCCTGAGCCCAGGGGCCTTTTCCTCCATCAGGGACATTCTTGAGGCTTAACCTTGAGCCCTGGGGCTGCGGGTCCCGGCCAGTTGCCTTAGAGGCCGGTAAGCTGGGGCTGTGCTCACTGGCCCAGCCTTGCGCAGGCTCGCTCCCCACTGCCGCTCCTCCAGGCCAAGGAAGGTAGGGTTGGGGCTGGTCGGCCTGGCTCCTGGTGACAGTCCCCTTCTCCCACAGGGTCCCCAGTCCCGTGCCAGCCCCAAAGGAGGCTGTTCGAGAGGGGCGTCCTCAGGAGCCGACCCCCGCCAAAAGGAAGAGGCGCTCTAGCAGCTCCAGCTCCAGCTCCTCCTCTTCCTCCTCCTCCTCCTCCTCCTCCTCTTCCTCTTCCTCCTCCTCCTCCTCCTCTTCCTCCTCCTCCTCCTCCTCCTCCTCTTCTGCTTCTTCCCCCTCCCCTGCTAAGCCTGGCCCCCAGGCCGTGCCCAAGCCTGCCAGCCCCAAGAAGCCAGCCGCAGGAGAGCGGAGGTGAGTGGGGCCGGCGGGAGCTGGCCGTGTGGGGGTGTGGGCCCGGGTGCCGCTCTGGACTGTGGTGTCTGGTCGTCCGGGAGGAGTCGGGCTCTCCTCCCCCTCCGATCCAGGGTGCTCAGGCCAGAAAGGGGACGTCCCAGCCTCCGTCCTCTCCCAGGCCCTGACCTGACGTGCAACCTGGCCCCAGGGATTCTAGTGCTGAAGTCTCCCCAGCGCTGGCGCCAGGCCTCTAGTCTGGCCACTGTCATCTTCTCCCGACTCTGTCCACAGCCTCTCCCCTGTCTCCCTGCCTCCACGCCATTCTCTTCCACACGTAGCCAGAGGGATCTTTCTAAAACGCACACCCGGTTACTTCCCTCCACTGCACACATCCTTCCGGGACGCCCTGTGGCCTGCAGGACAGAGCCCAGCTCTGCGGGAATGGCGTGTGAGGCTCCTCACCAACTGGCCTTGCCTGCCCTGTGTTCTCCTCTCCTGTCCGCCCCCACACATGCCCTGTGCTCCAGCCACTCCCGGCGCCTTGCAGTGTAAGGAGAGCCCCATGCCTTTGGACATGCTCCTTCTGCCTGGAATTGCCTTGTCCGCCTGGTGAACTCCTCGTTCTGCAAGACTCCGCTCAAACAGCACCTTGGAGAAGACTGCCCCGCCCCGCCCCGCCCCCTCCCCCCGCCCTCGCGGGGCTCCTTCCCACACACGGGGGCTGATCTGAGCCTCCCTTGACGCTCCTCACGACCAGACAGCCCCTCCAAGGGCAGGGACTGTCTTTATCTTTGTCCCCCGCTGCACCCCGCGCCCTGCCCCGTTGGGGCACTCAGTGGATGGTGTGCGGGCGGATGGGTGAGTGAGCAGACACAGGTGGGTCTGAGGCTGGCCCTGTGTGGTATGAGGTTTGGTGGTCAGGACCCGGGGGGGCGGTCCTGAGTGCTGGCTGGTGGTCTGGAAGCGTGTGGTGCTATGGGGACATGCTCTGCCCCCCAGGTCCCGCAGCCCCCGGAAGCCCATTGACTCTCTCCGAGATTCCAGATCCCTGAGCTACTCGCCTGCAGAGCGCCGCCGCCCCTCACCCCAGCCTTCTCCGCGGGACCAGCAGAGGTAGGAGAGCTTCTGGCCCGGGGCTGGGGCCCAGGGGTGCTGGTGGGGGCTTGCTCCCCAGCCTGACCTTGGCCTTGTGTTGCAGCAGCGAGCGGAATTCCCGCAGAGGCCAGCGTGGGGACAGCCGCTCTCCAGGCCACAAGCGCAGGAGGGAGACCCCCAGTCCCCGGCCTGTGAGACACCGCTCCCCCAGGTGTGTCCATGTCCTGTGCCCGCAGGGAGGTCTCTGGCCAGCCTGACACTGGCACTGACCTCTGCCCTCTTCTCTTGCAGGTCTCCATGAAATTTTTGGTGGGAGTCTGCCCCACCCCAGAGTCTCGAGTTCACAGGGAGCACCCTCCTTTGAAAGACCAGATGGGGTTCTTGTCTGACCCCCTTCTTTGGACCCTGGCAGCATCTTGGGGGGGAGGGCTCCCTCTTTTCCTTCCTCTCCCCCTTTTTTCTTTGTTCCTGTGAAATGTTAATCTGTGAGTTCTTCCTGGTTCACGTTTGGGGGGGGTTGGGGGGTGGGAATGAGAATGGGAGTTGTGGGAGGGGAAATAGTGTGGGACACCCCAGACTTGGGAGTCTGAGAAGGCCTGGAGCAGTGCACCCCGCGGGGAGAATGATGGTTTGGAACTTGATAGAGGTGTCCTGGAAAGTAGGGACGAGATGTTCGATGGTTGGGCCCTGCTGCCCCCGGTGAGCTTGTGGTCCCCTCCCCCCAACTTTTCACCTTTCTTAAAGGCATTTTGGTTTTTTAAAATCTGTACAGCAAAAGCGACTTTTTCTGTCAAATAAAAATGAGAAATGCAGGAATTGCGTCTGGAGACTGTTTTATTAGGGGTAAGGGTGGGAGAGGCACTGCCCTCCGCCAGCCACACCTGTCCAGGTGGCTAGGGCTCCCCTCCACAGCCCCCCTAGACACCAACACTCAAGCTTAAGCTTACCATTGCTCCAAAGCCAACATGCGGGGGGTGGGGGGGGTCAAGAGGGATGCGACTTTGTCCCCAGGCAGAGGCTGGGAAGGCCCTGCCCTGGGCATGTCCCAGGCTGGGGGGGGAGGAGGGGGCGTGTGGGGAAAGAGGTTGTCTAGCAGGCGAACAGAAAGCAGGGTGGGGAGGTGAGGGTAATGCCTGACGCTGGGGCAGTTGTGTGGATAAAGAGGCGGCAACCTGGCAGACACCCAAATCTTTTATTGGGGGGACATGGGGGGGCGCAGGGCCCTCACTGCACTGCTTGTTCGTTGGCGCTGCTTCCTGAGTCCTGGGGCTTCATCACATCTGGCAGCTCAGGTGGGCTGGAGAACGGTTCAATGCGCAGGGCCTCAAAAGCTTCATCTGGTGGAGACAGACCACTGAGAGGATCCCATGGGGCCGAGCCCCCTCTCCCCCACCCCCCACGGTCCCCCCTGACCCCTCTCCCTGGGGGCTGCCATCACCCATTTGAGATGGCTTTCGCCTGGTTCTCGGCGGTCACCTGGACCTTGCACAGCTTCCCTGCCTATCCGAAACCCTGGCACCCACCGGGCTCCAAGCCGCTGCTGGGGGACACCCAGACTGGAGCTTCCCTCACTTCCCCAGTGCTTCCTGCCCACCTGGGGGGACCCCTCTCCACCCAGCAAGGTCATCTGGGGGCAGCAACAGTGGCATTGTGGGCAGATGGGTCTGCACTGCAGGAGATGCTGCCCAAGCCCGCCTCGGTAAATGATCTCCAGGGGACAGCACGGTAACGAGCTGATCTTCCAAGCCACAGCCCTAGCCTTTAAAGCTGCCCAGGACACAGGTCTCGTAAAACTGAAAACCACCGTATCACAGCACTGGCACACAAATGGCACCGAGTCCAGAACAATCCCTTGGTTCTCTGCTGGCAGAATACCTCCAAGTGTGGGCTCAGGGCTTGATAGGGCTGCGGCCTGAACTAGCACACGGCTGGTCTGGCTCGGGATCAGGCCGGAACAGGGCTGGAGGGCGCCCTGTAAGAGGCCCACCCACCCCCTTCCTCCACAGCTGTGCCAGCACCCGACAGGGGAGACAGCTGAAACCTATCCCCTCTCTTGGTGGTGGTGGAGGGCTGGGTGGAATCAACTGTCCTCTCAGGTGTCTCAGCCCCACCTGGCCACCAAGGCCACCCCGCCCCCCCAACCAGTTTACCTGTCCTTAGTATGGCTCAACCAAATCTGGTCTGCACAGAAATGTGGGGGGTGGGATAAGGCGGGCAGGAGGGGCAGGTGGCGTGACACAGTGATGAAAAGAAATGATTGGCACAGCGCCCAACTCAGACCAAGTCCTGGCAGCCTGCACCTAACCCTGGCTTCACACATCGGGGCCTTGGCAAGCCTCTGTGCCCACATCTCCAAAACAGGATGCAGTGCTCACCTCCCAAGGCTAGGGAGCGGACTTTGGGGCCAGTGCAAAGCCAATCACTTAACAGTACTATCTCAGGGGTCAGGAGGAAAGTGCAGGGGTTAAGGTTGTCTGCCCTGTACGCAACTAACCCCAGTTCCATCCTGGAACCGCGTGCGGTCCCCAGAACACAGGCATGACCTATCTTCATTCGGAAAGATCCTCCCAACATGGAAGCTGCCTTGGTGACTTCGTCTCCGACACCTACTCCTACCCGACGCAATCTCTTCTGCCTTTCGGGCAAGGGGGGGTGCTCCTCGGCAGTGGCGGGGGTATCTCCTGACGAGCCTCAGTCAACAAAGCGAGGTGGCTCAGTGCTGGGTCGGCAACCCTGGAGTCCACGAGGGGCACCCCCGGCAATGTCAGGATCAACTCCCAGGCGGACCCCTGGCCACTTCTTTCCGGATGGGCAAAGCTACACAGCCCCAGAGGTTGGGAAGAACCACTGACCCCTTCTGTGGCCATCTCCACCCTTCCTGCTGCCCCTCACCTGCCCGGAACGCGAGCCCCACTGTGGCTGGGGCCTGGGGCCGCGCTGTCTGACTGGTGAAGCCACACTCCCCCAGCGTCTTGCCGTCGTCCAGGAGCTGGTCGTCCTAAGGAGAGAGGCGGACATGGAGAAGCGGGTCCCAGAAACGCCTGGTGCTCTGAACCCTGGGGGCAGGGTCGCGCTGGGCGACAGCACGGTGGGGAGGGGCTTGCCCTGCACGCGGCCACCCGAGTTCAATCCCCAGCATCCTGGAAGGTGCCCCGAGCACCACCGGGAGTAATTCCCGAGTGCAGGGACAGGAGCAGGCCCAGAGCATCGTTGGGTGTGGCCCCCGAGCAAAACAAACAGAACGTGCCGGGAGCCGGCAGCGGGGCGCCGGCCACGGCGACCTCCGGGGCTGGGCCGAGCGTGGCCCCGCGCAGGGCGGCCGCGGGCCCAGCCCGGCTCCGACACGTGGGCCGGGTCCCGCGCGGGCAGGGCAGAGGCGGCGGGGGGCAGCGGGGGCCCGGGGCCCTCATACACAAAGGAGGCGGCGGCGTCCCGGCGCGGGGCGCGAGGGCCGCGGGGCCCGCGCAGGCGCGCCCCCTCCGCGGCCGGGGCGCGGGCCTCAGTTTCCCTCCCCGCCGGGCCGGGCGGGCGCGCGCTCGCGGCTCCGCCTCCCGGGGCACGGCCGCCGGCGCGGGGGAGTTCCGGCCGCGGCGCCGTTGGGCCCGGCCTGGCGCACCTTGTACAGCCGCTGCTCGTCGGGCGGCCGCTTGAGGATGCCCTCGACGATGCGCTTCAGCTCGAACACAGTGCTCGACTCCTTGGCGTCCGTGAAGATGGTGGTCTTGTGGCGCCGGATCATGAGGAACACGTCCTGGGGGCGGCGGGCCGGCGTGAGCGCGGGGCCGCGGGCGGCCCGGGTCCCCCGGCGGCCCCCGGCGCCCCCGACCCGGCCCCGGCCCCGGCCCGGCGCCCCTCCCCCCGCGCCCGCTCACCATCGCGGCGGCTGCCTGTCCCCCTCGACGCGCCGGCGCGGCCGCGCTCCGCCCCGTTCCCGGCAGCCCGCGCGCGCCGACCCCCAGCAGGCCCCGCGCGCGGAGGCGCCCGCCCCGCGCCCCGCCCCGCGCCGCCTCCCGGCTCCTCGCGGCCGCCATTTTAAGCGAGGAGGCCGCGGGGAGCTCTGGCGAAGCGTGCGGCCGCCATCTCGGCGCTGAGCGCGGGGCCGCGGCGGTGGGCGGGGCGGGCGGGGCGGCGGCGTGTGAGGCCGGGCGGGGCGGCTCGGGCTCCATCTTGGGAGTGGCGGCGCAGCGCGGAGGCGGGCGCGGCCCCCGTCCGGGCGCGGCCCCCGCCCGGGCCGTCGGGGGTCGCGCCGAGCGAGGGACCCCGCATCCCGGCGAGGGCGAGGCGGTGGCGTGGGAGGCCCGGGCCGTCGTGGCGCCGGCGCGCCCGCCGGAGTCGGGGCTCCGCGGAGGCCATGTTGAGAAGGAGCTTGGCTTGGCCCTCCCGGCCGCCGTAGGGCGCGGCCCTGTTCCCGGGCCCAGTCGGGGGCGGCGGGGGGGCCGGTCCGGGCCAGGCCGATCGGGCCGCGCACCCAGCGGCCGTGGGAAGCGGCTGGGCCTCCCGGGATGGGCGCCTTGGCTAGGGGTCACCGGTCACCCACGGGGCCTCGTGTCGGGGCCCCTCGCGTGGCGCACGGTGGGGTGGGCCGCGGCCTCTGGCTTGGTTTGGGCTTGAGTCGCTCGCTCGCCCCACGCGTCCCCCTGCTGCGGGGCTCCGGGCCGTGCCCTGACCTCTCTGGGCGCTTCCCGCTCATCCCCGCCGTTCCCAGGTGGGTTCCTCGGAACCGTGATTTCTGAGCAGGTGGGGGAGACCAACACCGCTGGCCTCAGGTGGGCAGCTGGGAAAAGCCTGCCTTGAGGGGGCGTCCTGAGCTGCTCCCAGTCCCCTCCTGCCAGCGTGGGGCTGGCCCCCAAGCCGCTCCAGCCCCGGAACCCGAGCCCGAGCAGAGGGTGCCTGGCGAGCCATGCCAGGAGCAGGGGCAATGGAAGGGGGGCCCAGAGGACCCCCCCCCCATCCCAACTGGTTGTGGCTCCCACATGGCTCCGGGTTCCCTTCCTTGAGAGGGGACGCGCCGCCTTGCTCCCAGAACACGCTGTAGGGCCAGCTGTAGGGCCACGGGGCTAGGGCTGGACCCCCTAGCGGGGCATGCAGGAGCTCACCTGAGGGAGCTCTCGCAGCTTCGTGCCTCTTCCAGGCCCGGGCACCGTGGGCCTGATGACACCCCAATCTGGGGTGGCCCAGAGGCCCCTCTCCCGCCCTGCCCTGCATCTGCGTGACCCCCGGGAGAGCAGGAAGGTGCTAGGCTCGTCTGAAGGGCGTCCCTGTTCCCTAGCCCCATCCATCAGTGTCTCAGTAGGACTGAGGTTTCCAGGGCTTGTTCCCTCCTGCTGCAGGCAAAGGAACAGTGCCCGGCCTTGGTAGGAGAAGGTAGGCACCCAAGTTCCAGGCACAGGACAGTGGACAGGCTCAGAACCCATACCAGGCTCTGGGCATAAGTGTGTGTCAGGAGGGGCGTGCTGGACACAGACCCAGACAGGGCAGGGATGGGGACACGGGCTGGAGCCATAGCACAATGGGGCGGGCGTTTGCCTGGCACGCAGCCAACCGAGTTTGATCCCTGACACCCTATAGGGTCCCCTGAACACCAGAAGTAATTCCTGAGAGCAGAGCCCGGAGGAACCCCTGAGCATCGCCAGGTGTGATAGCAAGTTCAGTAGTGCCCAGGTTTGCCTGGTGGCTCTGCCCCTCCGGCCACCATGTCAGTTGCCCCAAACGCTTGACCTGACCTGGGCCCCAGAGCCGTGCCCCTCCCCTGGCACGGGTTCGTCCCAGTGGGACAGGATTCTAATTCCGTTTTCTGCTGCTGTTGAATAAAGGACAAACACAGGGCAGCACAAGCAACACCAACACCGATGTTATCAGCTCCAGGGGGGCTCAGCTGGGCTCCTCTTGGGGGTGCCCGGGCTCCAGTCAGGGCTGGTCACAAATCCGCTGCCACAATCCGCTCTCAGGTTCCCGGGCTTGGCCTCCTGTTCTGGATGGCTGTCAGCCAGGGCTCCCCTCAGCTCCTGGGGGCTGCTTGCAGGAGCTCTGGAAAGAAATCCTCTCACCTCATCTCCGTGACTCCCCCAGCGGTGCCGGCGAGGGGGAGCCCCTCTGGCAAGACCGAGGGTGGGGGCAGCTGGCCCTTGTGTCTGGTCCATCCGTGCATCAGAGGCCCAGGCGAGCCTGGATCCAGGGGCTGTAGGTGGCCACGTTGGTGTAGACGCCTGGGCGGTTGGGCAGGGCACAGCCCTTGCCCCAGCTCACCACGCCCACCAGCACCCAGCGCCCCGACTTCACGCAGGTCAGGGGGCCCCCAGAGTCGCCCTGCAGAGAAAGGCAAGGCTGAGTGTGCCCCAGGTTCTAGCTCCCCAGGGGGTGCCTCTGGGTAGGGGACAGGACGTCGGGTCTGGAGGGGGCCTCCCGGGGGTCCCTGGCAGTCTTGTGCACCTGGCAGGCGTCCTTGTGGCCCTCCACGTAGCCAGCACACAGGTTCCCGGGCAGCACTATCCGCTCCGCGCTGGGCACATCAGTGCCCACGTGGTAGAGGCGGTCACAGGTGCGAGCGTCCAGCAGCGGCACCCTTGCCCCCTGCAGAGGCCGCCACTCGGGGAAGGGCACTGGGGGAGGTTGGGGGCGGTGTGGGAAGCTGGGCCTGGGGACTGTCCATCCGGGCCCCGGGCGCCCTGAGGCCACCAGTCTCCTCACCTCCCGGCTGGAGGCTGCCCCAGCCCGTGACCCAGCAAGGGGTGCCGGCGGGCAGGCGGGCGCCGGGTGGCGGCAGGCACACGGGCTGCACGCGGGCGCTGAGGGCCACTGGGCGGCGCAGCTGCAGCAAGGCCAGGTCCCCGCGGCCGCCGTCCTCAGAGTGGTCGGGAGGCAGCAGCACCCTCCGCACCGGGGCCAACAGGGCACGCGGCGACAGCAGCCCCAGGCGCAGGGCGCCCAGCCGCACACGGTACTCAGACGGCGGCGCCCACCTGCAGGGCAGTGAGCCTGACCGTCCCGCACCCGCCCCGGGCCCCGGGCACGGGGGCGCCCGCACCCTGACCTGGGGATGCAGTGCGCGGCTGTCAGCACCCACTGCGGGGCGATGAGCGAGCCCCCGCACACGTGCACGCCGTGCCGCTGGACGCTCGCCTGCCAGGGCCACTCTCCGTCCCGGGCGTCCCGGCCCCCCACGATTCGGCTGGACACGTGTGGCTGCCCGCAGGCTACAAGAGGAGAAGGGTCTGGCAGGGGCGACGGGGGCGAGGAGCCGGGGTAGGGGGCGGCGGGGCCGTCCTTACCTGCAGACCCCAGCGTGTGGGCAAGGCCTGGGGGAGGACGCAGGGAGGGGCCAGTCACGGATGGTGGCAGAGGACAGGGTGAGGGCCGGGAAGGGCGCAGCTCTCCAGGCTGCTGTGCCAAATGTTAGCCAAGCCACCCTCCCTAGCAGCGAGAGGCAACTGAGACACAGACCCTTCACAGGGAGCCAGGCCTGTCCCACTCACCCGGCAGCAGGAGGAGCAGGGTGTGGAGGAGGGGCGCCCCGCTCATTCTGTCTCCAGGGTGAGGCATGGCTGGTCAGAGCCTGCAGGGAGAGGGGGCTGCAGGCTTCCCTTCGTCTTCCAAGGTCTTGCACCCGGGTCTTCCTGCCCCGAGCACCAAAGACCACCCGTGCCCCCTGGGCTCTCACCCTCACTGTTGGGGGCGCTCACTGGCAACTGGGGCTGGGGAAGGCCCTGGGGGCTTAAAGGGCTGGAGGGGGCGTGGCGTGACCTGGCCGGGGGCTGATTAGGAGGCCAGGGCGGGCCTGTGGCTTGTCAGCCCTACCTCAAACAAAGATGCTTTCAGAGTGGCAGGAAGGGATCTCTGGCTCTCGAAGAAACCTGGCCCCTGGCCTGGCCAAGGTGCTGAGAATGAGGGGGCGGGAACCTGGCCTGGCCAGTGCCAGAGCAGTCGGAGAGGGCTCTGACCCTGTAGCAGCCACTGCTCTGGGCAGAGACCCTGGCCCTGATGACTTGGGGGTCAGCTGCAGTGCCCCTCACGGCCCGTGACCAGAGAAGAACCACCGATTCCATCATGGCAGGCGTGGCCAGGGCGTGAGGACATGCCAAGCTCAGGCCTGGCTGCCACCATGCGCCCCCCAACACAGCCCCTCGCCAGCAGCTGTGTGACGGAATGGCCCTGGGGAGCAAGGGCTCAGGGCACTGGAGGGGGGCCAAACCCCAGCCCCTCCATGTGCCGCGGACAGGGGCTCTGCAGAGAAGACCCAGGCTTGTGGGTGCCCCCTGAGGCACGGCTGAGGACTTGGTGACCCCAGGACCCTCGCGCCATCCCCCCCTTCGAGTGTGGGGCCTGCTGACTGGAGTTGGGGTGAAAGGAGGCCTTATGTGCGGGGTTGAGAGACTTGGGGGTGACCCAGGGGGGCCCCTCCTTCGAGTGCTGGGGAAGACAGGCTACCCCCGGTCACACGTGTTCTGCCAGTCATCGACTGAGTGGGACAGATGGGACAGGCCGGGTCTGACCAGCATCCGATCCCGGGGCCGCAGCACCAGCTGGACCAAAGGACTCAGGCACGAGCCATGCTCCATCCAGGCACGGGCCAGACCCCGGAGCTGCCGCTGGCCCCGACCAGGTTGCTACTGACCATCTGGAGCTCAGGTGAGGGGCCAGTGTCCTCTGTCCCTCCAGGTCACCTGGTTCTCCCCAGCGCCCACCTCCGGCCTATCCAGCCCAGGGTAACAAAGGAATGGTTGTGCCAGGCTAGGCCGCTGTCCATCAGCCCCCACTGTCAGGGCCCCAGCACTGAGACCGGGGAAGGGGGTCTGGCCTTGCAGGGACCGGGGAAGGGGGTCTGGCCAGCCCCGTCTGAGATGGGTATGGACTGTGAGGGGACACGGTGAGGCGGGAGGCTCCAATATGCCCCGTGCCCGGCAAAAGGGGGATCCTCAAATGTTTTGCCAAGGACGGGGAACAGGACAGAACGGGCTCAGCGCGGGGGAGGGAGCAGCAGGCAGGCTGAGGTGCCCGAGTGGTGACCGTGCTGGGCCCACGTCCACCTGGCGCCAGGCTTGGGGCTGCCCCAGGATGTGGTGGGCCAATGCTCCTGCCACCGGGCGGCGCCCTCGAGCCGCCCAGGACGGTCCTGCAGACGCTCCACCCAGCACCTGGCCAGCTGTGGAGGACGCAGCTTTGCCATCTACATCTGATTTGTCACCTCCTACCAAGGCGGGCCCCTCCAGAGTGGGGGCGGGGGCAGGGTGGGGGCAGGCAGGTAGGAAGGAGGCTGACGGGCATCTTGGCCTGCCCTTTGCCACCCAGCCCAGAGGCCCAAGGGAGAAGAGGGCCGTGCAGACGAGTGGGCGCCCCCCAAGGAGGTCAGGTCTCTACGCTGGGCACGGTAGGATGACAGGCACCCCTGTCCTGCCGAGTGCACATAAGCCAGTGCTCACCTGTCTCCTCAGGGGCACACCGGGAAGCCCGCACCCGCAGCAGGGACAGGCAGCAGTGCCAGCACTCGCCCGGGCCACATGCTGCTCCTTCCCAAACCCCCATCCCCACTGCAGCACAGTTTCTCAGCCCCTCCAGGACCCCCTGCCAGCTCCTAGGGCTCCTTTCTTCAATCCCCATGTTCTGTCTTCAAGGACACACGCAGACATGCCTCCTCCACGCTGGCCCCCACCTTGGAACCCAACACTGTGTCCCACCCATCCTTGCCTCATCAGGTTCTTGGCACAGTGGCCTCAAGCATTTCACACCAGGCCCCAAGGGGGGCCCTATTCTACTTCAAGAAGTGAGCTGGCCTCAGTCTCTCCTCCCTCAACAGCCCGTGCTCTTGGCTGGAGCACCCAGGAAGGTCATGGCCTTGGCACTGACCTTCCTCTTCCCCCACTGACCCCTGCTAGCCAGGGCCCGGGGAGCCCCTCAACATCTTGTTTACCAAATCTGCTGCATCCCTCCCTCCTGATGTGACCCCAGGAGTTGTTTGTTTGGGGAGGCATCTGAGCACACCAGTCAGTGCTCAGGGCATAGTCCTGGCTCTGCTCAGGGATCGCTCCTAGTGGGGATCAGGGGATCATCTGGGGTACCGGGGCTCGAACCCGAGTCTGCTGCATGCAAAACCAGCGTGCTGCTGTCGTGTGGTCCCCTGCCCTGATGGCAGGGCTGGTCCCCACAGTTGTCTCTGCGAGACGGAGACCGTGTGGTCTTCCTCGGGCTGCCCTGGGCCCCGCTTCCCTCCCACTTCATCCCGGCCTCCAGAGAGAGCACAGCCGGCAGCACCCCATATGCCTGGAGCATCACCAGGGAGGACTCCTGAGCGTTGCCAGGTGTGACCCAAGCTAACAAGAAAAGGATGGAGCAGGCGAGTGGAGCATCCCGCAAGGACATGTCATGGGTGCGCACAGGTGTCAGGCCCCTTCTCCGTTCCCTCTCCGCACACAGCCCATCTCAGGACGGGCTGGGGAGGCCACCGCCTGCTGTCTGCAGGCTGAGAGAAGGCCAGGCAGGGGTGCTGGCCAAGGGACCCAGCTCTGGGGTCACGGTGGCTATGCATTTTCAACCTTCTGAGCCATCATGCCGGGTCCCAGTCCTCGGGAGCTCCCCACCCACACTGAGGATTCACCCCCGAATCCTGGAGGGAGCGGACGCAGAGGTGGACCTTTCCTGCCCATTCCTGGTGTCAAGGTCGGGGTCAAACTGATAAGTGTCCCCTGCCTTGTCTGCAGACACCCCGCCTCCTCCCAGCCAGGCCTCCCTGCTGTCCACATACCTCGGGGTACAACACCTTTGGGGTGATGGTGCCCCCTACAGAGGTCGCTGTCTCCCGCCCACATGCGCTCCCAGGCCTCCCTGTCTCACTAGTGTCTGGGCGACGGCAGAAACCCGTTTCTCTCACTTCGTGTCCTCCAGAGGTGGGGGGAGGGGAGGGTGCACAGGGAGACCCTGCAGGGGGAGGCCTGTCCCCCGACCCAGCCCTGCTGACCACACCATGGGCTGGCCTAGCTCTCTGGGGTGTGTACTGGACTGTTCCAGAATCCCTGGCTCCCTTCTGGGCTTGACCAGGTGCCGCGGAGGCCAGGAGCAGCTCCTACAGCATCCACGCCTGAGGGTTGTGGGGACGTCCACACAGGCTGGGGCAGCCGGCAGGATCTAGGGCCTACCCCAGGGCGGGGTCTGGGCTCCCCACTTAATTCCTCCTTGGAAAGTTTTTCTGGAACATTCCATGGAGGAGGAAGCCAAGGGGCCAGTCTAGTCCAACTTCCAGAGGCAGAATCATGAGCTTGGGGAGAGAGGCCTGATGCAGGGGCTGGTGGTGGTGGTCCACGATTCCCAGGAAGAAAGGTAAATACTGAGCAATCAGGATGAGCAGACTCAGGGTGAGAAAGAAAAGGGATTTTTCTGTGTTTTTTTTAATTAATTTTTTGTTTTGGGGGCCACATCCAGTAATCAAACCTTAGTCAGGAAGAAAAGTTTTGGGGCCGGTGCAATATGCAACAGGTTAGGTGCTTGGTTTGACCCCCCCCAGCCCCCAGATGGTCCCCTGAGCCCTGCCAGGAGTGAGCCCTGAGCAGCCCTGGGTCTGTCCCCGCGGGAGAAGGAGCAGCAGGACATGGCGCCCAGGTGCAGTCTGGCATCGGCAGGACGGCGCTCCCTCTGCCTCCACACAGATCAGACCCCCAGGAACAGCACCCAGGAGCTGACCTACACCTGGGTGCTGGCGAGGCCCCCCAGCCTGGCCCCCTGAAGACGGCTGGCCTGGCCCCTCCTGTCGCCCAGCAGCCCTGCGCCCTTTGTGTCCCTGGACCCTCTTCGCTTGGGCTGTCGTGAGCCCCATGCCTCCCGTTCCCCCTTTCCAGACCAGAGGAGAGGCACAGATGGTCACCCAGGTCAGCGGTCAGCGGGCCCCTCCCCACTGCACCCGCCAGGCCCAGCCACTGCTCTGCCTGCTGGAGCCAGTGTGAGAATGGCCAGTGTGTGACCGCCAGTGTGACTGTGAGTGTGACTATGGCCGCAAGTGTGCGAGAGAGGGATGGCTCTGTGTGTGCTCATGGCAGTGCATGTGACTATGCACGTGAGTGATGCCATGTGTGATGTGTGTGGTGCCATGTGTGACACCATGTGTGCACACCCGGGTGCGTGCTTCTCAAAGCCTGGCCCACATGTGTCCCTCTCACCTTCCGTCTGGGAGCTGCGAGCCTAAGCAGCTGCGCCCGAACACAGTCCCTTTGTGCCGCTGCAGCCGCAGAGGCTGCCCCGGGATTAGGGTTCCGGCGATTCTGCTCCAAATCCCACCCGAGGCCGCCAGCAGGGGCCAGCGAAGGGGCGGGGCCGCTCTCACTGGAGCCACCCCACTGCCTGGCTGTCCAGGCCCCATGGCCCCCGCTGCCCCTGGGTGTCACTGCAGACAGAGTGCATGAGAGGGCGTTCCTGGCCACCCACAGCTGTACCCAGCCTGGGCCAGAACCGTCAGGAAGTGGCACTGGGCCGCGTGGCAGAGAATGCACCTGAATGAGCCCCAGGCCTGGAGGAGAGGAGCCTGGGTCGCCATGTGCAGTGCAAGTGCCCCACCCGCTGGGCCTTGGGGCTTCTTTTTGGGGTTTTGTTTGGGGCCTGACCTGGTGATGCTCCCTGCCCTCAGGAATTACTCCTGGCCACGCTCAAATACGCGACATTTGAGTTTGATCCAGGGTAAGCCATATGCAAGGCAAATGCCCTCCCTGCTGTGTTTGTAAGAGAGAGAACAGTATTTTTGTTTTGTGTTTGGGGGCACACGCAGCTGTGCTCAGGGCTTACTCCTGGCTCTGCACTCAGGGATGGCTCCTGGTGGGCTCAGGGGACCATAGAGGGTGCGGGGATTAAATCCCGTGGGCCACGGGCAAGGCGAGTGTCCTACCCACTGTACTATCCCTCTGGACCCTGGAAAACAATATTTAAACATTTCCCTTGGGAGGAGAGCTGGCTCGTGGGTGAATGCATGACGGCGTGGGTGGGGGCGGGGCGGGGGTCAGGGGGGCCAGATTCCCGGGGCTCACCCTGGGATGGGCTCGAGAGGCAACAACTGGAGGGGCCCAGCGGGCCCAGTGCTGGCCCCTGCCTGTTATCCCAGTGGCCTCCCCAGCGGCTTCACAGCCTCCCCCTGGCTGGAAGGCCAAGGACGTGCACGGAGACACACGCTGTGTGCGCTGTGTGGGGTTTGTTTATTGGCGCCCCGGAGGGGCTCCTGGACCTTCTATTTGTTTCATTTGGGGGTCGCAACCGGCAGTGCTCAGGGCTTCTTCCTGACTGCTTGCGGGACCATCGGGGTGCCGGGCGGGCCGGGCCTCCTCACGGTCCTAAACCTTCTTTCCCTAAATGTCGGTTTTCTATTTTTTGCTCTTTAATGTCGTCTCTGGCTTTGGCGCTGGTGTTGGCGCCTCGGGCTGTGCCAGAGGGTAATCCCAGTCGAAGCCAATGCCCGTGATGCCCAGGAGCCGGTGCTGGCCGAAGACCCCCGTGAGCACCTTCCCATACAGGTCCCCTTGGGCCGTGAAGTGGTTGCCCACCTTGTTCCCAAAGGAGACCCAGCGGCCCTGGTCAGTGTAGAAGACCAGGTAGCGGATGAAGGCCTTGGCGGTGCCATACACAGAGGTGATGTGCTCCCCGGGCTGCAGCACGAAGGTCTGGGTCCTCCCTCCCTCCACACCATATTTGGGGCTCCAGGCGCTTCCGAACCGGAGCCTGATGCTGTGAGAGAAGGCTGCTGATGGGGCGCCCTTCCCCTCCCAGTCCCTGGGCCTGCCGGTGGGGTTGGGGGTTGGGGAGGAAGCTGTGGGACCCCTCCCCCCAGGCCACCTCACCTCTTCATCAGGCCTGTGTCGCCAAAAGACACCTGGATGCCGGTGATGTCGTTGGTGTTGTCCGGGGGACTGTTGAAGTTCCAGCCCCCTCCAGCCCCCAGCAACTCTGCAGCAGGAAGAGTGAACGCGGGTCACCCACCCCGACAGGCTCCTCGGGGCCCAGCAGCAGACTGAGGGGGGGCCTGGCTTCGGGGTGGGGGTGTCAGCCTGGGGTCCAACTCACCGTGAGCCCAGCAGGCTCCACTGCAGAGCAGCAAACTCAGCCACAGAAGCATGGTTGGTTCCTGGGAGGGGACAGGCCTGAGGGTGGACAGGCCTGAGGGTAGACAGGCCTGAGGGGGATAGGCCTGAGGGGAGACAGAACCGAGGGGGGACAGGCCCGAGGGGGGACAGGCCTGAGGTAGGGGGTCAGGTCTGAGATGGGGAACAGACCCGAGATGGGGGGGGGCGGGGGGCAGGCCCAGGGCCAGTGGCCTTACCTGAAGGAAGGGTGCGTGCCCAGCTCTGGCCCGTTCAGTCGCGTGCTGGGGGCTGTCCACGGCCCTTTATACCCACTGGCCCCCCTCCAGCAGGAAGCAGTGAGGGGTCACCAGGGAGACAGGAAGGAGCAGTCAGTGGGGCTGTCCAGGGAGATCCCCAGCGCCTTCTCCGGGGAGGTGCCTGATGTGCTGTCCCTGGCCCCGGTCTACACAAACAACGGGGCGGGCATGGCACGGGGCCTGCTCCAGAGTTGGGCCTCAGGGGGGCTCCCTGAGTCCTGGAGTCACTCTGGGTCCCGGGTAGCGGGGGCGGCGGATCTCGGGCCTCTGGGCACTTTCCTTGGTAGGCGGGACAGTGGCAGGGCAGACTCAGGTGCCCATGGGGCTTCTGTGGCAGGAACTCCATGCTGGCCGCAGCCCCACACAGCCGTTTGCAGGGCCCCCAACTCCCTGAGGGCCCCAGCACCCGGAAAGAACTGGCAAGGCCACACAGGGACCCAGGAACACCTGTGACCTCTCTGCAGGGTACCTTCCCTTCCTGGCCCGGGCAGGCCTCTGTGTCCCAGGACAAGGCTTCCAGCCTGTGTCGACACAGACCCCGGACCAAAAACACTTTTCTACCAGGAGAACATTGGGGGCTCAGCCTGGGGTGCTCAAGGCACCCTGAGGTCCAAGCTGAAGCAAGCCCAGAGCACCCACCCTTGGTGCTATTTCTGACTTAGGTTTTTTGGATTTTTTCCTTCTTGCTTTTGTTTGGTCTTTCATTTTTGGCCCACACCTGAAAATGCTCAGTGGTGATTCCTGCCTCCACACGCAGGAATTGCTCTTGGCAGTGCTCTGGGGACCCTAAAGGGAGCAGGGACTGGACCCAGGTCAGCCGCTTGCAAGGCAAATGCCCTCCCCGCTGTACTGTCTCTCCAGCACATGTTGTTTTAATTTTCTTTTTCTACTTGGGTGGCGCCCAGCAATGCTCAGGGGTGACTCCTGGCTCTGCATTCAGGCATCACTCCTGGCAGTACTTAGGGTCCATCTGGGATGATGGGGATCAAATTCGGGTCAGCCACGTGCAAAGCAGACGCCCTCCCCGCTGTGCTATTGCTCCAGCTTCCAAATGTTTTAGTTGTTATTTTGCTTAAGACCGTCTGAACCAAGCCCTTGCCCGCAGTGCTCAGACCTCGGGGCTGCCCTGGGGAACTCGGCCTCTGGCTGTGCTGGGAGCTCCTGGACCTCACCCAGCAGTGCTCAGGCCCCCGTGGGACTGGGAGTGAAATCAGCCTCACGCCTGGCACGTGCTCCCCCTTTGCACTGTTGAAGGTAGGAGACCCGGGGCGTGACTGAACGGCGCGCGGCTTCTCAGAGGCCCCTGGCCTGTGTGAGTGTGGTCATCGTGAGGGGGCAGAGACAGGGTCCTGAGTGAGAGGCGAAAACAGGAAAGGACTGTGGGGGGCCTCCTGCAAACACCACGGGACCCAGGAAACCACGACACCCCCAGAAGCCGCCGGGGTGGCCCCTGCGGCCAGTGGAGGTGACTGCGGCAGGAGGTGGGCCGGGAGCTGCCCCTCTGGGGGGTGGGCCCACTGTCCCTCAGATATCCGGGTCCGCGCCCTGAGAGCTGGCGGAAGCGGCCGTGGGTTTGGCAGACAGGCTGACCCACACAAGGAGGCATTGTTCCTGCCGCGGGTGGGTGTGGTGCCAGGAGCAGGGTGTGTGTGGGCCGGGTGGGGAGGAAGGTGAGGCTGATGGGGGGCACAGCCACAATGTCAGTCAAGGGTGGGGACGGGGCTGCCCACAGGGTTGCACCTGGCTCTGATCCCCGCAGCGCCCTGGTCCCCGAGCACGAGGCAGGAGGGCCCCTGGGTAGCACTGGACGTGTCCCTCAAAAAAAGCACCAACAGGGCTGGAGAGAGAGCACACGGGTAGGGCGTTTGCCTTGCACGCGGCCGACCCGGGTTCGATTTCCAGCATCCCATATGGTCCCCTGAGCACCAACAGGAGTAACTCCTGAGTGCAGAGCCGGGATTAACACCTGTGCCTCGCCAGGTGTGACCCAAAAAGGAAAAAAAAAAAAGCACCAACAAGGACAGCACGGCCGCCCACCCCATTCGTGCACCTGCTCATACATGCACACATGTATACACACATGCACACTCACATATGCACTTGTGTGCACATACACCGGCCCACACACAGCCATGTGCTCCTTCGAGGAGGCCCTGGGCCCGGCCACCCCACTTAGAGCTGGTCAGGAGCCATGACACCGATCTTTTGTCCCTGGGGCTCCCGGGGTTACTGAGCATCTGCAGAGCCCAGAGCCCACCACGGGTGCACCCCACCCCCCAGCATCCAGAGCCAGGACCCGCAGGGTGCCCTCCGCTCAGCAGGCCCTGGCTGGCGCAGGACACAGCAGATGGCCTTGTGCCAAGCCTCAAGCTGCCAGGGGCTGGAAACTGTCCTGGCTCAGGTTTGGGGCGCTCAGGTGTGACTGAGACCCCCCCTCAGGCCTGTACGGGGGATATGCTTCCTGCTTTCTCAAATAACAAAACACAAAAGGTGAAACTCAGCATGGATGCCCCCCCACCACCCCCCCGCCCCTGGTTCTCAGTCACCCACATCCCTGGCTTGTTTCTCTTTGGTTTTGTCTACTCAGCTGCTATACTTCCTCCTATTGCACAACGGTGGGGGGGGGGGCACTCAGCATGCGATCTTCTCAGGGGTGTTCCCGACCTTCTTCTCAGGGGGTGCTCCCAGACCTTATCAGGGGGTGCTCCCCGCTGGCTGCCCTGGCGTTGCTTCTGTGTCACTTCTGGCCCTGTGCAACCCTGCTGGCCAGCAGGCCTCTCCTCAGCCCCATGTGACTGATTCAGCCCCCCCCCAAGTCTTCAGGCAGCTGCAGAGTCTTCTCCTGGAGCTTGGGTTGGGGGTGTGGGCCCACCCGCAGAGCCGGCCAGGTTGGGGGCATCTCATGAGGCCGCCGCCTCCGCTTGCACTGTGGGTGGCTTTCCCCACGCTGCTGGGCAGTGCTGCAAAGGGCAGCACCGTGCTCAGCCCCCTCCCAGGTGCAAATCTCAATACAGTGCTCGGGCGTCCCTGCGGGCTCTGCTTTGCTGGAGTCACAGCAATCAACGGGGGAGAATTGTTTGTGCTAATATTCTCACCTGCCGAGAGAGAGCACGGAGTGCGGGGCTGCTTCACATGGTGACCCTGAACTCAAGGTGCTCTCTCAGGGCTAACTCCTAGCTCTGGCCTCAGGGGATCACTTGAACCCATGTTTTTAGCTTTTTTATTTATATATTTTGCTTTTTGGGTCACACCCGGCGATTCTCAGGGGTTACTCCTAGCTCTGCACTCAAAAATCACTCCTGGCGGTGCTCGGGAACCATATGGGATGCTGAGATTCAAACCCGGGTTGGCCACATGCAAGGCAAACGCTCTACCCGCTGTGCTATCGCTCCGGGCCTTTTTTTTTTTTTTAATTCCCTATTCATATTGCTGGGCCACACCTGGCAGTGTTCAGGGATTACTCCAGGCTCCGCATTCAAAAATCATTCCCGGTGATGCTCGAGGGACCATAGGAGATGCCGAGGGTTCTTGGGAGACCCCGGTGCTAGGCGATCGCCTCCTCGCTGTCCTGCGGCTTGGGCCCGTCTTCAGCGTCCTGAGGACGTGCCACCTCGTGTTCCAGCAGTGGCGACTCCCTTCAGGAGCCTGGGTGGCGGCTGAGGGCTGAGAGCTGTGCGCCTCAACTATTCCAACAAAGGGGGCGTGCCCCACCCTGGCTCTGGGCCCCCAGCCGGCCCTGCAGGGTAACATCCAGGGGCCCGGCGCCCAGACAGTGCCCCGCCCCACCCCCTGTTCCAGCCGCCCAGCGGGCCTTGGACGGGACTTGGAGCAGAAACGCCAGAACCCTAATCCCAAGGCGGCCTCTGCAGCCGCGCCAGCACAAAGGGGCTGTGTTTGGTCGCAGCTGCTCAGTCCCTGGAGGTGTGGCCTGGGCTGTGAGATGCACGCACCCAGGTGTGCACACGCGGCGTCACGCAGGGCGACACACAGGGGTGCACACATGGCAGCACATACAGGTGTGCACACACGGCGTCACACACAGGTTTGCACACACGGCGTCACGACGTCACACACAGGAGTGCACGAACGGCAGCACACGCGGCGTCACACACAGCAGCACACTCGCACGCTGTCACGCGGCCCCTGGGGCGGGCAGGCTGCCCAGCCGGGCGCACACCTGTTCCCGCCTCCTCCCTCCCCGCCCGGAAAAGACGGGCGCCGGGGGATGAATAATTTATTGGAGACGGGGGAAATAAATAAGAGAGTGCAGGTTACAAACGCGTAAAAATCACTAGTCCGCCGCCAGCCCAGCGCTCCGGGCGCGGGCGGGGCGGGCCGGGGGCGGGCCGGGGGGGCCGGGGGGGGTCGAGGGGGCGGGCCGTGGGGGGCGGGGGGGGGCCGGGGGGCGGGCTCGCGGGGCGATCCTGCGCGGCTCGCGGGCGCCCCCCGGAGGCCGGAGGCGCAGGTGCGCGTCAGCAGCGCGGTGCCCCCGCCTCCCCGGGGCGCCCCCCGGCCCCCGCGCCGCGCCCGCCGAGCTGCGCGCCCCCCACCACCCGCTGCACCCAGGCGCGGTGCGCCGCCAGGCTGATGTAGACGCCGGGTCGGTTCCGCTCGGCGCAGCCCTCGCCCCAGCTGATGATGCCCGCCAGCAGCCAGGTGCCGTCCACCTGGCACATCAGGGGTCCCCCGGAGTCGCCCTGCCGAGGGGAAAGGTCAGACACCGGCCGCGGGCGCCGAGGGCGCGGGCGGGCGGGCGGGCGGGCACTCACCAGGCAGGCGTCCCGCTGGCCCTCCAGGTAGCCGGCGCACAGCATGTCCTCGGTGATGGCCCCCTGGCCTGCGCCGCGCCAGTACAGCCGCCCGCACACGTCCGCGGCGATGATGGGCACCCGCAGCTTCTGCAGGGTGCGGGGCGGGGGCAGGGGCGCTGCGGGGGCGGGGCGCGTGAGGCCGGACCCGCCGCCCGCTCCCCCTCGGGACCCCTACCTCAGGGCAGCCCTGCCCGGCCGCTGGGCCAGTCACCGGGCGCCTTTCAGAGAAACGCCTTTGACAGCCTCCCTGCCAGCCCGCGTGGCTCAGGGCTGATCGTGGCAAGGTGCTCAGGGAGCACTCTTGCAGGGCCAGGGGAACGCGGGGGGTGCCCTGCAAGGCCGACCCTGCCTGCTGAACTGTCCCTCCGGCCCCCTGTTTTGTCATCACACATGGTGGAACTCAAAAGCAACTTCCAGTTCAGTGGCCTGCGTTGACCCTGGAGACAGTGCTCCGAGGAGCAGTGGGGCTGGGTGTGGGAGCTGGGTGTGCCTTAAGCCAGCTCAGCCCTCTCAGAGCCTGTCCTCCCTCCCTCCCTTCCTCTCTGTCTCTCTCTTCTGTCTCTCTATCTCTCTCTCTCTCTCTGAGTCTCTGAGTCTCTGTGTCTTTGTCACTGTCTCTGAGTCTCTGTCTCTGTCTCTCTGTCTCTCTCTGAGTCTTTGTCTCTCTGTCTCTGTCTTTGTCACTGTCTCTGAGTCTCTGTCTCTATCTCTGTCTCTGAGTCTCTGTCTCTCTATCTCTGTCTCTGAGTCTCTGTCTCTCTGCCTCTGTCTCTCTGTCTCTCTCTTTGTCTCTCTTGAGTCTGTCTCTCTGTCCCTGTCTGTCTCTCTCTCTCTCTCTCTGAGTCTCTGTCTCTGTCTCGCCTGTCAGCTCTCTCTGGTCCAGCCTGGCCTCTGCCTAATCTACTTTGTGTTTCCCGGCGGGGTCAGAAATCCATCGCCCTCCGGGTTGGGTACCTCCTCGGGGGACCTTCCCTCCCGTGCCCGCCCCGTGCCAGCAGGGGGCGCGTGTCCCGCGGGGCCCAGCCTGGCTCAGCCTGTCCTACCAGCTTCCACTCCCCCCCACGCCTTGGACTAGCGACACTCAGCCTGCCAGCCGCCGTCAGTTCCTGCGCCCTCAGCCCACGCACCTCCGTCGTGAATGCTGCCCCAGCCTGCGATCCAGCAGTCGGTGTCAGGGGGGAACCGGACGGAGACGTCGGGCAGGCAGATGGGCAGGACCCGCTCCGAGAAGTGGACAGGGCGTTCCAGGCGCACCAGGGCGATGTCAGCCCGTGTGGCGTCCCTCCAGGAGTAGACGGGGTGGGGGTAGGCCCAGGCGACCCCCACCTCCTGGGCTCGCGGGCCGGGGTTCCCCAGCTGCCAGGCGCCCAGCAGCACCGAGAACTGGGAAGGTTTGTTCAGGTTCCTAGAACAGAGGGAGGCGGGTCTGAGCAGGAACTGGCA